TGGATGAATGAATTGAGCGCGAGTAAGAAAAGGACTAGATACATGAGATTTGAGCTCCCTTTTATAACTTCTTTTTGGTCCTCCATTCCCTTCCTTTTATCGGTCCCTGTTGGACCTTCTTTTCATGGTCCATACTGGACTTCCCTTCCACGGTCCTTGTTGGACTCCTCTGCTTATCTTATCAATGGACCTTTCCTAAATCACGTGACCTTGTGTGCCTAATCCTCAGTTCTGCGGGGTAATGTTTCATCCTGTGTCGCTGTGTTGGACAGCGCTCAGTTCTGTTGGTTCGTAACACAGACCACAACAGTATGGTCAAATGACTAGGGGTAAGTACCTGAGTCGAGTCGAAACTTCCAAGCAAGGCCTTTCTTACTTAGCCAGTGCTTACTTTCCATTTCAGTTGGCTCTGTATGAGATTTAGCAAGAGGGAGAGAGAGAGAGAGAAAAGGCTCTACAAAAAGAAACTTCGCAAGATAAGATAGAACAATAATTCACTAGCCTAACTCAACACCACCGCTCTGCACCTAGCTAACACCCAGAGAGAAGAAAAAATATAGTACTTGCATACCAGCCAACCAACCAGCCAGCCAGACGAGACAAGATGTGACGAATGAGCAGACCCTTAATGAAAAAATTGAATTGCTTGACGATATCCCTCCGCAAAACACCCCAGCTCCAGAAGGGACAAATAAAAGAAAAAAAAAAAAACAAAACGCTGAGAGACTTTGCGATAGCAAAGCAAAAGGTAAAAAAAAAATGGTAACTGCCGTATATATGTACATACACTGGACACAGACAGACAGACAGACAGACGCCAGACGCACCAGAAAATCAGTCAGAAAAAAAAGGATGGGGGAAGGGGTTGGAAGAGGATGGGATCGCTCTCTGATGATGATCTTCTTCATGGCAGGCTAATCACGCAAGTTCCTAGAGAGAAAAGAAGAAAATAAAAAGAAAAAAAAGATATGCACTGCATGACAGCGACATGCCCTGTAGCGACCATCCAAAAAAAAACCCCACTGAGAAAAAAAAAACAACCGATTCATGACTTTCCCATCTGGAATTGCCCAAACACCCCTCCGCCACCTCCAGGTGTGAGAGCCCCCACACCGGCATTGCCTTGTTGCTGAGGTGTCTGATTTCCGGCTGCGTTCGACATTCGAATATATGGTCGCCCCGTTCAGATTTGGCGTCTGCTGCGCCTGGTTGTTGTTGTAATACGTCACCGCGGATAACTGGCCGTTCAATCCCCAAACCTGTCCCGAATACTTGGCCTTGTCAATAGTGCCGTTGAACACAACCTGATGCATCTTCCAGTAGATCTCGCCCGTAACAAGCGAGTCTGAGCCGGCCTGGTGAGCCATGCCCACGCGCTTGATGCCCAGCTTGTCCGCAATATCCTGCAGACCTGACTTCTGCCCCAGGTTGGCAATGATCTGAGCTGCCGCCGGAGTCAGCAGAGAGTCGTTGACAGTCTGATTCCGTCCGGCGTGTTTCATAAGGTATTTAATGTCGGATGTATAGACCGCCTCATCACACCTCTATTAACCTATTAAAAAAAGAGAACGAAAAACTATGAGCATGCTCTGCAACCTCTTCTACAGAACATCTCTGATAGGATGAAAATTGAACCATATCTGTACCACTGAGTTATTCAAAGGGGCATGTATGAATTAAATCAATATTTATATTAGATATCCACAATAGAGCCTTCTGCGACCCTGACTTGTTTTAGATTAAGCTCTGGAACTAATGCATCCTCACATCCAGAAATAACAGTAGCTTCATTATTTAATAGGCGATTAATATTCAACATAGTACTGTAAGCAATGCCACGGGACGAAGCATCGTGCCATACCTCTGGTTCATTGTAGATATCTGAGTCCTTCTTTGCTAGCCCAGCAGGCCTCCAATTACCTATTATTGAGGGGTAAGGAGAGATACAATTCAAGTAGCCAGTCTGGCATAATCCCCCGTATGCTAAATCGACAACTTCGTCCAATGGCGACATGGAAAGGCCAGCAAGGATTTTACGCACTCTGTTATAAGTGACTGCATACCCAGTGAGACACACTCCGAATTCCGCTTGGAAGATGAGGCGAGTATTATCATCGATATCAAAATTGGGGAAATAGTAATACTTGGGTCGATGGTGAGGTGACACGATCGTGATATCGTCGTGAATCACATAAAAGCGTTTCTCATAGTCTCGGTATTTTACTCCGCAGTGACCGATCCATAGAAGGTCCCAGTGGTCACCATAGGGAGAAATCAAAGGATGCGGGTTATTTTGAATGGTTCGAGCGCCCAAGGCAAAAACTCAAAAGTTGGCTTTTTAAGGTAACATCCCAGTCTGCGTCATCCTCGAAAATGAGTGCGCTAGTGATCCTCTCTGCTACAATTCTGGGAGTTTGGTATTAGAGTTAAGACTTTATCGTCCTGGGGGAAGTTGGTACCTCTGCATTGCATTCATATGACCGCGCCAACAACCAATCTCGCCAGGCTTCCGGGAACTTTTATTCCAATTCTGTAGAAAGACATCAGTAGAAGACAAGAGTGACATGGAAATCTGACTAACTGATGGGTAAGTTTATCGTCAACATCATCCGGATATACCCCATCGACCCAGTCCACGGTAAATCCGGTTACAGAGGAGCCTAGAACAATGGCATCACATTTATCTGTTCTTTAAGGCAAGCCAATAGTGAGCACCTTCTCAAACTATTTCAAATTGTCAGCCTCCCCATGATAATTGTAGTCTGCTTTCTTACCCCCAGAGTTTTATTTTGAGTCATGTGGAGGAGGTCCTCTGTGTTCCAGTCAAAATAGCCAGAGCGCAGTGTTGTATGAGAACGGAGGTGGAGAGATAGAATGACATAGAGTAATGCTGCTAGAGGACATGCTCTGTACAACAACGCTACCACTTTCATTTTGCCAAGAGCTTTATCTCCTTTGGGCCATGCCTGTCATGTCAAGATACATAGTAAGTCCTAGATGCTATGGAATGATGCTTTGAGGTTTTAAGGCGTTATGAATGCAATAGTACTAAATTGTAGTCGTTTTCAACAAGGTAGCCAGAAAAGCTCTGATAGAACTGTTATGGCAAAATGTAATCATTTATCACCTGGTTACAACCAAAAAGAAAGTTAAGCAGGACAAGAACTTGTTTAAAACCCTGGTTAGCTGATGCTACCGTATCTAACGCTAGTTCTCCACTTTTCAAATTCTCAATATTAGATGCGTTGACCTCCAGCAAGCTAGTTACCATAGATCTCTGGTTTAATTGCGGTTGGCAGAAGCTCTGGGGGCAGCATTAAACGAATTGTATAGTTTTGGTGAATAGAAATACAACCCCCGAACCACCAGAAACTTGACAAATTTTACATACATCACGAAGAGAGATAGGTTGGCCTCTCCAGTCAGTCATATATGAACTAAAAGCTAAATTAGGAAACATCGGGCTAGCATTAATTATTCATAGAGCTGCACTGCTGCAAATGTATCCTTAGCTCTATATATTGTCCGATCCCAATCATGTTGCGTCGCTCAAACCCTTAGATCTGATACTTGGAGCTTCGATACCTATACGTCATCTACTTGAGGTGCTGGGGGAACGGAGCTGCAACTCTTGGCCCTCAAAGCACATTATGACAATGGTGATGGAGCTAATAAGTCATGGAAAGAATCGACTCCACAATGTGCACAGTGATTGAACAGATGATTGCAGATAGTAGTTGAAAGACAAAAGGGAGAGAACCACGAAAGCTCCAGCCTTGTGCTATCCTCCGCTGCTACTTTCCTGAACCATCATCTATTTTGTCACGGACACGCAAGGTGGCAAATTTGTGGATTGGGTATTCTGATCTTTTAACGCTAGAACACCCACCATTTATGAGGAAAGGGATACATTAGGAAATTACTCCTAGTTGGTTAGCTGGTCCTCTTAATTTTGATTTGCTGTGGAAACCTTCCAACCAACAGCAATCGGTTGTGTTCAATGCTAATAACTGGTCATGTTCAACATTCACGATAGAGCGGTAAACAAACTGACTACGCTAGAGCGTTGAAAATTGATTGCGCTAGAGCAGTTGAAACTGATTGCACTGCTCCATAGAGCTCTAGCGTGATTAATTTCAACCAATTTTCAACCGCTCTAGTGCAATCATTTTGCTCCAGCGCAGCCAATTTCCAGCCACCCTAGCGCAGTCAATTTCTAACTACTCCATTGCAATCAACATCCAAGTTCCAAAGTTACTTTACAAACTCTGTCACCATCCTCCTGCAGGAACGGTTGAAATGGGCTGCAATAGTCGGACAGCTTTTTATGACCACTCGACGGTTTAAGTGATCCCAATACTATTAACGTAATCAGGACACCAAACGGTCCGATCCACCACCAAATTATTGGCCCTCAAAACCAGTACCTGTTTTTGAAGCTTTTTTTCATGCAATTGCTGAGCTTGCAGCAATTTGCAGCCATATCAGCACGCGTAGTTACCCTTTGACATGTCTCTTTAATGTTGTTGGAGGGACGTCATATGCCGAAGCTGCCTTAGTAATCGACCTAAAAAGGCCTTTTACAAGCATCAAAAGCTAATTGTAAATGTCCCTCCCTAGAGACATTAGTAGTATCATGTTTGGGTGGCATTGTGGTCAAAATTGTTGGTATAGAGGCAGTTGAGGTGGTTGAGTTGGGGGACCGGACCGCTCAGTGTCCTGGACCGCTCGGTGTCCGATTACATTATCGTTTAACAATTATATCTATTTCACAATGCGCTTGTTCATTGCACTGATGGATTTTGTCACTATGTTTAGGTGTACATTGAATGTGGTTAGTCACACTTGCTGGTAAATTACACATGGATTAATAAGTTTTACATTCACAGCAGTTGTCATCGGTATATCCAACTCTTATTGCTTGGGTTCTTGCCTATAATACTTGTGCTATCCAAGTAGTTCATCCCGTTTTTAGTTAGGAATAAGGACCTATACACCTGGTCGGGTAATTTGTGCGGCTATGAGATTATACTGAGTTTGACCAAACAAAAATCCTGCAAGTAAATATGAAATCTAGTGGGTTAATATGATAGGTGTGGAAAGTTTGCAATAAATATAAAGTATTATAGCTTGGATAGGTTCCTTTAATTATCTTAAGACAACTATCTTCTACCTCAACCAAACAATAGCTTTATTATGGCTTTTATCTTAATAATATTACCTGTAAAGATTATCTTGGAAATAATAAGGGACCTATCAAATTAATAAGTTCTTTAGAACTACTCTAATTTAAAAGCTTTATTATTAGAAATCCATAAATATTAGTCAAAGAGGATCTTGCCACCTGATGGTCTGATGTTGAGCTAGGCATATATGCACATACCTCGGTGTTCCACTGATCTCTAGTCGTTTTGCCCCTCCACCCCCGCTCCCCAGCGTTGACTAACGGAGTTCAGCACCATGCAGATGCGCTGAACACCTAGGTATGTAGCTAACTCTGCTTTACAGTTAGTTACCTTAGCTTAGTCTTGGTCCATTGAAATTGCTTGCAGCCGCTGACGTCGGTCCTCAGACAGCTCTAGCAGTGAACCAAGTCCAGACCTGGAGCTAGGGCAGGTTCATGCAGGTAGCTTTGAAAGACAGTTTTTACCTTGTCTAGCTGAGATATACGGAATCCTTGGCTTCCTCAGAAATCACCTCACATATATCTATTTTTTTTTCTATACTCTTTAGTTGATTCCCATTCATCACGAAAGACGCTGAGACTGTTGACACTCTGTCGAACAGATCCATCGATATCGAGTGCTTTGCTAAATTGCTCTCAGATATTTTCTCTTTGATCGCGAGAAACAGTCGCTGGTCATTGTGATACCGAGTCAGCTGCTTTAACACCATCACCATGCGCTTCAAGGGGCTTTCTCTGGCGCTCCTCTCGCTCACAGCCCTCGCATCAGCGACGGTGGACAAGCGACAGACACAATCGGTCGATTATGCTTCTCTTTCAGCAGCACTGTGAGTCTTTCCTGTCACAGCCTCTCTTCCTCCCTGCTAATCTCGTCATCAGTGAATCCCTCGTTCAACAAATCCCTACCACCCCAGCCGGGCCCTTCGTCCCTACGAAGACAGTCAACCTGAACAATCTCCAAGACCCCCCGGCCTCCGTCTTGCCCATCCTCATCACAGCTGTGCCGATGTCAGTGATGGGCGACCTCGTGGACCCGCAGTCGCGCAGCTCGCTGGCGAGCGAGTTCCAGGCTGGCAACACCCCTGGCTGGTACCAGAGCCTGCCCACGGGCGTCAAGAGCTACCTCTCTGTCGTGCACTCGCAGATCCAGGAGGGCGCGCTCCAGGCGACGACTTCGCTCCCACTGTCGACGTCCAGCGGTGGTGCCGCTGCACCAGCAGTGCCGACGGGCGCGCTGGCGGCCAACATTGCGGGCGCGGTGGGCATTGCCGGGCTGGCGTTGGCGTTGTAGATACTGATAGAATGTTCTCGTTCAGCGTTGCTATGGCGGTATGAATGATGGGTACGGCGTACTTTCTACGGGCTTGATTTTCTACAAAATTGGGAATTGCATGCGATGGTTTGTCTGTCAAAACGTCTAATGTGATAATGACTGCACTTTATGTATTTATTCCTCAATCATGAATTTTACGCAATAGTCAATTGATGACGAGCTAGGCTACTAGAGTCGAGTTCGCCACTCCACTGAAACCCAGCCTGTCGAGAGAGTTGTAGAAAGCAATGCTCATCGTATCCAAAGTCTACATTCTGCCGATCACATGCGGAGGATGCACGGGACAGCAAAAGGCCGAGGCTCAACCCAACAACTTACACCAACCGCGCCGATCACCGCGCTAAGTCTCTACGCAGCTGCTAGGCCGACGCTTGATCCTGCAGCCGACCTTGTTTAATTAAGCGCTTTGGCGAGCACGAGCCTAACGCTGGCGCTAATTCCAACGCTTAACTGTCTTTGGTTCTCTCGTCCGTGATCCGTCGGGCGCGGCTGCGGACGAACCCTCGTCTGCCGACAATCCTTGCCAGCTTTCTCCCACTGTGGAAGGACAGTCTTTGATGAAGAACGGTCGAGTCGTTGGTCGGACAGGTTACGAGCAGCCATCTATCTGACAAATTCCGTCTCTACAGACGTGAGGAATACGTTTCACAAGACGAGATCGGTCAGTGATGGACGCCTGATGGGCTGGATAGGAGCTCAGCAGCGGTGAATTGAGCCTAATGAGACTAAGCTGACTGTCTTTTTAGTCGATTCCAACGACTAACAAACTCCTCGTCTCGGCTCAGCTCCCTCAAGCCGTCCCATGGGGTCCCCGCCTCCCCGCACGGTGCGCCTGAGCCTGTTCCCCGGGAGTATGAGTCTATGACTGGCAGTTGCGATAAGGAATCTCGCTTCTTACTGGAGAGGACCCAGTTGGACGTCCGGTTTCGGTGCGCGCCGTCTCTGCGAGAAGGAAGAACGAGAGGTCTTTGCAAACAACCGCCGAAATAGCGCATCTACTAACTACCTAGGCACATTTCGAGCACGGTCTGTGATCTGTACGAAGTGAACTCCGTACGCTTAACATCTAGCCCGTCTCTTATGATCGTCAAGACTAGAATCTTCAAGCGCTGTCCCGTTTCTAATTGCGGTTACCAGATCGATTGACACTGCTGATCCGGATCGATCTGCTCTCGGTAATCGGCAGATCGTGCTGATCGAAAGGATATCTAGGTCGAAGTATGCAGAGTCCCTGGAAGAAGGGAAGAAACAGCTACTACGGCAGCACGCACATGCTTGTCACCTGGTCGCCCGGTATCTGGAATAGTACTGGCGGTGGCTGAGGTCTAGTGCGGGGAGGGCTTTGCCCTTCTTCTCACTTTTGTTTTTCCCATTTTAGCGTTATCCACGCTGGGAAGAAATCGAGAGAATGACGAAGATGGCGCCCATAGACGGTGGTCCTGACCGACAGCTCTCAACCAATGCTCACTATACTGCAGAAGTAGAGGACTGACATGCCCTGCTCTCCACAGCCGTCTATCTAGCAAGTTCCGAGGTAGCTGCATGCAGAGTCTAGCATCTAGCATCTGGACAGACAAGGTCCAGAACACTCGCCTTGACCGATCCACCTGCTGAGCAACCGACTATCAGGCAAGCCAGCGGCTCAGCTTGCTCACGGCTGGTGGACCGTGGTCGTACCCAACACCACATTGCTCAATTGGCGTGATTGAAACATGAGATCATTCGAGCTACCCTCAGATATAAGCAAATCCATAGACCTAGGACTGCTGAGTACCAACTATTACTTTCTCCATCCCTGCCATTGGATGCGCAAGCTTCCCGCCAGTTCTGCTTATCTCTCACACTGAGCTCCAGCATTCCACCTCTCCTGTGCTGACTACATTTCTCTATCGACTTACAGCTACTGGCAAGACACGACAGAAGGCACGAAGGACAAGCAGCTCCTTCAACAGACATTCCAGTCTGGAATAGTCGAGATCAACGCAACGAAAAAGACATATCTTTAAGAGCTTTTTCAAAATGCAGCTCCGCCGCTTCCTGCCATTCTTCCTCCTGCCGGGTCTGGCGCTCTCCAAAGCAGAACCCCAGCCGGTGCCTGCGCCCGCGCCCGAACCGCAGGCGACCATCCCGGCGCAAGCACTCCAGGACCTGACCACCATGGCGCAGAGCGTCAAGGAGCTGCTGAGCCCGGAGTCGGTCAACAACATCGAGACGACGCTGAACGGGGCCGCAATCCTGCTGAGCGGCAGCACGCCCAACGACACCAAGGCGCTGCTGAACTCCGTGTCGGGCTTCCTCACGCCCGAGCTGGTCGACGCGGTGGGCAACCTGCTCAATCCGCAGACGGTCAACCAGCTCAAGGACATTGTGGACAGTGCGCACAGCCTGCTGACGCCGCAGTTTGTCAATGAGACGGTGGCGTTGATCAATGATGTTACTCCGGTAGGTTTCTTTGACGAAATTAGGGTGCAGGAGGTATTCCAGAGCTAACTGTGAGTTTCTTTCCAGCTCGTGTCGAGCCTGTCGAAAGTGCTTGCTTCGCTTTTGTCTGCGCTGTTGGGTTGAGGATTGAATGAATGGTCAGCATGAAATGAAATGAATGATATGATGAATTGGTTATTTTTTGGGAGCAAGATCACTACTATGTAATGTTTTCTCTTGTCATTGTGCACCTCATGGATATATATGATTTTGATGCATTGCATGTCCTTAATAATTAAGTTCAATGAATAATAGAAACACGACAAGTATTCAACGAAATGAAATGCCTTCTTCGTATTAACTATTAAACCATTGTGAGCGGTTGAATATCTACAGAAGAACTGGCGAAATATGGTATCGATGCTAGGAAAAAAAAACAGCAAAGGACTGACATGGTATAGATATAGATATAGAGATGCGACAAAAAAGTGACCACCAGATATAGTAAAAAGAAAAGGAATATTTTATCCTCTATCTAGAGAGCACCACTGCTAATCTCACCCCGCAACTGCCGCAGCGCACGATTCAGCGGATGCGTGCGAATCTTCTTGGGCAGGGTCGGATAGATGGCTTTCGCACCCCCAATCGCAACACGATACAGGAAGCGACTGGTCGCCGTCGAGCGCAGCCCGTACTGCTCGCGGACATGGCGCGGGAGCATCTCGGGCGTAACGACGCGGATGAACGGCCTCCGGACGAGCTTCACCCACCGCGGCACGTCGGCGTAGGCTTTCAGATCGTGCACGACGGGGCGCGCGTGCGGATCGACGTTCAGCTTCTCGACCTCCTCGTCCCAGTACGCCCAGAAGGCGTTGCGGTTCTCCGGCCACACGCCGCGCGGCAGACGCAGCGCGACAGTCAGCACCGTGAACTCGCGGTATACGCGCTGCGCGCGGTGGAAGTCGACCTTCTCGAATACGCGCTGGAAGAAGTCCGTCCCCGTGGCGTAGAGAGTCGCGGCAATCCAGAGCCGCAGCTGAGGGTCTTCTGGGTAGTAGTCCCGCAGGTAGTCGTGCCCTTTTCCTTGTCCAGCGCCCTGGCGATTGCTGCTGCTGCTGCTGCTGTTGTTGATCCGCTCGAGGATCTTCTTCCGCTCCTCGCGCGTGCCAAAGGTCAGGCCGTACATGTAGATAACTGTAGTGCGCAGGCCCTCGAAGAGCTTCTCTGCAAGGTTCTCGCTCTGCTGGCTGCCGCTGCTGCCAGCCATACCTGCCTTGGCTGCCTGCAGCAGGATGGCGACACCGCCGCCGGTCAGGAGGATGCCCTCGCGGAGGATCTTGGGGAGGGTGGTGAACTTCTCCAGCGCATCGAGGATTTCTGTGTCAGAGGGGGCGTCGGTGTCAATGGTGAGGTCTGCCTTCTCGATGTCTTTATTATCTGGCTTGTCCTGAATGTTCTCGTCGTGGCTGACGGTTTCCTCTCTTTCGGCGAACTTCAGGTCGGCGACTTGCCCGTTTTGGGATGCCATCGTGCTGGGGATCCCGTGCTCCCCTTCTCTTCTCTTCTCTTTCCTTCTTCCACTTCCTTTTCTTTCTCGTTAGGCTGGTCGATGTTTCAGTCTGGGATGAGGGGATGACGTCCTGAAGACGAAATCAGTGAGAAATATTGTTGAATTGACCAGACACGTACAAGGCAGTACTTCAGACAACAGCTGAACAGTGATTCATGTGCAGTCCGACGGCGGTCGATATTCCTCGGTTCAGCTAACAAGGTTCGCCTCCAGCACGCCCATGCAGAGCGATCACTGCAGAGACTCTGTCCTTGTCCCATCTCCCCGCAGCGCGAAGGGAGTGATTGCGTGCTGTCTGGGGCCCCGGGGCGCCAACGGCCTAAACGCGGACGGATCCCCGAGCCAGCCCGCCGATCCATGCCGCAACAATCAGCTCTCCACCGAGTAAGTGCCTCCATGCTACCTTGGTCGTTGAGGCCGTACCAGGCTACCTAGGTAAATTACTAATGGGCACTCGCGCAGGTTCATTCCATGCGGGACGGCACACGACTAACTGCTGTTGCTGCGCAGCCTGATTCGCCCACCCACGCACTATCAGCTCTCCATCAACTTTGTCCACGGCCAGCGCGCTGATCTCACTTCGCCGGGCACATGAAAATTTTAGCATGCCGAAGCGGAGATACCAGCAAGATTGCCTAGGATCAGTATCTGGTGGAGGCCCCGTCTCGGCCTTAAAGCGCCGGAAAATGGGCCTTCTCCACGGGGTAGTCGTCCGCCTAGCGACGACTAGCCTGCTGCTAGACGAGCTAGCTCGCTCTGTGCTCTGCACGTCTTGTCGGTACTTGCGTCGGTGGGAGATTGCGATTGTCTTCTTTTCCTTCGACCGTCCCGCCGGTGCCAGACCTCGTCAATTGTCAATTGTCACCTCTTGCTGTGCTGTGGGTTCGATATTTATTCTCTCGTCTACATACAGTCTGAAGCAGCACAGCAGACGGACGGATAGGCAGGCAAGCATCTGTCTGGTGCTCTGGCGGTGCGCCCGATCGCAATGGCTGAGAAAGGGAAGACCTTCTTGGACAAATTGTCCAAGTACACCATCGGTGTTAATCGAGGGCCGTTGCTTCCTGACTTCGGCGGGAAAGGTCAGTCTGTCGCCGTCTGATGGTGATTGTGCTGTTCTAACAATATTCCAGAGGGTGTCGAAGAGATTCCCCCCGAGAGGCCATTGACCAGGAAAGAGAAGATCAAGCGCCATTTCCGGCGGTACTGGTGCTGCCATGTCCTGGTGCTCATCATTGGCTTGGCCATTTTCCTGCCTTTGTTGTGAGTACTCACACGCTCTTTTAAGTCTTGTGGATAGGTTATACTGAGCTGGTGAACAGCATCATCTACGGCATTCCCGCCATCTCGCAGGACTTGCTAAACAAAGGCACCATCACGGTCGAATCCGCGCAGATCCTGCAGCCGCGCAAGGACAACGTCATCCTAACAATGATCTCCTCCATCTACATCCCCGGCGGCTTCACCGTCAAGACGGACCCGACCACGCTGGACATGTACATCCCGGATGGCGGGCCCATCTCGCCCTTTGCCCAACTTTTCCTGGCCAAGAATACGGTCCATGGCAATACCAGTATGGGCGTGTACAACCAGCCTACGCCGCTGCTCAACCTGAGCGCGTGGCAGGACTTTGTCAACAACACCGTCTTCCTGCACGACGGGCCGTTGGGGCTGTACGGCCATGTCAACAGCCATCTCGGCAAACTCAGTGCGAACTTGACGCTGCAAAAGACGGTGCACTCGAATGGTAGGTTTGACATATCTACATGTATATGTAAATACCATCGAACGGAAGCTAACGGCGTACAGCTCTGAACCAGTTCAAAGGTTTCAGCATCGACTCGGCCGCGCTGATTCTGCCGCCTGAACCAGACGGCACCAACCTGCTCGCCAACGCGACGCTACCGAACCAGTCGATTCTGACACTGGAAATCGTAAGCCACCCCAGCACTCCATATCACCACTCTTCCTCTAACAGTCTCAGGGCAACACCACCATGAACGTTCTCAGCGGCGACCTGGTCATCGGCACAGCCGTGATCGAGAACCTCTGGATCCGGCCGGGCAACAACTCGGTCACGATCCGCGGGCAGGCCGACCTGGCGACGATCCTGCACAACCTGCCACAGATCCTCAAGTCGCAGGCGGCCGCCATCCGCAACGGCTACCTGGAGCTGACGACGCGCGTGACAAACATCACGTACGAGGGCGAGCTGGTGCCGTACTACACCAACTCGATGGCCAGCCTCCCGCTGACGGCGCAGATCCCGATTCTGGGGCTGATCGTCAACACGCTGAAGACGTTCCTGTCCAGCCCTGCGGCAAAGAATGGACAGGGCCTGCTGGGCGCGCTCAATGCGACGGGTGTGCTGAATGGGTCCGGTGGAAGTGGTGGTGGTCTGGCCGGACTGCTCAACGATACCACCGCGTTGGAGACGGTTGCGCGCCGGCATTTGGAGCATCTCATGACGATCTAATTAATTAACTGAACTGGAGGAATCATGTGATGATGTTAATTCATTAATCATGAGGAATGATTCTTTTTTCTGTCTTGTTTTGTTTGATTTTTGGCTTTTGTACAGGGTTGCCATGTCTATCTATCTATGGATATGGACATGATCATGAACATGAACATGACATGAACATATATATACTTACATACAAGTCAGGTATCTGACTAGTCAGTAATTAATGAATAAATACATACATAATAAAGGAAATTCAATACAGACAGAGTCTTTGTTTTCATATAGTGTTCATGCCCAATCAAACGTATACCCAAGAGACCTCATCACCTGTTCCCATTCGAAGCATGCCGGATCATCGTCATCGTCACTGATATTGCATGGAATACTATTATTATGGACGAAGAGGGCACTATTATTATGATCAGCCCTCAAATCTCGCTGCTTCCACACCCTCTCCACCACCTCGCGGATGAACGACACCGCACGGTTCGCCACCGACGCCCCGATCCTCTCGAGCGTGTCAAAGTTGCGCAGGACGACGATCCGCTCCTCGTCCGTGCGCACGTGGCACGACGCGATGAAATGCGGCCACAGGAAGACGGACCGCCCGCTTTTTCCCGGCGGAGAGATGGGCACTCCGGCTGTCATCAGGTTCAGGATTGTTGTCACGCTGTCGTTGACGACGGGGTTCTCCTCGACGGGTACGTCTGGGTCGAGGTGCTGCAGCAGGATCAGCGCCGCGTGCCGGAATGCCTCCGCTGTGCGGGTCACGGTCGTCAGGGCAGGAGGGTATTCCGTGATGGCGTTGGAGGCAGTCGATGGTGATGCAGAGGCAGATGCAGGGAGCTCTTGAACAAGATTCCGAAGTCTGATTTCTGTCTCTTCCTTCCACGCTCGTAATAACCCCCAGTCTGTAGCGCCTTTCCTCCTTTTCGTCTTTCTGATTCGATAACAAATCTCCAAAATGATAGACAACACCTCATTCGAGCAGCTGGTGAAGTTGTCAATCTCCTCGACTGGTCGCGCGATCTTGCTCAGCCAGTACGAGCCCCCGCGGAACAGAGCCTCCCCGTCAGCAGGATCGACGAGGGTCGTGTATGCCAGAATGCTGCGCGAGGCCAGGAATCCGGCCAGGAAGGTGACGACTCCTGTGTCGCATGCTGCGCCTACGCCTCCAAAGGAGGATGCAGGAAGCTCGAGGATCCGTCGCGCGCCGTCCAAGTGAACGCGCCAGGCCTGCGTCGCGACGGGCCGACAGGAGTTGTCGTTGGCGAACTCGAAAAAGCAGAGCATCAGGATGATGCTAAGAATCTCGGTTTTCGATAGAGATGGTGTCAACGCGGCAGCATTGCGGTTCCCAGTGCCGCTGGTACAGGCAATCATCCGCGACAGCGCTCGAATCGTGGCAGTCTGGTACCGCAGCGCAGTGACCTCATACCTGGCGTCGTAGTGCTTCAGCTGGTTCGCCGCCACGGCCAGCACCGAGCGAAGCACCAGAGGCGAGACCAGCGTGATGGGGATGATCACCTGGCGGTAGCGATTTTTGGAACCGTCTGCGAAGCGGCATTTCGGGCACATCTTGTTGGCGTCTAGTTCGTCAGGAAACATTCTTCGTTCAGCAAAATTCATTTTCAAGGAAACGACGGTTTCTGCTTACAAAAGTCAAAGATGGCCATCTCTGCTGCGGACAGGTTCAGACGCGCATATTGCAGCGATGGCGGTAGCTGATAAGCGTGTCTTTTCTGGGCTGGCGATATTGACTTCAATTGCGACATTTTCTCCGGAACAGAATCCACATCGTTCACCACAATCGACATGTCATCTCGGACATCTGTCCGTGTACTGCTGTTCGAGCAATAATCTCGGCCGTGCAGGTACAAGTCGAAATCGTCGCACGTCATATTGAGGAGGAGTAACTCTGTCGCCTGCCGTCCTCCTGTCGTCGAATCCCTCTGAGCCAGGCTCGTCGTAGCCGCACACTCCTCTGGCTCCAGCCACCGCAGCTTCAGACCATAGATGCACGTCCTCCCACTGTCCCGACAGCGGCGACAGCGCGGTCGCTGCTCGTCGCATTTCACTTTCCGCTGGCGGCAGCAAAGACAGCCCGATCGGGTGCGCGGGGTTTTGAACCGGCCGTAAAAGGGGATTTTGGTGGTTCTTGGACGTGTCTTTGTTGGCGTTGACATGTTGCCATATGCCATGTAGCTCTCTTTCACGAGGATGCTGGTGGTGGTGCTGGGAGAGCACGCATGCGGGTGTGAGTGTTCAACATGTCACGTAGGACACTTCTGTTCAAGGATTCTTTCCAGCAGTGCAGTCATGCGAGTATGGCAGAGAATCAAAAGTCTGTCTTGGAGGTGCAAAATCAGGAGCGTATCCTTATCGCGTGGTTGTTATTGTTATCATGCTAGTCCGTCACCTGCCGGACTTAATTGCTCCGTCCTCCGCGCAGTGCAGGGCATTCCTTTTTGGGTAGAGCCAATGAGGATCCACTGCCCTAATTAGTTAGTTATTAATACTCCAGTGTATATATTAATGGGCCGTATATTTTATGAGATAGTTTCGCAGCAAAATTGCTACATTATGAGACAGTTAATACAAGTTCCATCTGGAAGACATCTCGTGGGCAGTACTTTAACACCCGCCATACAGAGTATAGGGAGTACGATATGAAACAGATTGTCTGTCGAGCTGATGGTTGATCTGGCCATCGTTATCTATATTCCAAGCATATTTGTATATTTATATATTTATCTTCATATTCATATTTGGTTACTACAATTTAATAGCATCATTATTTATGTCCAAGAATAAAACAACGATACTCTGCGAATGTATTCTCCACCCAGTTGACTCGCTGTATATAATCCACATAGTTTGTCCAATCTGCGTATGTCATTATCGTCGAATATGAATAGACTCCATAGACAAGAATACCTCACATCAATCTAGAAGCAGTTTATGATGAGTGTTGATCAGATAAGGGTTGATACGTGACGCCTTTGAAATATCCCGGATGAACTACGCAAACAGGTGTCTAGGATCTTTTTGTACCACTATTATTTAGTTAAATCGTGGAGATGAATGCTATCGGTGTGTATCAGATGGGTAGTAAATGCGGCCATATTCATCGAATTCGAATCATTGTCTCATCATCATCATCATTGTCAGCGTCAGCGTCAGCGTCAGCATACACATCCCCATAAGCATAAGCATAAGCGTCATGTAAACATAACCATAATCATAACCGTAAGCACTTACTTTTCTACCTCGGCAAGGGCGACAGGCCATTTTTTTAAAGCTCAGAACCAGCGACTTCAATTCAATTCAGTATAGTATTTTTCTACTGCAAGGCCATACCTCCTATTCTATCGTGAAGAGAACAAACACCGAAGAGACTGTACCAACTTGATTTACATGCATGCCACCCATATCCTCCTACTAAAAAATAATAATAAGGACTCTAGCTAATTATTTGACCTGATCTGACCTCCTTTCTAGACTGCCAAAATGAAGACTGACGCGATCTTCAGCCTGGCTGCTGCCTTCTTCTTCGCCACCGCTGCTGCTATAATCCCAACCCTCCCACCAACGGCGGAAAATATGGAAGCCCACGAGCCAAATCCTATGGCCAAGAATCTCGAGTGTATCCGAAAATGCGATGTCTCTGGCCCCAACTCAGGGAAGGTTTGCCAGAGTGATAATGACTGCCCTTACTCCAGATGCTTGCCTTGCAGAGTACGCACCCAACCCTTTTTTTTGGTCACTGTAATAGAGTTAACCAGCTAACTGGGCAAAGGGTTACTAGCAGCACAGGTATTGAACTTGGCTATGTAAGTTGGGCATGGAATGGTCTCAACATGAGAAATAAAAAAGTTTTTCTTTTCTAACAAAGGTGCAGAGGGAAAGAGAAAGGACATTAACGAGATTCAAAAAAAAAACACTAGGAAGGATTCAACATCCATCTTTGCAAATATTTAATTAGCTACATTGTGATTATATTCTAATAAATGGATTCAACTCTGAAGCACGTCCATCGAATAATATTTGCTAGCTGGCACTGCTTAAAACCCCAGGAATAGCAAGTCAATAGAATAGGAGCTCAGTAGGAAATCAATCTCTATAACTTAATTCTGTCGCGAGATAAAACTAATCACATGGAGCTGTTTGTCTATTTGCTGGAATCCTAACAGTTTACCTGCTTCTCCGTTTTCAGTTTAATTTCTTTGTTCTTTCTCTCCTGAAATATCTGCAAGAAGCGATCATAGTATACCATGTTTTCCATATTGGTATCTCCGGAAGCTGCAGTATTTCTTCCGTCACTATCATTTGTTTCAATCGTAAATCAATTCGCTGCGCGACTTTTTATATCTACAGCCTGGCAACCGGCTCAGACACAAACTCATCCACCAACCTGGCCACCTCACGACCTATCCCAAAACTAAAGACGTAGCCACCCCCCTCGGTGCCATAGGCATGGACTACCTTCTGGCCATTGATGATCTCTTTCTCGACCCTCACCCCGCCATCCCTCTGCGGACGGATGCCCACGATGTCCCGGACGATCGTGTAGTCTTTTGGATCGGCGGAGGGAAAGTCCTGTGGAAGGTTCTCGTGGACACGGCGGAAGATCTATATAGAGGTCAATGAGTCCATCCATCTGGAATAGTGCTTAGGTAGGGTTCTGTACGTACATCAGCCCGCAGCTCGCTGTCCACCTTCGTATCCACATTCCCAAACTGCTTGATCCCTCCTATGACGGCAGTCCCGTCCTGCCGCGCAAAGACGTACGTATAGTCCTTTCCACGACGGATAAAAAGCTTGTCATAGTCCGACTTGACGAGCACCGTCTGCCCGCGCACTTCCTGCACCTTCTGATCCATCACGTCCGTCAGCCGGCGAGGGCCAATGCCCGCCGCGTTGATGAGGACGTCATGACCCAAGCCGCTCAGATCGGCGAGCGAGCGGACATGCGCGCGCTTGAATTTCACCCCGTTGGCCTCGAGCTTCGCCCGCATCCAGGGAAGAAACGTCATGGGCGTGAGGACGATTGTCCGGTATCGAACCCCGACAGCGGCGCCAGCGGGCAGGTCCTCCTGAGGCAGAACCTGGAAATCAGGCACCTTGTTTCGATACCAGATCTGGTCGAGCGATCCTGAATCCCTCAGCTCGGTCATCTCCACCCGTCGTACGCTCGAGTCGGGGTCTGTCAGGGCGAGCTTCCACCACACGGCCAGCGCGTTCAGCTGCATTTGCTGTTCTCGCTCGTTGGAACCGTCCATACCCGACCAGACGGCGCCGGCCCAGGGGCTCGCCCATTCCTGGATGTGAGGATCGCCGGGGAGGTTGCGAGCGACGATGGTCACGTCGTAGTTTTTGGGGAGCTGGCTGGCGATTGCCATGCCAGTAATCCTGCATAGAGAATACGATTAGCCTGGTTCTGGAAGGCTTTTGAACTGGATGCACGGAGAAGATTGAGTTACCCTGCGCCAAGGATCGTGATTTTCGTCATGGTAGCAGGAGCTACGTCGATGGTATGCTATATAGCATGGATACTATATGGTATGGTAACAACAAAGATCCTAAACTCTATTAAACTTGTATGCACGCAAGGACGATATTAATAATTGTCGCGAATTCCAAAGATGACATGGTCAGTCTGTGGATCTAGGCTAGGATCGTCTTCCACGCATGACGTCTTTGCAGGTAGAGCAAGTATTAGACTGGACTGTTTGCATCTCTGCGATTTATTTTTATCCTTGTTTTATTATTTCATCGAGACCAGGCATTTCGCAGCAATCATCATTGGCGGGGAATACGATCAGCGGAAGCCTCTTCCGTTTCGGGCAACTCGGATCCCTGTTCCCTTATCTTATCTCGCTTGCAAATCCCTGCATTCGGCGCGCATTAGTGCCCCTTAGCAACATAGCTGGCAGTCTGGTCAGTGACAGGCCAATCCATTCGACTATGTGTGCACATGGACGAGCTATTCCATTCACGTCTATTCAAATAGGGGATCCGATAATATTGATGATAGTCGACGCGGGGAAGACATTATCCCAGGCCGCTGCACAGCGAGCGTCGGGGTTATCACCTCCCTAAAGGTGGATGATTAGGTATCGAAGTCATGGAGGGAGACATTGCATCTATCGTCTATCCAGCAGCCTCACGCGAAAAGACAATTCTAAATGGGTTTATTTATAGGTTGATATCAGGTCCTCTTCCCAGACTTCTGTTGAGAGTAACTTGTGCTTTGTCGCACTGGACCTGTTTGATTAAATTTCTGGGGCAGGTGTTTTGCTTGATTTTTTTTTCGTTCTCTCCCTTCGCATTGTGTCTTAATAACTATCTCTTCCTGCAGCTATCACCATGGGAGCACTCGCAATGGATGACAAACCCTTACCGCAAACCTCGCAGAGAGGCGTCCGGTCCATCGCCCAAGATGCTCTCTCCGAGTACGAAGAGTATCTCCGAATAAACGAAGTCTTCGTGGGCGATCGACTGCAGAGACTGGTTCGCAAGGTCGAGTAGGTCGTCCCATCTATCTATCAGATCCAAAATTCTCATGCTGGCCGGCTAGTATCCACGTCTTGCCGCAGCTCATCTTTATTTATCTGCTATCCTACGTCGATCGGAGTAATGTATGTATAGTACGCCCAGACAGAGACATTAGGTAGAGTCTGACTGATCACAGGTCGGCAATGCAAAACTATTCGGCGCCGCAGAGGACATGCACCTCAGCGGTCAGCAGTGGAACACTGGGCTGAGCGTCTTCTTCGTCACATACGCATTTGGTGGGACGTAAGAAAGAAACAACCTTCAACTTTATTATACAGCAAACACGCTAACTCGACAGCCCATCGAACATCATCCTCAAACGAGTCGGCCCCAAAATCTGGCTCCCCGTTCTCCTGACCCTGATCGGCATCGTCCTCGTCTGCTCCGGCCTGCAGAGCAACTACGCCGGCTGGATCTCGTTCCGCATCATCCTGGGCCTCGTCGAAGCGGGCATGTTCCCCGGCTGCAGCTACGCGCTGACGGCGTGGTACTCGCCACAGGAGCTGCACTCTCGCATGTCGATTTTCTACTCTGGCGGATCGCTGGCGGGCGCGTTTTCGTCGCTGCTGGCGTACGGCATCGGCCAGCTGGACCACACCTGGGGGTACCGGGGGTGGCGGTTCATCTACGTGATCGAGGGGGTTTTCACCTTCTGCGTCGGACTGTGTTCTTTCTTCTTCATCCACCCGTCGCCAGCCAGGGTTGGAAACTGGCTGACTCCCGAAGAGAGACGATTCCTGCTGCTGCGCCACCGCTTCGCTGCTGGCGGCGAGACCGGCGTCGTGGAAAAAGAGGGCTTCTCGATGAAATACGCGCGACAGTCCTTCCGGTCGTTCCACGTCTACGCCATCACCCTGATGGAGATTACTCTCTGTGTCGTCGTCTACGGTATCTCGTTCATCTTGCCGACCATCATCGCCGATCTGGGATACTCAGCGGCCAAGGCCCAGGCGTTGACCGCCCCGCCGTACGTCTTCGCCTGCCTCCTTACTATCTTGTTTGGATATGCTGCCGATCGCTACCAGCAGCGAATGCTGTCAGTGGTGGTACCCAACCTGATCGCCGCCGTGGGTTGCGCGATCATCATGGCGAGTGTGCGCTATCCCCATGTCGAGGGCGTCACCATGCTGGGCTGTTTTCTGATGGCGGGGGGTCTGTATCCCATCCCACCGGCAGTCACGGCCTGGGTATCAGTCAATACAGCCGGATCGATGAAGCGGTCCGTCAGCATTGCGCTGATGATCTCGATCGGACAGCTAGGGGGAGTAAGTGCCGACCTTTACATATACAGCAAGTAGCGTGTAGTATTTACAAACTGACGACTGTCTAGATCATGGGCTCCAACATCTTCATCACCAATCAGGCACCCCAGTACCCCGTTGGGTTTGGAATCTGTCTTGCGATGCTGGTCCTGTTCGGCATTATATGGCCGGTGGTCTACTATTTTATCCTCAAACGCATCAACGCGACACGCGCTGCGATTCCAGTGGAAGAGATCCAAGCGAAGTATTCGGAGGAGCAGCTGGCCGAGATGGGGGACGAGAGTCCTTTGTTCCGGTATTCAACTTAGCGAGAGATTTGAGTGAAAGCGAACAAAAAAAAAATCTTCACGGCCTGGTGAAATTACATCTACTTAGCGTATGGAGACCATATCAACCGATGCATAAGGCCAGGCCTATTCTTAGCGGCAAGCCATCTGCTTTGAATAAAGAGTTGAAAATACTAATACATTATTATGTAGATAGTCTATTATAAAAATGAATAAAAAGAGGGAACGTAAATAGAATACCTAAAAATACCTGTTCCGCTAGTAGGTGGCCTCGTGAGTCCATGCAACTATTTGCAAAAAGTACAGCAGGTTTGCGTAATTTCAAGACGACAAGACAATTCCAACGCAAAAGATTGTTTGATTTCAATCGAATGAAAGCGAGAGACAGCCAAGCACGTACACACCCACACACTCGTATGTATAGATATCGCTCTCCAACCAAAATCACAACTTGTCCCCACAACGCATGTCTGAGTCAGTACTTCATTACCACGGTCTCTGCATGACACTGACAACGCGAGATCGTCGGATCCTGTCATGTGCTGGGCCAAAATATCGCTCTGATCGGAAACTACAATCCAATCAGCAAGCAATTAACATATATAGGGGGTGTACCATTACTGAATGGATCCATGTTGATGGGGTGAGGGATAGATACCTCCAGTTCAGATTGGCCATGGCGACATTCTGCACAGCTCGGATGTACTGCTGCACCTCGGCGTCTATCTGCTCGTCCCAGGTGGGAAGGTCCGCCAGAGCGAGATACCAGTCTCTATACCGGGCGGCGAGCATGGCGCCGAGGTGGTCAAAGGCGCGTTGGGTGCGCATCCCGTGGGTATGGCAGCAGATGGCGACGAGGTTGTGGCGGACGCCTTCTTTCCGAGGGTCTCCGTGTTAGAAGTAGTTTTGGTCCTGCTGATGATGATGGAGGGTCTTCTCTCACCTCTTCCTTGCAATAGGAGAGAATGTCGTTTTGCCTATCCTCATTGTTAACGGAACAGCAGTTGACCAGTCGAGAGGGATAAGGGGGAAGATCTCACAGCAGCACCAGATCAATGCCAATCCGTTCGATCTCTTGGATACTTCGGTTCTCAAAAACCGCGTCCGACAGGTCGAGCTTGTTAACCTTCTTACAGCTCAGAAGGATCGTTCAAGAACATGAAAACAATCACTCAATTCATATGGATGTGCGTGTACGTACTCAGCCAAGGCAAAGAGCGGCGCCACGCCTGCCGACCGCCGGCGCATGGCAAGCATTTCTTCCACTGAGGGATCCTTGCCCCAGAAGCGCGTGTGTACCTGTTCGATGCTGCCGTAGCAGTAGTCGCGCATTGCTTTGGCGAATCGGCGCTGGACACCTGATCGAGATGCAATCAGCTCGCTATGAACCAGCGATACTATAAGGCTAGGAGATAGACGCTCATTATACCAATTGGGGAGCTCTAGAAAAGTCACAGTTTAGTCCATGCTTCACAAAAAAAAGTAGATATTGAGAATACAATGATAGGAGTCTTCCTAACCTTTGCAACGCGGAGCCAGACGGAATTGTGGACCTCGACCAGAGCATCTTCATCTGCAGTACAGGCACCATCTAACTCTCGTGCATCATTCTTCATGCCCATTCCTGACAGCAGTCGATTAACCACCTTCTGCGCTCGAAGAGGGTCTGCCTTGAGGTGGCCATTATCAAACACTGTAATGGGTCGTTAACAGCGGTATATTCAAGTCTTTCATTGTTTATGACACGAACTATCATCAAATGGAAAACCCTGTCATCCTTCTTAATGACTGTCCCAGAAAACAGAAGAAAATGGAATAAAAATCAAGAAAGGAATTCAAATGTCGAATTTAACACACTACCTACCCAATTACCCCAGTCACACACCGTCCGCAACTCCTCAGGCCCAGCGTCAGGAACCGCGACGGCACAAAAGTAGGAGAAGTCAGTCTTGGACAAGATCTCACGCGACTGCAGATCGAAGTTGCATACCCTAGATGGTGATATATCCAACATCAATCCATGGACAATACCTCAGCTACTGGCACCAGCAGACAGACAGACGGACTTACCTGGACAGCCACGCTTCCGATTCCCTGCGCACATACTCATAGTACGCATTAACGCAAGGAGGCTGTGAGAGAAACAAGATAAACATGTCCGGTAGAACCACTTCGATTGTCGGATTGATGTCAGTGTCAGTGTCGGTGTCATGATCGGGATCATGATCTCGCTGCGGTCGTTTCTCCTGCGTGGTCATCCTCGCCGAGTCAGACGCTGCCCTGTACTAAGGACTGGTATCCTCCTCAATTGTTATCGACAAATACGAGATATGCGAAATGCTGGAGATGGAAAGGATGGGACAAGATATGATCGATGATGTGCGACATTGATAGACACGCGACAAACCAGCAACAAGAGCAATATTCGTTCACTTCATCCTTAAAAAAAATTTCTATCCATCCATCCATATCCAGATTTATCACTGGACTTGCCGACTAGACTATGCGGGTATATTCGGCAATCATAATAAGACCAAAAAAAAAAGAAAAAGAAAAAGAAAAAGAAAAAAAGAACATGAAGCGATCAATGAGAACTTTATTGACGAGCAATCGATCATCATTCTCCATTTCAAACGGGTATGCATGTATGAGAGAAAGGAAGGATGATTCAAAGTAAAGCCTTCAGCGACGTTAAAATGCACACCTTGCGATCTCCGTTGCATCCGATGCAGCCTACTGGAATTGGCTTTTCAGACATTTCGACTCTTTCAGATCTATATATATCTTTTCTTTGGCGATTCTTTGTTCGTATGGCGCCGCCACGGCCACAGGGAAGGAAAAGAACGAAAAACAAAAGAACGTTCGAGATCGCCCGTCCTCGAAACTGACCCTTGTTCCAGGAACTTTTGATCAACCGGATCAGAGTAGATTATATCGGGTAGAGCTGTAAGTAATGCGAATCCGCTTTAACCGTTACGATGGAGTGGATGTCCACACCCTTCTCCGTCTTCCTCCCCCTCTTCCTACAGGTTAGGAAGGTAGGTTGTAGATCTGCAACAGGATGGTGTAGGACAGTCCAGCTGCGAGCGTCCATGCATGGACAGATGATGATGGTAGGGGGCATTTCAGGCCACCTTCCTATTGATAATTGCCAGGTGTTCATGAATGATAGAAGGAACTAGCCAGTGATCGGCACTCAGGACTCTTATCTCACGTAAAGGTCCACTTCAAGCCACATAAACGATGTTGGCTACCTACCGGAAAGCATCAGCATGGTTCAATTTATGTTAATACGAGAAGAAGACTAAATTTCTGGTCTGAATAATTTTCATTACTGCAGATCACACCCATAAGTAGAGGTATTGCCCTCAGGATGGAGATATATAGTGGCTCGAGATTTCCGTTTCGTGCTTATCGTTCGTTTAAGTTAGACTCTCCACATAAAATCTGAATTTCGTTTTTGAAATTTGCCTTTAAGACAGAATATCTATCCATCAGTATGGCGTATTTCTCTTTCTTTTCCTCTGGCAGTAGGAAGCATAGCAATCCTCGCACTAAATGGGATTACACGTTCGAATGGACGGAGAATCAATTGCCTGCGGAAGAAACGAACCTCTAAGGCACCAATATGATGAATTAGGGGCCGCAGCTCTCGAGAAACTGCTTGCTATCAGAACCACCAGAAAAGCCGCCAGAGAAGCTGCTTCTGAAGGAAAAGGGGAGAAGCTGAATAAAGACCTCGATCTCGATCTATTTGCAATCCTCCGTGATCACCACACCGAAGACGAGCTGCTGATGCGTTTCTGGGATGAGGTCCATTGCGTCCCCGACTGGGTCGACTGAGACCAGATTCGCGCGCGGCCAGAGATTCTTCTACCGCTACGCGGTAGCGAACATCGTCGGGTTTGCTCTTCAGGGCTTCATCTGCGAGAACTCGGTTAGTTAGACCTTTACTACTCGCGACCAAACTGACTCGGGACTGACGATCGTGTAGGCTTCTTCGGGCGTGGTCGAGGTGCTGGTCCGGACTGGCGGATTTTCCACTCGCTTCCTCTGGGGCAGGCTCCTGGAGACCTTTCAGTGGCTGCTTCAGGTCACCCATGATCTTGCTTCCATCCGACCTGGTGGTGAGGGTCACATTTCCACAATCTGCGTGCGTCTCCTCCATGCCTCTGTCCGCCAGCGCATCCTCCAGCCGGCCCATCGCCATCCAGAATATTTCAAGGTCGACCGGTTTGGGATACCCATCAACACGCTGGACTGTATCCATTCGATCAGCACGTTCTGCTGCAACCCCATGTGGCTGCAGCTTCCCAAGCTGGGAATTAGCCCCCAGAGCAGCGAGATCGAGGACTACGTCGCCCTGTTCCGGTACATCGCCTACCTGCTCGGCACGCCGACTTCCTACTTCGCGAGCGCGGAGAAGGCAAAGCCAACAATGGAGAGCTTGTTTCTCCACGAGCTGCGCCTGACGGAGACGTCCAAGATCGTGGCAAATAACTTTGTCCACTGCGTTGAGAAGAGCTTGCCTCCGCCGATTAATATCTCGCGGCAGTTCATCGAGGCGGGAAGCAGATGCATAAATGGGCACGAGGTGTGCGACGTGCTTGAGCTGGGCCGACCCGGTCTCCTTCCCTACATGCTGTTCAGCGGGCTGCGTGTCCTCGTCACGGGGCTGGCCTGGATGCAGCGCACGATCCCGCGCTTGGATGAATTCATGATCGATGTCAGTGGTCCAGCTCAACTTGTTGATTGATCGATTGACTAACTTAATGTCAGTACTTCCGAACAAAGCTATACTGGGCCGTAGTCCAGAGCAACGCCGGCCTCAAGGGAGGCACCAAGTTCGAGCTAAAACACAAACCACGGCTCGGTAAAAAGACAACAAGGGAGGATCACCCTGTTCGAGAGGAAGACGGGGAAACCAGGGACTGGATTCGATTTTTAGTATGGCCCTCTGCCTGTCTCCGACCAGTGGAGTTGGGATTGTTTCTCCTGGTATGTGTAATACCAAGTGCAATTCTCATTCTCGCTGGAGGGGTAGTCGCACTCTGCGGGCTGTGGTGTCGCTCAGAATAAAAAGAGGGAAAGAGGTGATTTCTATTCAGTCTGGAAGACAGGCGAATCGGCGTATTGATACCAACTCTCCTCCACGTGACGTCCTTGCCACATATGTACCTTCCTGAGGGCAGTCACCTGCAACTTGATTCACCATTGCAAGATTCCTCGTGTCTATTCTTAAGAATTCTGTCTCCCACATAATCATTATCTTCAATTTTGGAGTTTTTGGAAGACAATGTTTTCGCTTGTTCTCAAAAGAGTCCCGTAAATTGCGTATGTTGGTAACGAACACAAAGAACACAGTTTCCTATTTAGGAAGGTCCATGTGGACATTGCTGCTTAGTACCAAAAGTGCTGCAAATTGGTTTCAGAAAGGGGAAAAGGGTAAAAATGAAAAATGAAAAAAACAACGGAGAGCTGGGAGAAGAGAGAATATTGATTAACGAATCAATTTCTTTTTCGAATCAAACTGCGAGTCAGCCCAGCCACAGCACCATATCAAATATTGGCCAACAGCAGACACCAGATGGTTAGCTCCAGTAACAAAAACCAATTTAATTTGACAAAATTCGCCAACAGTGCTGAATGGATATAGTTGTCAAGCTAGTTCCCAATTGTGACTCAGAGACTCGAATTATAGTCATGGATGAATAGGACGTGATACGGCTACCTACGATGAATCATAAACCGTTTCAGTATGAAAGAATATTTTAATTATGTAACAATTATCGTATTGTATCATACTCTGTCCTATTGTAACAACTGCATGCTTGCAAGCTAGCCAAACCAGTATCCCCGATTAATGGTCAGGTGCATCGCTTTCTCCGTCCGGAACGATGGCTTGGGCGTCGGACTTGGCCCATCTTGCCCCAGGACAACGCTTCTTGACTTCCCCTTGACTTCTCCTACTCGAGGCTGCTCTATATCAACTGGGGTCTTGCTCTTTTCAGAGTTGACCTTGCCCAGACGTCGCATAGAGGGGATCCGGATCTTCGGATCGAAACTGATCAACACGATCGCTCGTTTTTCGCCTTCTCCCATATTGACTGCATAGATGAGGGACCGTTCGTCCGCCTCGGCATGAACCCCAGCCGCCGTTTTTGATGGACAAAGAAGGTCAAAGACATCCTCGGGTGCGTCATCCGGAGGCCACAACTTCGTACCCCTGGAGACGAACCGCTCTTCGCTCAACGGAATAGGCTCTCCCGATGACGAAACGTCCCGGGGGATCAGCCTCCCTTCCTCATCAAACGGGCACTTTCGCTTACGTGAACTGATGCGGACTCGCAATCGGTCCGGTGGGATTGCGACCTGGGAGTTCTGGAGTGGGTCGTTGACGAGATCCAGAAACGCAGAGGCAGAGGGATTGTAAGTGCGGTACTTGGTTTTGGCCAGGATGAAATCTCGTCTCTGGGAGGCAGCGTCTTCTAGGCTGTATTCTGGATGCACGTACCTGGGGAGTCGTAGCTCTGGTGGGGCGTAATTGGGCTTGCTGTCCTCATCTAGGGTCGTGGTCAATCGCTCATTCGGTAGCATTATATTCGAGGGCAAGGGCGCGCTTGGACCTGAGCTAACTCCAGTTGAGGAAGAGGACGACGGTGGTGAGGATGATGCCCATGTTAACGTGACAGCCTCAGCAGGAAACGGAAGGGGGTGACGGTAGTAAGTCCGGATATTGTCGCTGCCACCATTTCGCCACTCCCGTCGACATTCGAAGATCATGAGTTCCCCGGTCGCCTCGTCTTGCCGGAGCGACATGTCCGTCCAGGTGTCGTTGATGGGGCCTTCTCGGTGCTGACGACGCCAGATCCGGTTCAACCGGGGTCTGCCCACATGTCCCGTTGGCGGCAAGCATGCCCACATATAGAACGACGTCCAGTCTACTTCTTCCTCTTCGAAAGACACCTGACTGGAGACCGCATAAAGGTGGTCCTGGAAGATCTCAAAGCAGACTGATTGCCCGATATCATTGCCTGCAAAATTCTCCAGGACGATTGGTTTTCGGGTTAGAGGCTTGCCATTCTTCAAGTCTACCACTTCAATGGCCCACTGGTGATACCCATGGTGGCCAATAGCAGAATGGGTGCCATAAAATAAATAAGACCCGTTATGGCGGACGAAGAGTCTCCGACTAGACCGGATCTGCGTGCGGAGACGGACCCTACCATGCTTATGGCCCTGTGGCGTCACGTCAAGCACGATCAGCCAAGGATCCTGTCCTCCTTGAATCTCCACGAGGATCGCGAGGAACCCGGCACTGTAATGAAGGAGTGAGAGTTGAACGGCATTGGCATATATGTTGTCCGCCCGAAGCCCGGGAATGATTCTAACGAGGATGTTGGTGGTATTCAAGACATGTTCCACCTCTTCCGCCTGGTGAACGTCCAACACCCGTATGTCATCGTTGTAGAGATAGCAGAGAACTCCTTCCCGGTAGAGAAAGGTGAAAGGGGTAGTATACGACAAAATTGCTGCCGAGTAAGGTCGTGCCAAAGCCACGGCCTCCCTGATTTCGTAGAGACGATCGATGGCTTCTCGAAATGGGATTTTGCCACTGATGGCCAGGCGACCTTCCTTTGTATGTGAAATGTAGCGCTTAAAAAAAATCTATCAGTATGTCCCAATCACAGAGCTGTGTGCGAAACGAAGATGCTTACTTCCACCGATCGCTTCGCCAGACGCTCATCCCGCAAGGATCTGTTAATGGCCCTGTTGACTCGCGCAAGATTGGCAAAATCCTGGCAGTCCAAGTCATCGGCAATCTGATACAGGACATCATAAGGGAGAGAGTCGAGGTTCCTGGGGGTGTGTGCCATGACCGTTGAGGTCCCACCGGGCGGTGCAGGAATAAGCCCGAAAGTATCAAAGGTAGCACGCGACCATAGAGCATGCTGTGAGTTAACGACTGACAGATTTATCGCTCATGATGAAGGAGGCACGTGAATGACTGGTCATGGAATGAACGTTGCTTGAGGGCTCTTCCCTGTGAAACAAGGCTTTCACAGAGTGAATACCACAGTCATGACCAGCAACATAGAGGTTCTTGCCGGCAGTCACAGTAGGATATATGCTTATAACTGTATGGATGAGGCTCTTCTAGTCTTGAGGGATGGGTCCATGCGACCATTGTGTCAGCTGCCAATCAGCGGCAGAAAATGGCGGCAAAGACATCAGATTCCACACGTAATCCATCTTTGCGAGTCATTGATGAGCAGAATTGCTGCTGGGGTGCCGTGAGAAAGAGCCGCATGATTAACATGGTTGGAGAAGAAACTACAGAGTAGTGTCTAAAAAGGATTATGGTTTCACCACGTTGTCTAAGCCACATAGAAAACAAAATGCGCACTTTACCGACCAACAACTAGCAATGCATACCTATAAAGGATGAGTTGACGGAGTACGGCATTCGTTCCCGACCAATAATAATAGAAGCGAGGATTGCCATCCTTACCACTTCCTTGCTTAGGTCTAAGTACAAGCAGCAGACATGGATGGGTACCTTGACAAGCCATTCCCTGCAAGGGTGCGGCTGTGCAGATCCGAGTTAGAGCCTCAACAAAATTCTTCAGGTTGCGGCTCATTATTCTGAGGCAGTTTCACATTCCGGGCGCGACTGGGCTCCTTAGCGTGGCGATAGCGACTGAATGGCGTGACACGAGTCCGGACTGAGGCTCTAAGGCCGCCGCCTCCCGATCCGCAGAGGCTCTTGAGTACTGCCATATGAGACCTGTACTCCGTACAGTATAGTACATTGGAAAGTTGTGAGGAAAGTTTCCTCTACAGCTGCTGTCATAACTGAAACCGGTCAAGATAAGATAGATAAGCAATTGGGCTGACGACGATCAGCGAGCGAGTGCTGAATGGCGGGATTCTGTTATGCGCTGTCCTGCCCCTGCCACGTGCCCAAGGCTGCTTGCTTATCGAGCACCCATCCTGCATCTTGCAATTTCGAGATTTGGCACACGATTCGACTCGCGCCGCCTCGTTCTGCAGCTCTGCAGATATGGATCAATATATATATGTACTGTATGTATCCCTGGATGCAATTGCCAAACCCCGACGGCTACCAAAGATCCATTGGCATGCTGTCTTTTGCTATCCCGCCCAACGGCCCCCGCTTCATTCTAGTGGGACTTGTGTGTTGTCTCCATCTAAGCTTCCAAAACCCCACTTCTCTCTCGCCTTTCTTTTTCCTTTTTCTGAATATTGACTTTCCTAGAGACCAGAAATACGAACTGCCTACGTAACTAAACTGAGTCAGAGCTCGGTGAAAACACTTTTTGGGGAACCCGACCGGAGAATACCATTCCTGGACATTGCGATTGCGATCATTCTGTCGTGGCATTGGCATAGCATACGATATGTATCTCCAGAGTAGATACCACCTGTCGGACAATCAACTCATTTAATCGACTCACGTCCAGATTTACGAGTCAGAGCAGATTCCGGTTTGGATGATTTACAACCATGAGATTGCCTTGGATACAAAAGGTTCTTGGAGGAACGTTTATCGCTCAATGATATTCTCTCTTCCAGCTTCTCGTTCTCGTCAACGAATAAGAGAACTGGCGTCATCTTTCAACCTCACTGCCATTATCAACATGACAACAATCGCCCTATTCATTGAATCAGTCGACCTAATCCCATTGGACTTGTGGTCAGGCCACGATATGAGCTGTCTGCTGCAGAAAGCGTCGTTTGGGTCGACATGATGCTTGCTTCGTGGCAACCATCGCCTTGCCGTTTTCCAGACGCTATCCAACCGGTGAGAGGCTTCTTTCCAATCGTGGCACGACATCCGTTGTGGGCGAGAATGATAGACTTCTCTTATGACGAAAAGGGGTGCAATTTCGCGGTGTTATGCCCGAGAGAAGAAAATTATTGCTCCTCTGGGAGGTGATGATTTCAGGTAAGGTGGACCGTCCTTTACTCTCACTTACACATGAAATTAGGTTCTGTTGTTCACTGTCCTCTTTCATTTTTGCAAAACGAGATCACCATACTACAGATATATATACCAAAGAATGTGGTTAGGACGCCTGGCCAAGTAGCTGCCTTAATAGTCAGTGGGCCTGGGGTCAACAGTCCTTGGCACGTGCTTTCTCTTACAACCAATCAAGCAAAGCGACACTGCTAATAGAATACAGCAAAGGTCTCACTTCACTACAAGCTCCATAATCCTGTTTGTTCCCCTTCTGGTTAGAATTTATCTGCCAGAAAATTGTGAGATCGTCCTAAGAAACGCAGATCTCCTCTGTGCTGAATAATATAATAGCGGTTCGTATAGCGGGAGTAATACGTGGAAAGTGCCGTCAGCTGCGTAGTTGTTTCTATTCTTGGCATCGCCCAAAAACGAAAACCCTCAGTTCTAGTCAACTCTCATCTTCTAAACTTCCACAGTCAGCGCCTGTTCTCTGGCGCATCTAGAATAAACTTTCCAGCGGTATTTCTGCCAGCTAATCGATTCCAGAATTGATTGTTTTCCTCTTCTTCACCAATCCTCCACTGAGAGAGCCTTTTGTCTGCATCACTCTCTGGCCAGTTCTTTGCACCCTATTTTTTTTAATTCCTGACAGCCGGTAACGAGGCCATCTTCTGCTCTTCCAGCAGCCGGGCCAGGCACCCATCTGTTGTTGGACAGACTGCGTATGTATCCGCACGGACACGGAGCCCCTCCTCCTCCCGGCTGGGGTTATCCCCAACAACAATGGAATCCGCCTCCGTGGGAAGGACACGCGTGAGTGACATGTCATCTGTGGATCGAGTGTGCGAGGAATTCGTTATGATTAAACTTCTTGTTCAGCCCTGCAACTCCACCCTACGGCCATCCTTCGCCTTCCCCGCATCACCAGTACTATCCTCCGCCAAACGCTGCGCCGCCTCCCCGGACGCCGCCAAGACATAGTCCTGGCATACCGCATCGTCAGTACAGTCCCTTTCCAGCCTGACCAATAACAATGAGATAGTTGTGTTATCAGTTAAATGCTGAGAAATAAGCTGAATAACAGAAAACTCCTCATGGAACCCCCCTCCTGGCCCTCCACGCCCGCCGCCTCAGGTTCCTCAGAGCTTCGGCCATGGCGCTCCATCGCATTATCAATACCAATACTCCAACTGCACTGGAAAGCGCAAGGCTCTGCTGATCGGAATCAATTACTTTGGCCAGGCAAACCAATTGAGAGGATGCATCAACGATGTGACGGAAATGTCCATTTTCTTGAACAAGTACTACGGATACCGCCGGGAAGATATGGTCATCTTGACTGATGACCAAGCCAATCCGATGAGTCAGCCTACGAAAGCCAACATCATCAGGGCGATGCAGTGGCTGGTGAAAGGCGCCCAACCAAACGATTCCCTGTTTATCCATTATTCAGGTGAGCACGGAGACGCAAGACCTCGGTTTTTCCCTTCTGATCCGGTCTAGGACACGGCGGCCGCACTCCCGACCTTGATGGAGACGAAGACGATGGTTTGTCGCAGCCCTAGTTCTGTTTAGCAGACGTGATGATTGACCGCAGTTCAATACAGGATTCGACGATGTCATCTATCCTGTGGATTACAAGGTTGCTGGCCACATTGTAGACGATGAGATGCATGACATCCTGTACGAACCCATTCGCCTGGACCGTAGAAACCTCATCATGTGCTGACTGGTGCCAGGGTCAAACCTCTCCTTCCCGGAGTTCGTTTGACTGCCATCTTCGACTCATGTCATTCGGGAACGGCACTAGACCTTCCCTATGTTTACTCGACCCAGGTACGCTCCCAGTCGGGTGAATTGCTTCTCCCGTAAGCTGATGTGTAGCAAAGGGGGTCTTGAAAGAGCCCAATCTCGCCAAGGAAGCCGCGCAGGACCTCTTCAATGCATTTGCCGCTTACGAGAGGGGTGACTTGGGAGGAGTCGCCTCGACGGCCATTGGATTATTCAAGAAGGCCACGATTGGAAGCTCTGCTCGTGAAAGGACCATCAAGACGAAGACCTCCCCCGCGGACGTTGTTATGTTCTCCGGGTCCAAAGACTCACAAACATCGTAGGTCCCTTGGTGATGTCCTCCTTTGTGTTCAGTGATTAATCGCGATTATGACAGCGCCGACACATTCCAAGGCGGAGAAGCAAGAGGAGCTCTGAGCTGGGCATTTATTGAATCTTTGAAGAAATGGCCCAGACAGAGCTACCTGCAATTGTTGAATTCCATCCGAGCGCTGCTCGAGGACAAGTACACGCAGAAGCCGCAGCTGAGCTGCAGTCATCCACTGGGTATGTCGGTTCTGATTTCGATCTTCCACAATCTGTTGTGCAAGCTGCTGATATCGGACAGATGTGCATCTGTTGTTTGTTATGTGAGGCAGGCTCTTCTTTCTTCCTTTCATTTTGAGTTGCAGTACCAACTATCGCATCGTATGGTGAGAACAAGAGGATTCTTTTGGTAAGTCTCATATGAAATGCTCTCCATCCTATATCATTGCAGCACAATGAACGAAAGCCTTTGTCACGTCATTGTTCGTTATTGTTTTTGAGACCTTTATCTGTACCCTCAATGGTCAATTTTGCCGGTATATTTCAGCTGGCTAGGAGATTGTAAATACGTTGGGATATTCCGTCCAGCCAGTTTGGGCTTTGTGCTCTCCAATATATAATTTGTACAAATTCCTTTTCAGGATATTTTCTCATCCATCCGTCTCAACTCGACCACGTCGTCTGGCAGGTAAAACTAGACGCAGGTGCCAATCGAACACCACGACTCGCAGCTGTTTGCCAATTCTGCGTAGTTGGCCATTCGAAGGGTCTCTCGCCCGTCCCATTTCACCTGGCCACAGCATTCCCCAACCCAAGACAAGAGATACAGGATATTATCCCACCGAGTTGGAGGGGGGAAATGTGCCGGGTGCTCATCGTGCACTTTAACTGTGGCCATTATGGACGCGTGGCAGCCATCCACTGCGGATTGCGACACCTGCTCGACCAGCCCTGCGCGGACGCGCTGGAGCAACACTTGCACGAACCGGAACGGTGTTTTCTGTGCAGCTTCCTGGACTGGTTCCGGCGGGTGGACATGTACGACTGGGCGCGGATCTGTCGGCGAGAGGGCCGGGAGCTCGACTTCTCTAGCATCGAATACACGTGGTTTCGGGTGAGGCGGCGGCGCGAGGTCTGGAACCCGATCATGGCGATGTACCTGTGGGGGGTGTTTCAGGTGCTGCAGCTCTACTACCACCGGTACTGTACACGCTCTCCCGGACGATGAACTGTGTTTTTCCAACCATCCTGCTGAGACGAACTTTCTTTTTCTTTTCAGTGCGGTTCGACCATGCGAGTTGCTTAGGGCTTAGCAGTGATCAGCTAGGGGGTCAGGATTGGGGCTGGTAGCTGTTGTCATGTCTGTGACAAGTCAGGTATGCTTTTGTTTGTCCTGAGATTGCAAGAGATCTGCCTATCGCCGATGGATGGATGATTCATAGCAAGAATGAACTAGTTGCGGAGTTGGCAAGACGAGTCAAGTCAAATGTATTCGAGAAACTTTTTCAACTGGTCGAGAGAGCTGTACATGGCTAAGTGGACTGACAATTTATTTCGATCAAGATTGTTTGTCGAGGTGGGGGATATTATTGGTAGAATGATAATGTAAGATAAGCTACTGTCACATATCTTCTTTATCTCCCTTGTACGATCACATCCATCGCACTGTACTGTCCGGATAAATAGAAGGAGTTTGTAACTAATCCACAACCTTACCCCAGCTGATTAATACCTAAGTAGGTTCCAAGGTTAATATATCTGGGTAATGGGGACAGGTCGATTTATCCTAGAGCTACCGCTGGAGCAGAGTACGATTACAGGGATTGGATTGATATTTCCGTGGTTCTACGAATTTTATTTATTTATGCTCTGCTGACCGAAAGTCTGTTTGGAGTTCTCAACTTGGCCAAGGCACATAACACTTTATGTCCTAACTGATTCTGTAGTTAGAAATGGATCAATAGCAGCATTGTTGTTCTTGTTCTTGTTCTTTTTTTAAAGTTCTCATTTTAGCCGTAGGCCTAGCTTCTTCTTCTTTTTTTTTAAGTCCCAAAGGATACTAAATCCAGCTATCCAGCTGTTATTAATAGGCATGTCTGTACAACCATCTCGTTACGCATATTGCATCGATCCGATGACGAATCCCTGTCTGACTGACTCGATTGACCAATCGGAATTAAGTTGAGTGAATGTGGGATTAGGTACTCTGTACTTACCGACTGACTGCAGACATCTAATAGTAGTACGGAGGACTCCGTACAGAGTAGACTGCTGTCGCAGTTCGTGGATGTTGTCGTAGTCGACCATGACGACAGCGCTGGGGCCACTTGCTTGCTGATCCATCCGAGTCCATGTGGATCGTTTGATATGATCATCGTCATCGTCATCATCATCATCATCATCACCAAAGCCGTCGTCTGTAACCATACCCGGTATTATTACATTACATTCATGATGGAGAGTACTCTGCACTCTGTGCAGGACAGAGGACATGTTATGTAATCTGTATGAATTCAGCAACTCTGGTTGATCGGAGTGGAGGTAACAAATTGAACCAATTGATTGGTTTTCTTTTTCTTTTTGCTTCTTTTTTTTCCCCCTATTAACTGGCTGTGTCCATGTCTCAGATCACGTCACCTGCAGAAATAACTAAGTGATTGGGAATGGCAGCTAGTAGCGGACTTACGACGCACATGTGGCTTAGTGCAGTACCTACAACCAGCCTAATCTGTACCTACGGAGTATGTATCTATGTAAACCCTAAATTGTACTCGTCATTGCAGTCACACAACAGGCAAGACAGTCAAAAGCCAATTCGAATTTTTTTTCTTTCTTTGCAAGTCATAATTAATAGCCAAGTTTGGGCCGCGTCAGCGGGTCCATTCGGATGTCCGGCCGGCTCGGAGTCCCTCCACTTCGGAGGATTATCCTCACCATCCCAGTCAGTCCACAATATTGGTACCTTGGGAGGCGTTTGCATCATCTGCTGGATCAGCGTAAAGAATGATCAGATAATAGGTGAATAGTTGAATATAGTGTTGACAGACAGCCCACATTACATTAATACAGGGCAGTACACTACATTAGTTATTTACTTCGTTACTACTACTGCTGATCGCTAAGCATAGCATCAGGCGTATTCCGGATCTTCCGTCAATTAGTATTCTTGTGAAGGTGAAGGTCTTTTTTATGTGAATTCTTTCATCCTTTCAGAGTTGTTTATTATTACTGAAAAGGGTCAGTGGGTGGTGTACCGCTCTGCTGTCCATTCATTGTTCAACTTGTTACTTCACGCAGCTTACCAGGCTGTTTCTCTGTCTGTCTGCTGTCTGGGGTGAGATATTGTGCTGTGTCTACAACCAACAAAGCTGACAGGTCAGTTTCATTCGTTTAATAGATTAATATGACTTGATCTCGATCAATAGACAGTCGAACCCAACGAGCTCGCAGCAATCTTTCTTTTTCTTTGTCACCACCATGCGATCCACCACCACCATGGCAACAGACACAGTCGAAGTCCCTCGTTTCGTTCTCCAGACCGTTGAAAATGAGCCTGGCCTCGAAAAATTCGTTCCTACTTCTTTCTCTTCCTCTTCATCTCCTTTGTCGACAGAAAATACATCATCGGTCGTTGCGACGGTGCAGGAGGGAGATGTCAATTCCAATCAACCCTCACCACAACAACCACAATCACTACCACCACCACCACCACCACCAGCAGACGAACTGCCAGTGAAAGAACCACGTATTACCAATCCAAATTCTAGTCCTAATCCTAATCATAATCATAATCGTATCAACCACAAGCCCGTCTCCTCAAAACAGTCACACCCACCGCCCCGATTCTACTCTACGCCCTTGGACCCGCAAGATCCGGACTCGACGCCCGTCACCCTGTACGGTCTCGAGCAGACGTACGAGTATTACGTGCCTCGACGGAAGACGTGGATGTTGCCGTCGTTGTCGTTGTCGCATTCGTCGGCATCTGCCCCTTCGCCTTCTCCTTCTTCTCCTTCTGTCAGACCTTCTACATCCGTCTATTCTCCTTCCGCTAGGCCTCGAAGTGTGATGATGATAGGCGGTAATTTGATCGATCCTGCAGCAGGAGCAGGGGCATGAGCAACAGCCAGACCAGGCACAGTTTCAGGACCAGGACCAAGACGCTTCGTGTCGAGAAAGTCGCCTTTGTCGTCGTCATTTTCTTTGCCGGCTTCGACGGATGCAGAGACGGAGACAGAGGCAAAGACACAGGTAAATTCAGATGCAGAGGCAACAGCGTCGACAAAAGAAAGTTCGACTACAACTGCAACTGCAACTACAGCTACCTCCGATCTACGCTCGTCCTCGTCGCATTCCCATCAACGCTCGCATTCATCATCGTCGTCATCAACTTCAACGACACGAGCAACGACTCCCGCAGCGACGACAGCTGCAGATACACCAGTTCAACTGTCCTCGTCCTACAAATACTCGCGCTCATCACCGTCACTTCTACTGTCACCGCCATCACAACCGTCAGATTGCGCTCTTACGCAGACATCTTCTTCTCCAAATGCGACTGCAACTACAGTTCCACCACCCATTCCAGGCACATTCCCAAGGCGAACAAACACGACGCCCACGCTGACAACGACGATAACATCGACAGCTGCATCTGCATCCAGATCTAAATCAAGAAGACATTCCGTCCTCTTCTGGAGGAAAGATGATCACAACCATGATCAGGATCAGGATAGTCATCTCCCGACGAGCGACAGCAATCAAAATGACAACACCAAAACCAACAAGATGGAAAACACCACTAACAACAACGATAATAATAATAGCAACAACAACGACAACGGCAAACCCACAAAAAAAGAAAGCCGCCTCCATCGCTCCCTGACACGAAGATTGACCCTTTCATTACGATTGCGCTGATTATGTGTCTATCTAATTAACAAACGGACTGGATTGGAGTCTTGCAGCTACATATGTACTGTACTGTACATGTATGTACTGTACATACATGGTACCCAGTCACAGATAGGAGAGAATCTAGAGGATAGGTCAGGGCCAGTGTTAGGTGTTAGGTTAGGATTAATACGTTGTTTCCATTCCCATTCAACACCGACGGTGCGATGAGATGCAGATATAGATACTTGTGGTAATGGCGATGGCGATGGATGCATGCTGCATTGTTGGATTATTTCTTTTGTTTTCTTCTTCTTCTTCTTCTTCTTCTTTTTTTTGGTTTCTTTTCCCTACCTGATCGAGTTCTTTTTCTTTTTCTTTTTCTTTTTCTCTCTTTGGATACTTCGCTACGCAATAAACGGTGAATGGCGCTTCTGGGTTGGGATCTCTGGTCTTTGGTCTTTGGTCTTTGGATTGGTCAAACTTGTTATGTGTGTGAGTAACTGTATGTATGTATGTACATAGCTCGATCGAGATATCATCTTCGTGAGAAATCAACTAGAGACTGTTCCGAAATGAGTTGATTTATTATTATCAGTTAATGAGGCCAACGTCTATTCTAGACAGATATTCCGATTCTGGTTGGTTCTAATCTCGCTATCAGCTCTTACCTAACAGTCCAACCATGACCATTTCTGCCCAGTGTTGTACATATCTTTGAGATTAAACAAAAAAATCATAAAAGGGGCTTGAGTGTAAGATAGGTCATCAAAAATATAATTAAATAGTGAACGATTATATAGGTATCGTGGTAAACTTGTCTCAATCGCCAGATACGCCTCAAGAATGCATATCACTCTTTTGAGCCAGTCGACCCACTAAACAGCGGCTGAAGAAAGAAAACAAAAATCCACCATAACGCCAAACCCAAATTGCCAAGACATCTCTATAGTCGGATACTCTCCATCTCGTTCATCACCAGTTCCATCTGAACTCGCTTGACGGCCTCCGCGACGAGGGTAAAGTCTCTCAAGAACGGTGCCGTCGCAGCTGGACCCCCCAGTTTGTTCTCAGTGTGTGGATATAGCGCCGCAGTTGTTTCATACTCGTCCTGGTCTTGAGACGATTTCATCTCCGACACATTCTGCGAGTCAGCCATCGGCGGCTGGTTTTGTGCCCACAAAGGCCGCGGCTCGTTGGCAGTCGCCTGCGATGTGTGCGCCCCGTTGGGCTGGAACTGCGAAGTCGTCATCGGCGTTTTCGAAGCGTTGAAATGATCGCTGCCGGTTGACGTCGAGGACGTTCCACTTGCGGTTGGCATGTTCTGGCCAAAAGAGCGGAGGTTGTATCGAGGTTGCGTATTGCGATCCATGATGCCACGAGCGACGGAGGAGATATGAGAGGGGCGACCGGATAGAGGTGTTGAAAGGTGGCAGAAAGGGGCTTATCAGGCAAGAGGGTCCTCAGTGCGGAATCGCTAGTCCTGACTAGATGTTCATCTGACCTGCTCCGATAAGCAAGTCAGGCGACGGCCGCACGAGAATCCTCCTGCTCGCAATTCTGGTGAAATCCAACGGAAGGTCACAGGAGGTCGACAATCTGGGAGGAAACTTGGAGACGGTTGGGTGTCACCCGAACGTGGGGTTCGACTCGACAAGCTTGCCCTGCAGCGGGATGGCGTTCGGATGGGATTCCCGAAGCGACGATGACGCAGGAAGGCTCGTCTATCTCGGCTGAAGCAATACCGAGAAGTTCTGTAAGAGAATGCGCCAAATGCCGTAGGAGGGAGAGAACGTCACGATGCGAAGGTGAAAGAGATCATGCAAGATGATTGCATGATGGCCGCAGTCGTGACTGTGATGCTGGATGAACGGAAGTTACGACCCACTGCCGAAGCATACCCGAGCGTAATGCCGCGTATCTCCACGCCTGGCCACGTGAAGTTCCGGTTGGTATCCCTGTATCTCCATGTATTTGTTACACGACGGCCGTATCGGCCAGCCTCGGCTGCGACTGCCGTCATTCGCCCACCGCAGCACGTGATGAGCCTGTTGCTGCCAATGACGCCAATCACATCCGCTAGACCCGATATGGTATGGCCTGCCGGACCCCGCCTGCCCGCCGGTTTTCCTAATTCGGAACATTTTTTTTTGTGTTAATCTTTCTCATCGCATCTGCATGTGAACTTCGAGTGACGCTTGCAACAATGGCCTCAGAACGGCACGAGGACGTCCTCGCCGACGGACTCGATGTCGGAGGCATCTTCAAAGACCCTGAAGGCTACTACCAGGAGAAAGAGCCTACCTTTGCCGAACACCAGATGCTCTCCGGCCGCACTTTGCGAGTCCGCCTTGTCGGCAGCCATCCTCTCTACGTATGAGCCGATTGACCTCCTGCCTCATCGTCTTTCTGCCATGTGTGACGCTCCGACTGACGGCTTTGGAGGGCGATCTGCTATGGAATGCCGGTCGCACCAGCGCCGAGTACCTGGAACAGAGGGCTGCCGAGCTCGTCGAGGGCAAGGACATCCTGGAGATCGGAGCTGCAGCAGGCGTGCCCAGCATTGTCTGCGCGATCAAAGGCGCCCGTACAGTGGTCATGACTGACTATCCAGACCCGGAACTGGTGGACAACATGCGCCAGAATGCTGCATCCTCCGCACCGCTCATCCCAGAACGCTCTCACCTACACGTCGCAGGTTACAAATGGGGCGCCTCAACTGAGGAGATAATGTCGTTCCTTCCGCCTGGATCGCAAGGGTTCGACTTGCTTATTATGGCAGACGTGGTGTATAGCCATCGCGAGCATGGGAACCTGATTTCCACCATGCAGCGGACGCTCAAGAAGTCTCCGGACGCGATCGCCCTGGTCATCTTTACCCCATACCAGCCATGGCTGCTACCAAAGACAGAAAAGTTCTTTCCTTTGGCTGAAGAGAATGGATTCAAGGTAACAAAACTGTTTGAGAAACTTATGGACAAGGTGCTCTTTGAAAATGATCCAGGGGTATGCAATTGGACTGTCAGAGCATTTGCTTTCGAAATACTGATTCCTTTCGATAGGACGAGAAACTGAGACGAACGGTCTTTGGATACGAGATCCGGTGGGCTCCTGATAGACTGTAAGGGGTGTGAAACAAGGGAAGCGTCTAGTTTAGCATGCTGTCAGTGGAAGGCATTATTTGAGCTTCCGAACTGAATTCTGCTATACCACTACATGCATATCGATACGTATATCACGAGCGATTTGATGGCTTGCATGCATTGGTCGAGTAGTCTCAGCCATTATCCTAATCTATATTTCCAAAGGAATAGCTTGTGGTCATCCAAGTTTTTGCAACAGCATACGTGTGGGCGGCACTTTCTCCAATAAAATATTTAATAATTGTTTTTATACACGTCTGATTGACAGCGATACTCTATTGTCTGAACGTTCTATTATCGTGTTGATATTGTATTTAAGTCATGTAGTTCCTTGGGCAGTCTCGGCAAGCCGAGCGCATCGCTCTTCCGGCCCCAGTCACATGCGACCGCATGCCCAAGAAAAAAGTCTCCGCCACGGAGATCTGGATTCACCCCGCGTCTGCCAGCTTCACGAAACGATGCCCGTAAGTTCCTCAAAAAAACCCTGCGTTTCCTTCGCTGTCTGACCAAATCGCTGATTACCAGCAAACACTTCTATAGTTGATCATTCTTACCGGCTACCCCTGCTCGGGCCTCACCTACCGCGCGCACCAGCTTGCCGCGCTTCTCGAATCTGTGCAGGACCGATTCCTCCCCGCCGATACGACGACGGCCACAGACTCGTCGCAAAAGCCCCGATACAAGATCCATGTCGTCCCTTCACATGATTTGTCTCATCCTCGGACAGTCTACGACAATGCGCGGACGGAGAAGGAGGCCAGAGCCGTCGTGTTCGCCCGGGTCAAGCGCGCACTGGGGCGGGATACCATCGTCCTCGTGGACGGGATGAACTACATCAAGGGGTGGAGATATCAGCTGTGGTGTGAAGCGAAAGCTGTCGGGACGACTTGCTGTGTGGTACGTCTATATAACTCTTTTTCTCTGTCTATACTTGCAGCAAAAGAGCCCCGAACTGCACAGCGTTACCCCGCGAAGTCTCTACAGCACCTGGCCGTGGCGATATATCTCACACATAATCTCGTACAACTAGGTTCACGTTGGAACTCCTATCGACACATGCGTCGCGATAAACAATGCACGTTTGCGCCGTCAAGGGCAGCAGGTGAAACAGCACCCGGATGGTCAATCGCAGCCCGCAAACGGAGGAGACAACGCTCTGGAGAATGCCGAAACACCAGCCCCAGCGCAAGATACCACCGTTGACCTGGCAGAAGTCGACAACGAGGAGCCTTATCCTCCTGAATTACTTGATAACCTGATATTCCGCTACGAGGAACCGAGCACGCATAGTCGCTGGGACAAGCCCTTGTTTACGGTGCTCTGGTCTGACGCCTCTCCGCCTGTCGAGGATATCTGGACAGCCATCACAGGGATACAGGTCCAGAAACCGACAACAACCACGCCTCTATCGAGTCTCCTCTCTACAACGACGACGACCTCGGAATCTACTACTACTACTGCTCCTCCGCCCCCTCCATCAGACACAGCTAGTATTGCGACAGCTACAACAACAGGAGCAACAAGAGGCACTCTTCCGCGGCCGAAAATCAAACCCCACCAGGCGACCGTCCAGCCCGCAGCGACGGATCCCACAGCCCTGTATTCCTTCGAGAAACGCACCTCCAACATCATCTCAGCCATCCGCGCATTCGCGATGTCCAACCCGTCCGCCTCAGCCGCGCTGGCACAGAGCCCCGACAGCAAAGGCATCACGATCCCCGTCCCCGAGTCTTCCATCCCCGTATTCATCCCCGCACACATCGCCACAGGCGCAACGACAGATGAACTAGCCGGCGTGGGGGGGATACTGGCCCTGCCGCGCCTACAACGGCTCCGACGGCAGTGGATCGGCCTGAACCGGGCGTACGTCGGACAGAACCACGGCCAAGGCAAGGGCACACTGCGGATCGAGCAGGTCGGCGACGCGTTTGTGCGGTTTCTCAACGCCGAGTTGGCGGGTGAGAATGTCCCTGAGGAAGTAGATAGCTAGCTAAAAGCTAAAAATAAAAGTAAGCGTGGAATTTGGTGTATGTAATGCGATTGATTAATACGAGAAAATTTCAATCAACATATATATAGTCAAGAAAAAACAAGGCTATCTAGGCAGTTAGGTTTGGAAATGTCTATTATAAAATCACTTCCTATAGGAAACTTGCCTTCCTATAGCCGAGTCGGAAATCCGATAAGATACCTGAAATATAATAACAAAGTCCTAGTTTTAGGATATAGATACTTTTCTTTTTTTTCTCTATCTTCATTGTCATTGCTCTCTATACTGTCCATAAAAGAGACACAAGGAGACAACAACATAAGACACAAAAGGCAGACAGACATGTACTGGTACCTGGGGTAACTCATGGGGGCGGAAAAAAAAACATACACAAGAACAAAACATAAATGCCACCAAAGAAAAAAAAAAGACAAAAAAGTAACAAGAACTGTATACAAAATCCATCACAAAAACAAAAAAATTTTTTTTTTCCCATCGCCCACAAAACAAAAACACAAGCAGTACAGGCCCCCTCTTCCCATGACATGTCTTTTGTCCAATGCAAATCCCACCAAGTACGTACACGAATCGAACAACATACAGGTCGCTTCCAGCGCGCAAGTTAAATCAGTACAGGAAACAAAAATGTCAAGTCGTCCTCCTGGAACAATAGCAGAAAAATATACATGAAGTGTGTACAAAAAAAGGGGAAAAAAAAGAAGGAAAAGACAAGAAAAAAAAACAGGGAAGGGGCGGCAAGGAGAAGAAGGCGAGGAATCACGGTGAACTCGCTCTAAGAGCGTCACGCTCGCACTTTATGTCCTGGTCTGCCTAGGTTAGCAGTCCATTTGTCGTCCAGCTTCATGAATGCTCCAATCCACAAAGGCACAGGCACAACTCTGCCTGGCCTTGTCGAGATCAGGATATGCCCAGAAGCGGGCGCAAAATACAGCCTTGTGGGGAGTCGGCACATGGCCGATGAGCTTTGTCTTTCTCAGCTGCCAGTGCTGGGTCCTTTCATAAGTGGCATGTCTCATACGGCAGACTGGCCCATTTGGAAATCTTGCAGATCAACTGCCTGGTCCCAGTTAACTGCCTGACATGGTTTGCACGAATGGCTGGTATGGTCGGTCAAGGCCAAAATCCGAGATGCAATCTACCTGGCTCCAATGTCCGTGGGTTGGACAGGCATGCGCGGCAGAGGGGCATAAACAATCCAGAAGATTCTCCTTCTTTGCATGGACTGTTCAAGCAGACATACCTCCGGCCACTTGGGTTGCTGCCGAGCTGGCTTCCAGTTGGCGATAGTTCAATCCCAGAGTGATGAGCTCCTGAAGGCTGGCATTAACCTTCTCATGCATCGCAGAATCCTGTGGAGTGATGTTGCTGAGCTCCTCAATAAGTCGAGCACGGCAGTTGTAATAGTTCTTCTCCGCGTTTTGGAGTCTCTGTCCGTGGTTCGCCGAAGCTTGAGCAGCCTTCGCGGCGCTCCCTTGAGAGGATGTGGATCGAGTCCTTTTCATTGTTTGAGCACCAATAGTGGCCTTGGTAACCTTCCTCTTGCGCACTGAATCCTTCTTCTTCGAGGCCTGGCCAGAAGTGGAAGCTGTCTCCGGGGAACTGGGCTGTTCAGAGGGGGTGTAGTCATGGACTCTCTTCATATGATCGTAGAGGTTCCACCGACGAGGAAATCCATAACCTGGGATCGATCTTTCACATCCTTCAAAGAGGCAAAGATGAGGATTGTCTCCGTGGCCGTGGAATCCATGGGCTTCCCGCTCATGACGGAAGAGGCAGGCATTGGAGGAGAAGTGCAGTTTCTGAGCCATGCAGGAAGGGACCTTGCACCGGTATGGCTTCAAATGGGAATCCAAGTATTTGCTACGCCATGTTAGTTTCAATTGACAAACAGGCAGGACAAAGAAGGGGGATATTTACTGATAGGCGCATTTCTGTGTCGTCGGAGGATGGTTGCATGGGTTCTCTCCGGTAGAAAATGGGCAGTAGTACTTTCCATCACTGTGGGTGGGTAAAGAATAGTATGGATGATCCCGGGGTCCTCGGGTTTCAGAAGTGTCCTTCGACCGTTGCCGGAGAGGCTCCCTCACAGGCATAGAAGCGTACATTTCCGGGTCAGATTTCCTTTGGGATCGACCTGCCGCCGCGGAGAGTAAAGGTCGCTGCGCTTGCTTGGAAGGCCTAATGGTCCTGCAAAGAAAGTCAGTAATCAACGTCAAACATGTGCCAAAAAGAATTCAAAGGGGGGGCTAACCTGTTGGGATCCTGGTCACTGAGTGGTGGGGTTAATGGGAAAAAGGAGTCGCCCAGGTTAAGATTCTGGCCAGAGACTGTGGAATTCGCATTATTCTCGCCCAGAAGGGTTTCGTCCTGACCCCGGAAAGAGTATGCAGATTGTGAAGCAGAAGTAACAGAGACCTGGCTTGCTTCAGTGAGAGGAGGGGAGACAGCACCCGGAAGACCGTGGGGCATCTGGTCGAATGTAGATCCAGGGAAGTTTCCAGTATCCAGGCTCAAGGACTTCCAGAAGTGGCCATCATCATTGTGAGAACTGTTTCCCAGAGACGCGGTGTCATCCTGCATACAACCCTGGTTTCCATCGGAGGCACAAGCATCATTATCAAAGGAAAAGTCCACCATGGAAGAGAAGGCTTGGAAATCTTGAGCCTGAGACATGTCTAGGTCGTTATGCTCACCAATACCCTGGGCGGCCTGGAGGTCAGACAGTGCTGGGAACATGGCAGCAGAGTCATTAACACCGCTGTGGCCTGCACCAGATGGCAGGAGCTGATGAGAAAAGGAATATGACAACATCTGAATCTCCGGGGTCTCTGGCTGGGTCGATGTAATTGGGCTTGATTCAATGGAGTCTGATGTGCTTAACGTCCACTGATCCAGGTCTTGGGAAGTCTGAGAAGTGTGCTGTAGGCTTGAAGACAAGGAAAAGTGATCCTGGCTTGAGACATCATCATCCTGGACTGTCCTGGAAGCCATGGTGGAGACATCCTGAATGGCAGGGGTATGCCTTGGCCTGGAACTCTGGTTCACTGACTGCACTGATGTTTGTGGTAGGGAGACGTTCCCTGACTCCATTTTGATCCCTGAGGGCATCCTAATGGGGGTAAGGGAAGAGAAGGGGCTGGTCTGTTTCCAACTGTGGGAAGCACTAAAATAAGAAAAAGTCAGTTACTCCAACATCCAACAGAAGGAAATCAAAGCAATCAAAACAAAAAAACATTGCGCATCTCCGAAAACTGTCCAGGGCACGTCGGGACCTGCTTTGACGTTAGTTACACTCCAAGTAACATAGCATTTCATGGTGACCGACCAGTCTACTTTCCAGGACTCACTCTCCGTTGCCGCGCCATCAACATGTCGATACACAATCCAGGATGGTGACATGTCGGAATCCAAGGGCCAGAAGTACATCATGTCGACGGTCCAGAAATGGAAACTCCGGGAAATAGAGGCTCCAGGAAAGGTGGGGGCAATCTCCGGGGACCAGGGTTGAAACGTTTCCACGGCATCCAAGGCATCTTCCTAGACCAGGCGCTTTGGCTGGGAATCCTTAAGGCAGAACAGCATCCAAAACATCCGAGGTCATCAAGGATCCAAGAGATATCCGGGAGAGCAATTCGTTTCCACTGGAGATGCTAGCCCACTGCCAACATTAAGCAGGGTCGCCTGCGAGAACGGAACTTTGTGGGGCCTGGTTAGTCTCCAAGTTGACGAAGGGCATCCGGAAAATTCGACATCCCAGGATCATGGCAAATAGTCCACAAGGGAAGGAAACACTGGTCCTGGCAAAAGCGCACTCCGGGTAAGCGATTTGTCCATGGGGCCATCGGAGTCATCAAAAGGCACACAGGTGGGTCCACGGAATAACGGCCAGAAAAGCAAGGTAACAGCAACAATCCCAGGCTTGGTTGGTCCATCCAGGAGTCCTTGATGTCAAAGGTCCATCCCCAACTCGAGGGCTCGAGTGGGCCTGCTGGATCCAGCAGCAATTGCATCATGATTGTCATCGAGACAGCCAACATCAAGCCGCTCGAGACAATTGTAAGGTCCAGGCCATCACGACGGCTGTCAGTGAGGCACAAAGCATCATCACTCAATAGCTGGCGGCCGGGAGGCTCATCATCTCGACACAGCGACAGTTGCTGACAAGAGTAACCCGGGGAGAATCCAGGAACAGGTCCAGAGGTCCATGGAAAGGGCGAGCAGATCCAAGGTACAAGACGTGCAGGTGCAGGTCCTCGGGAGAGCGACAACAAGAGAAACAACGAAAAGGGCAAAAGAAAGGGGACTGGGGCTACCTGATGTTTCTTGGTGCTGGCTGTCGATCTGTTCAAGTGTCTAGAATCCTTGGCAGCTAACAAAAACAAGAACAAAGTCCTATCCTGGAGACGGATCAAATTCCAATGGGCAGCTTTGGATTGGGTTGCCTGAAGCCAGGGCCGTAAGATCCACGGGGTCCAGTCTATAGGAGCAGATGATCACAAAGAGGTATCAAGCAGGATATCAAGCAAGATATGAAGCAAGACGGATAGATGGGGTATATAGAGAGACAACGAACAACCAGATCAACACTAGCAGTACACTTCTGGGGTATCACAGTCGGTTTGGTCGAGCAGGAAGATGGGAAGGAAAGTGGGAAGGCGCGAGGGGGAACGCTGGGCTTTAATGCAGCAGACGGAGGAAGGACCGGCTGATCGCCAAGCAGGCAGGTGGGCTGGTTAAACTTTAGTGGAAGCGGCGGCCCGGCTCGCAGTGGACCATCGTCCCATCGCGGGCCGTGTTTGGCTGCCGGGCTGTGATGGCATCGCATGGCCATGCTGGCAGCCCCCTTCTCCCTGCCAATCGATGCCGGCTCGACGTGGTGGTCGACGTCAGCGATGCATTGCCTGCTTTGGCACTCGCAGGAGCGGTGAGTTAACATTGCACCTCAACCACTCGATCCTCGATCTCAGCGTGCTCATGGAACATCTGGCAGTCCTATGTGCTGCACAGGTGGTCAACGTGACCCCATGGGAAGACACCCAAGAGGTGGACGATTGGACCACAGCGCATGCACGCAACATGCAATGATGCAGCCTGCATCGCACTGGAAACTGCATGTAGTTGTACAGCTGGCACTGCAGTGCGGGGCTTGCATGTGAAAAGAGCATCTCCAATCAATTGAGCATCGTGTGCGAACTGCTGATTTGGCTACAGTTGGAGATGAGGGGTTTCTGGTCAGGGGTGAAAAAGGGGGGAACCGGTACAGTCAAGTACACAGTAGACGCAATATAGTTTCAGAGAGCCTGTCTATAAGCAATATCCGGTGTCCCAGCAATAATAATAATAATAATAATAATAATGACCATTATTACTTGCACTGAGGGCAGCTGGAAACTGCAAGGAAAAGGGGGAAAGGATAGGTCTCCAGGGAGGGTACGAGATTCTTTATCTACTGCTGGATTAATTACGTCGGTAAGGGCTCTTGGTACTATTGGCCTGGGGGCCAAACGAAGAGGCATGGGAGGCCCGACCATGTTGGGCAGCAATGCAGCTGCCGCGCTTTGGTGACAACTGCATCTAACGGAGTACCATTATTCTACCAATAAGACCTGCAACAAGCTTGGTGGACGTTAGCGCGTGCACAAACTCGGGCAATAACGATGAGGTAGGACAATCAAGGAAATTCGAGGCTGTCAGATAATAAGGCGAAAGATGGTTTTGGTTTGTCGTTCAATGGTCCGAAGACCGTCAGGTGAACTATGCTTTGAAAGGTGCTCATCATGGAACAAGAGCCTCATACAGTAGATCGGGGCAGTGCAAAAATAAAAAAAAAGAGAGAGAGAGAGAGAAATATCGACATACCTTGTGCAATAACAGCCTTATTATTTCTGGAACCTTGGGGACAGCGACTACTCTGGATTTCACGAGAACAAGTGTCGCAGTCTATAACCCATTTTAGGTGAGACAATAGTAATCCAATAACTATCAAACAGATTGTAGATATGGGAGAGACCAGGAACAGAGAGTGAGAGTGGTGTCTCCCGAGGAGAGAGCCATGAGGCGCTTGTCTCTCCTTAACACTCTCCATCCTCGATGGTTGAGGGAAAAGAATTCTGTGCGGAGCGAAGCGAGATACAAAATGGCGCATTTGCATTGTTTGCTGTAATCACGTGAAATGTCATATGCCAAGACTCTCTTATCCACGATAGGCAACTCATCTTATCAGCGTGGGAAATTCTGTTGTTAAATCAGAATAGCATATCAGGATAGCATATGGCTGCCCAATACCCCTTTATCAGATTAATGGCAGATCTATTGCTGAGAAGTTTCCAAAACTGCATATATCATGTTCCTATTTGTATGTTTGCAAAGTAGATACGATGACGATATATCACTGTTTCGTATAATCATCATTTTCTCTCTTTCTGACAAGAGATAGTTCTCTGGCTTCGCGAGTAGCGTTGTCATAGTTCTTGTCTTTCTGTATATGCAGCCATCTTTTTGACATGTTTCCAACCTGTCTCGTGTAGATTGGCCAAGGTAATTATGAACAAGGATGAGTGGTTCTCAATTATGGATCACAATTGCTTCCTTCACAGAAATACATATCTTTAATTTCCTTTTCCTTTCCTCTTTTTTTTTTTTAAAAAAACCTGCATCCATTCTTTAGTGATCTATCTAGTTGGATTCTATCAATATGATCGGAAGGAGATGCGATTGCTGTGAACGGATCTGTCACGAGCCATCTTCCGCCGAATTGGGCCCATTGCAACTTCGAATCCTCACTCCGTAATCTGACTTTTCAGGTTTCCCTCTCCTTTCTGCAGATCACTAAATTGATATCCTTTTCACTTTCTTTGATTCATCGACTATTGATTGAAAACGTCTCTGTTCGAGAACAACCGACCGTTCCTTCCTCCCTCCTTGATCGATCTGCTCACTGGCCAATTCGATGAACTGGACCGGAGGCCGCCTTCGACGCCAGTCCCATAATCGGCCTGGCTCACTGTCCACGATCCAGAAGCAGTACTTCGCAAAAGCTCGGCTGAGGCTGCGAGATGCGTCTAATCGAGTAGTGGCATCTCATATCGTTCCCTTCTTCGAACACAATTACCGGATTTCTGGGGTAACCGAAAGAAATCTCATCCGTCCTCACACGTCCCCAGTCAGTAACGAGGGCGAAAGAGAAAACGAACTGCGATCTGAACAAACTCAAAAAGTCTGCTCTCATGGACTGGAGCCGTCTCAGCGACAGCTCAGTCTCTCTCAGGAACTGAGATCCTCGCGAATATCACATGAATCAATTAGCGGTCCTCCGTACTCTAAGCTTCCGCATACAGAGTCACTGGTAATATTGCTCGCATATGATGACTTCAAGGATCTAGCTGATTGCAACATCATTCCAGAAGGCCACCCAGAATCACTCTCGAACCTCAAAATTGGACAATATCAAGCTTCGTCTTCTCCGTCAACAAGATTGGGCCGGAATCTCTGCTACACGACCCTTACAGATGAAATTTCCGTCAGTTGAGGAGAAAGAAAAGGTGGGTAAGAGAAGAAGAATCATAAAATGCGATGAAACAAGGCAGGCGTCTGTCCTAAAGAGACCTTTTACGGCAGAATTGTCCCCAATTCGTCGCAAGCAGGGGCAGAGAGACAAAGTCGTCTACACAGATGCTTCAGACAACATCAGCATAAGAATCAACGGTCATAGAGAAAATAAGGTACTTGGAGGTTACAGTCAAAAGCCCGTGCCGCGACAAGAGTCAACAGAGCCAATGCTACTCGATGGAGATGAAGCTTGGTTTCCCAAGTTGACAAGATCACAAAGAGATTATCCAGAACATAACAAGCCATCGGTCCAAACTAGCTTGCTTGAGCTTTCCAGTGAAGACGCTATGACGATGGCCTCTAATCACTCGCGTCAGTCCGTAGTGACGACGCAGGTTTATTCTGATCTCCCAGTTGACGACACTGACACAGATCAAAGGACTGAGAATCAGTCTCCCACCGCGATCTCCACGGCAAACGTTCAGCGGAGTTCCAATGGCAGCTTCTCTCCGATCTCTCACAAGTCAAGTTTGCCGGTTCTACGGCGATTCACAATAGATGACCAGGCTCTTGCAGAACGTGAGAATGAGATGACGAGAAGCCTTTCCTCGATCGGACAACAGAGTACTTATGAAACGCATGTGCATAATCCAACATCGCCGCCTTCTCCAGAACCTCTTTCCAGGAGCCGGAGTTATTTTTCCGAATCCAGTCTCATCAATTCCTCAGACCGTATAATCCATCGTACAGAATCTCTTGCGAGCTATCAGACAGGTTCAGAAAGAAAAGCTACTCACCTTTTTGCCACTCCCAAACGGAGGTTAACCTCGATCCAGGACACGGAAACCTGCAAAATAGCACGCACCAGAGCAGACTGGAACGTCCATGCTGGATCTGCCTGCGAGGACAGAACCCCACCTCCAATCTTCTTTGGACAGGCAATGCCGCAGAGCCTACTGACAGAAGTTGACCAAGTTCAAACACCCTCCCTTCGTTTGACTCGGCCTGTTGAGCAGCGTAGCCAAAGCGTCTCTGAACGATCTCAACCAGAACGGTCAGACTTAGATATGCGTCCACCACACTTCATGCATGAGCCGTTGGTTCCTGACTCCAGAAACTCCAGTCGACAATCTTCAAGGCATACCAGTACCAACAATGCCTATGATGATGACGATGACCGGAAGTTCAGTACAAATATCCATTGCCATGCGAACCAAATGAGGACCTCATTTAGGAGGAACCGAGCCATTCTCTCTCCACTGATGCATTCAGAGAGACAACCAACCACGACAATCACTAATTCTCGTGCTGAAAAACAGGCTGGATCTTCATCAAGCCTGCCATCAGAATCGCCCTTTCGCTTTCCGGCTTATAGGACACCACAACAGGAGCGCAGACACACAGCAGGACGGTTATCACCAGCAGCAGCTGGGTCCTCCTCTCCGAGGAAGAGGATTCCCTCTTCGTCGTCTCATTCCCCTTTCAGTTTCGACAGGTTCATACTCCCAGAAACTAATGAACGGCTTCATGGCCGAGAACTCCAAGCCGACAGAGCAGTCTGGGAAGAGGTTAATAACAATGCTTCCTCAGCGGAACCGGAAACAGATACGATCCCTCCTTTCTTCAATACCCCGTTTCGACGGTAATGCAAAATATAGTAGTAACGTAATAATATACATCTCTACCTACCTACTTACAAGCCTTCATGTGTCTTGCATTTGTTGTCAAAGACGAGGTCTTACTTTTTTTTTTCCCAGGTGATCACCAATTATCTAAAGCGCGCATTGTATTATACACTGTACTGTACAGACGAACCTTTTTACCCTGTTGTAGTAGAAATTATTATACAGAAAGACTCGAAATTTGTCACGATTATTATCGTCATCGTCATTACAAGATCATCTGTATATATATGTCTATGGAGCAGATGGGGTTGTCTTTCTCATCGCATTTCCATCGTTGGAAACGGGCCGATATGTGGAAGAAGTAGAAGACAGAGTCGAAGGCGCCAAACTGATCTTGGTCTCGCCGACAGTGTCTTTAGTCTCTGCTGGCGTATCATCGTCATCAACCTTGCCGCAACCGCTGCCGGCAGCGGATTGGGGTTTCAGGTCTGGAAACGACGACGAGGAGTTGTCTTTTTCTTCTTCTTCCAGTCCAATGTCTCGCTGTTTCCTGAGGACCGGCTCTTCCGACTCCTCGTCGTCGTCGACACCGTCGTTCTGGCCTGCCGGATTGATGTTGTCCCCGCTCGCCATGTATCGTAGCAGACTTTCACACAGCCGGTTCAGCACCCATTCCGGCTCCGTCTCCTCTGCCAGCATCGGGCTGTCTTCTCCGATCCAATCCCACTGGATCAGGCCATACTCGTTCTCGTCGAGCTCGATGGATTGCGATTGGCTCCGACTCGGGTCCGTGAACCGGATCAGTCGCGTGAACTCAACCCATTCTTCGTAGCAGTAGCGCTTGATCCCTCCCTTACGGATATCCTTTGCTACCCTCCGAATCGCAAAGGCCAGCTCCCGAGCCAGCTGCCGGCGGGAGGGAACTCGCTGGCTCGCTAGTTCCTCCAAAGTTCGTGGTGGATGGTCGCGATCGGAGTCGTCATTAGCATTATCCGCACGATGGTCGTCATCGTAGACACCAACACGAAATCCCCGCGCGATGCGCTTGGCTTGCGTTCGTCGCAGCAACAGGTTATAGAGAATCGGGTGCTTGTGAACAAACTCCCTGTATCTTCCGCTTTCCGGGAGGACGGTGAATTCAGCAACCCATTTCGTGGCATTATTGAAACTCTCCATCACGGTATCGCTCATTTTCGAAATGAGGATCGTCATAGTCGGCACTGCGATCAGAGACCAGACTATAAAAAACGGCCGCCCAGGGTTAGACTTCGGCGTGATATCGCCGTACCCGACTGTCAGCAGAGAGCAGAACGTGAAATACAGCGCATCAAAATAATTCAAAGACTCCAGACTCCAGAAGACGGCGGCTCCACAGCACCAGACAATGCCGTAAGCAATGAGACTGAAGATCAGGGATGTCCAGCGGCGGAAACGAAGCGTCTCATACTGAATGGCCCGCATCGCATCGAATCGATCCTTTTCTTCCCTCATCACTAGTGTTTTGTTCTTGGCTCCCGAAAGGGAGGCGCTAACCACTGACCGTAGTGGTTGCTTTCCTGTCCTTTCTCGGGAGCAATCTCTGTGGCGTCGGAATCCGGCTCTACGGCGTACTTCATCATTTGACCCTTTTTCCGGGTCCAATGGGATTGTTACTGATCGCTCCACAACCTTGACGCGCTTACGCTGGAGATGAGTCTTGATGACATTGTCATCAGTCAGCTCTCTCGTAAACCTGCTGATGCTCGCAACCACCAAACCAAGGATAACGATCCCAATCACTGCATAGGGGAAGACCAGGCCCTTTCCGACGCTGTTTTGGGCCGTGATGTCACCGAACCCCAACGTCAGCACCGTGACGTCTGAAAAATAAAGAGCATCGGCGAAGGAGATATCCATAACGCGTTGAAAGACGGCCGCGCCAACTGCCAACCAGACCATAAACGCCGTGGTCTGTAGGATCAAGGTCCGCTGGTCGTCCGTGAGAGCAAAATGTTGCGGGTAATGCCCAAGGACGTAGCCTACCAGATTGATCATCAACATGGAGTCAAGAATGAAGTAGAGAACGGCGGCGATGACAGCACTCCAGTAACCTTGTGAGAAAGTCTGGTCCGGTGGGATGGGAGGGTCATACACATGCATGGCGGAAGTAATCCCAGCCAACTAAGTGGACGGGCAAGAGTCAGCGCCATCACGTTAGATGCCGTCTGGTCAAGGTATAAGACTCACGATGCCCATGGCCAAAAACCACAAGATGATCGAAGCAGGTAACGCGATAATATATCGCACTCTCCGGGTAAAGTTGAACAAAAGGAAAACATTCCCCACGAGGCCCAAAACCAGGGAAGTCGCATTGAGGGCAATGCACCTGATTGCGATCAATCAATAACATGAGATAATGTAGAATATCCACGCTGCAGATAGCAAGGGCCTACCATCTAGGATCATGAATGCCCACTTCTTTCGGTTTTCCATCGACGCCGATATCGTTGAACAAGATCCGGTTCCTCCATGGATTCACGAGAGCCACAATGGACATGACATTTGCGAGGGGACCTGCGGTTGCTGCCGCAAGAGGGATCGCTGTCGAGGCAATCCACCAGTCCCTGAACATTCATCAGCGCATGACAGAGAAGAGAAGGGGAAGAAGGGATATTACTGAGGCTCATCATCATCAGGAGTTCTCATTCGAAAGTTTCCCCAGAATCGTGTCCATATCCAGGCCCATTTCGATTGTTCTCGAATTTCCGGGGTATTTGGTCTGGGATTCTGGTCCGCAACTGACACAGACCCGTTATTCTCCATCTTTCTGTGGATGAGTCAGGCGCATGTAAGCATTCCCTGCGGTAGACAAGACTCGCGAATGGAAAGAGTAGTCTGTCACGAAAAGAATAGGAATCCCATTCTCCGAACAATAAATTTGGTAGGAGCTGGATGCTAACAAAAGCCAGCTCAAAGCTACCAAATGACAAGGTCGAAGCGTGACGATCGCCGTCAGTGATCATGTGGCATCTCCAGTCATTCTAATGACGCTGATGCTGTCATTGACCCAAGAAGAAAATTCACACAATGACATCTGACATTGGCATGGCATGTGCCATAAGTACTGTACAATAGTACATGTAGTGGTTATGAGAGGAAATTAGTCGCCTGGTAGGTTTGTTTCAAAGACAAAGATATCTCTCTCCTGTGGACCCGACAGCGACCTACGAAATCTCAGACAGGACATTTTTGGTGATTGCTGCCAATCCAAGGTTTGACGGGAGCTTCCGATCTGACATTTCACTGTGAACGTGGGCCGGATGCGGTTAGGGAAATGACTTGGACCATGGAAGGCCCATCGCAGGTACTCTGTACTGGTTCAGTGTTAATAGGCTTGCAGTTGCCACTGAATGCTTGCTATTCAACACGTGAGAGCTGGTTTGGAGAGAATGGCAGCCCGTGCCTTCCCTGTGCCTTCCTGGCAGCGCCATAGTCCCTTGATGGGTCGCGCCTGCCCAATCTCACATTGGCGCGGTTGCCTAGATTAATTGCGTGTACCCACCTCCGCATGTGACTCCAAACTATTATCAATATCAGCTCCGCTGACGTCTGAGTCTTGCACATCAAGCTCGCTCTCTTTCTTCTGAGCAAGCATACTGGTATACGACGTCTACTTGGTCTTGCAGCTCCCTAGCTGAGCGCCATGCTTTATCTCACCCACGTCCTTCGTCTCCTGTCTATCCTCTCCGCCCTCTCCGCCCTTTCTGCAGCTCTCCCGTCTCATCGCCGCCCTTCCACCAAGGAATCAGACGCGACTCCCCTCCCGCTGGTGATCTGGCACGGATTGGGAGATAGTTATGCAGCCGAGGGGATGAAAAAGGTTGCCGCGCTGGCCGAGGAGGTCAACCCGGGCACATACGTGCACCTCGTTCACCTGGCTGACTCCGACAGCGGCGATCGTCAGGCCTCCTTCCTGGGGAACTTGACTGAGCAGGTCGCGCGTGTTTGTGAGCAGTTGGCCTCCGAGCCGATCCTGAGCACGGCGCCGGCTGTCAACGCCCTGGGGTTCTCGCAAGGAGGCCAGTTCCTGCGCGCCTACATCGAACGATGCAATTTCCCGCCCGTTCACAATTTCGTCACCTTCGGTAGCCAGCACAATGGCATCTCGAAATTCCAAGCCTGCGCCAGCTCCGGGGACTGGGTCTGTCGGGGCGCGGAGGCTCTCCTGCGATTCGGCACCTGGTCGGACTTTGTACAGTCCCGTTTTGTGCCGGCACAGTACTTCCGCGACCCGGAGGAGCTGGACGCCTATCTGGAGCACAGTAATTTCCTGGCGGACATCAACAACGAGCGCGAGGTCAAGAATCCGTATTATAAAAACAACCTGATGTCGTTGAACCGGTTCGGGATGTTCATGTTCGAGGATGACACAATGGCCATCCCCAAGGAGAGCGCGTGGTTTGCGGAGGTCAACACTACAACTGGCGAGGTCACGCCGCTGAGGGAACGGCAGCTCTACAAGGAAGATTGGCTGGGCCTGCGGGCTTTGGACGAGCAGGGGAAACTCGACTTTGAAAGTGTTCCGGGGCCACATATGCAATTGACGGACAAGACCTTGGAAAAGGTCTTTCGGGAGTATTTTGCTCCTGTGCAGGACGATGACAACACGTTACCCCAGCTGTTGGTCACGCAGGACGTGCACTAGAGCGTATAATTGACGGATACTACGAGTTTGTAATCAGCTGTAATTTTATATGACGGACAGGAGGGAATAACCAGGATGAATGAATTACTGACGTTAACCCTTTTCACTATTTGACACTACTGCTTGGGATCGCAAATGCGGATGAGTCATACTTAATGTCGGGTACAGTTGGTCAATTCGATTAATGATTACGGGGCATTCGAATAAGATTTGAACCGGGTCCCAGTAATTAGTAAAGTATGAATCTAATAAATTATGACTCCGTAAACCCAGACCTAGACCTCGCACGGACAGGTCCACGCCGTAGCTCAGGCACAAGGTTGCTCCGTACATTAGCATAGTACAGGACGGAGTACAATACCAATTGAATTAGATAAGTTTCTATTTCATCAATTGAAGAGAATCCATACAAAACGGAGTTCAATTTCTTTCTATCTTTTTTTCCCCCTTCCCCTCCAGACCAACCACTACTCCAACTACCAGGCAAAAACAGCAACCTATCTATCTATCAAGATATATAAAAAAAAATGACCCCGCCCCGCATCCTCCCTCATTTCCCCACGCACCTGGACACAACGAAACGCAAAGGAACCCACCTCAACCATAACCATCACCAGAACAAAAAATCAAAATCAAAAGCAAAATCAAGAGCAGGAGCAAGAGTACTTCTTCGTCTCGACCGATCCGCGCTTCCTCTCCGCAAAGGCCGTCAATGCCGCCTTTGCGAGGGACTTTGTTTACTGGGCGCATCCGCTGCCGGAGGAGGTGATGCAGCAGATGTTGGATGGGTCGTTGTGTTTTGGGGTGTATAAATACAGGCATAAATATAGAAATAGACACTCTCTTGATACTACTACTACTAGTAGTCTACCGGGTCAGGGTCATGGTGATGATGATGAGGAAGAAAAGTTCGACGTGACAACCCTCCTTCACCCCGCAAACTCTAACGACATCGAACAAATCGAACAAATCGGCCTCGCCCGTCTCATCACCGACACAGTCACCTTCGCGTACCTTACAGACGTGTACATCCTGCCGGAGTACCAGGGGCGGGGCCTGGGGGCGTGGATGATGGACTGCGTGGCTGAGACGCTGTCCAGCGCCAACATGCCGCATCTGCGACGCACGATGCTGGTCACGACGAACCGCGCGTTGGATGGTGGGCGGCGCGAGGATTACTATGCGGCGAAGTTTGGGATGAGGGTTGTTGGGACTGAGAGGAGGGAGGATCTGGGTGGTAGTACTAGTAGTAGTAGTGGTGATGGTGGTGGAAGTGGGATGGTGTTGTCGGTTATGAGTGCGAGTAGGCGGAAGGTTGCTACTACCGGTGATGAGGATAAGGAAGGGGCATCTTGAGCTAATGGTTTTTTTAACCCTCGAAATGGGCGATTTTATTTCTTTGGGGGGGTTCTTCAAGAGGATGTATGTACATGGTGTACTGTACATATGTAGTCTGGTAGAAAATAGATAGTTGTCTACAAATCCAATTAGAGCGAAAATGCGGGGAATAATAATAACAACAATACAACCTATTAATATCTTCAGAGTAGCTGCAGCCTTGCCACGTGGTAAAAGATTGACAATGCCATTCCTGAACAAAGAGCGTTCATTCGTATTCTCCATGCTTTCGGGTTGTCGGGCTGCCCTGCCCCGAGGCATCCTTCTCGGGCCCTCCGTCGCGCTTCGGGCCCGAGCCTTGCTGTCTTCGCTCCGAAGGTTGAGAACGACGCTGCAGACCACCAACTGCAATTACTTTAGCTGTTTCTGTAGAGATTGGTATATATATATACACCTTGTCAGTCTTCCAAGATGGATTCGAGAGTACATGTATCTGATCTGTATCTGTCTGCTTCTGCATCTATTTCCCCATTGAGACAGTCACTCAGACGGTCTCTATACAACAGGTTTATCACTCGTTGATTGAGGATACGAGGAAAACTTGTTCTCTGCATACATAGACAAATAGACGCTCACATTACGAAATGGCTGAGGACAAAGAGCAACCTGTCAAAATATCAACTGAAAACCAGACCGATCAGCCCACGGCACATGACAGCGAGTACCCCGGCATATGGTCCCTGGTGGCCATTATGGTGGCACTGTACCTGGCCATTTTCCTCGTCGCTCTGGTAAGATACCATTCAAATCAAATCAAATCAAGTCAAGTCAAATCAAACGCGCATTAAAAGAAAAAAAAATCGAAAGGAAGCTAACGCTGGTAGAATAGGATCGGACCATCATCGCCACTGCGATTCCGCGCATCACCGACACTTTTCATGCTCTGGACGACATCGGCTGGTACGGCAGCAGCTACCTGCTGACAAGCTGCTCGTTCCAGCTGCTGTATGGCCGTTTCTATACTTTCTATTCCCCCAAGTGGGTGCTTCTGTCAGCCATCGCCTTGTTCGAAATCGGCTCGGCCGTATGCGGCGCGGCCCCGAATTCAACGTCCTTCATCATCGGGAGAGCGATTGCCGGGTTGGGTTCCTGTGGTATCTTTTCCGGTGCTATCGTGGTCACCGCGAGCAGTGTTCCGCTGCAGAAACGGCCCATGCTCACGGGATTCATGGGTGCTATCTTTGGCGTCGCCTCTGTCGTCGCTCCGTTGATGGGGGGAGCCTTCACCGATCGAGTGTCGTGGAGATGGTGCTTCTATATCAATCTCCCTATTGGCGCTGTGGCAGTCCTGATCATCGTACTCATCCTCAAAGCGTCCCCACCACCGAATCCAAGCGCGGCCTCGACCACCCGGGAACGTCTTGCTCAGCTGGATCCCCTGGGGACCTTGTGTTTCCTTCCTGGAATCGCCTGTCTCCTGCTCGCTTTGCAGTGGGGCGGCTCGAAATATGCCTGGGACAACGCACGCATCATCGTTCTCTTCGTTCTCTTTGGCGTACTCATGATTCTGTTCGTGGCGATCCAGATCTGGAAGCAGGACACCGCCACGGTGCCTCCTCGAATAATAAAACAGCGGTCTGTGGCATTCGGTTTCTGTTTCACCATATGCGTCGCAGGTTCAATGATGCTGTTCGTTTACTATCTCCCTATCTGGTTTCAGGCAATCAAAGGCGTGAGCGCTGTCAAATCCGGAATCATGAACATCCCCGTTGTCCTGTCTCTCGTCCTGGGTTCCATCATAGCCGGAGTATCCGTCAGTCGTATGGGTTATTATGTGCCTTTCATGTATGCGAGCACCGTCATCATGTCGATTGGCGCAGGGCTTCTCACCACCTTCACAACCACGACTGACCACCAGAAGTGGATTGGCTACCAAGTCGTATATGGCTTTGGATTGGGCCTTGGGATGCAGCAAGCCAGTGTGGCAGCTCAGACTGTCCTTGAGAAAAAGGATATCCCGACTGGTGCAGCGCTGATGATGCTGGCGCAGTCCCTTGGCGGTTCCATCTTCCTATCGATTGGTGAGACTGTTTTCACAAATGGCCTCATCGCGCATCTCCAAGAGGCGCTGCATGGTCAGAACGGGGATGATTTTGCCCACCTGGTTGCAAACACAGGAGCAACCGATCTTCGCAATGCCATCGATCCCAAATTCCTACCGCTCGTGTTGAAGGCCTATAACGCCGCTGTGACGAAGACATTCACCGTGGCTCTGTGTTTGTGCTGTATCTCACTTCTGGGAGTTCTTGGGGTCGAATGGAAGAATGTCAAGGGAGAGAAGCAAGAAAAGGGTGCAGCTGTTTGATCAAACCTAATCTCTCTCCATTTGTCTTTGTTTAGAATATCCCCCCTCACGCTTGTTGGCCTCGTGATCTCGGTTAATACATAATAGCGTATACTGTATGTACTATACAACATAGCTGTAAATTCATTAAAAATAAATATAACTGGCATCCCAAACTTCCCAATCTATCCTCCCGGAAAAGTAGAATAAAACAAATCCAGAATATGTTTGTCTGCTTCGTCAAAACAGTCACAAATAGATGTGACTGCCCGCATAGTTTACATATTCGACGTGAGTGAGAAGGCTTCTCCCTCGCCACATTGATCCTGGAACTGCCGCAGCAGATCGTCCCACTGGCCCCAGTCCATGGGACTATTGTCGGATGAAAACATTTCAGCCATGGCGGTGATGTCTGCACCGAAGTCGTCTGAACTGGCCCTCCGTCTGGATACGTTTACCGGTTCGTAAGCAGAATTGGTGAGATTCCCACTTGCGGCAACGCCCTCAGATGTAGTTACATCAGGCTGCTCTGAGTGCGAAGCAACCTGGGAATAGGACTTGTTTCTTTGAATCTGCTTTGAGAAAACTGTGATGATCTGCGGACAGGGAAGAGGTGGCAGCTGATGACGTTCGCATTCTGCCACATGCGCAGCCCAGGCCTTCACGGCCAAACTAGCTATCGCCAGATGCAACGGGCTCCTTGCTTTTGGCCCGAGCTGTTGATAAGTCCGGGTGCAGGCCACATCAATTAAATGCCACGCCTTTGCCGTCTCTTCCCCGACAGTGCGATACCGCAACTCGGAGAGCATGTAGATCAGAACATCCCAGGGGAAATGATAGTCCACATGCCAGAGATATCGCTGTGTTGTCTTAGTCGTTTGCAAGACGTTACCGTACTCCGCCACATTCATGCAGATGGTGAACAGTCGGTCCTTTTCGGACTGCGTCATATGTTCACCTCGTTCTTGGTAACAACGAGGGTGATGTGCCGCCAATCTCAGCATCCCGACAGCTGACCTGGCGACCAGTAGGGTTACGAGATGCAGCGGTATGGACGGGTCACAATGCTTGACAATCTTCTCCTCAAGAGCGTTTTCAAGTTCGTCAATTGCTCTGTCTTTTTCCTGCAGAGGTACAGAGGTATCGCTTATGCTCCTCCAGTGCCCGTCAAAGGTGACAACCCCGGAGCTTGCCTGACGGCGTAGCCATTTGCCAACTTCATAGCGCATCTGACAGAATATCATTTCCGTGGGACCGGAATGTTCAATTGGTTTCTCTTTCATTTCAGGATAAAGGTCGCTATCGTTGACATTGAGAGGAGTATCCGTATCTGCGACCGGGAGCAGAGACGAAATAGAACCGGACATATGGCCGATAGTTGCATCGACGACAGTAACCTGCCACCATAAACGCCGGCGCAATTCCGTTTCAAAGACGGACAAGCCAAGATGAGAACCATCTCTGTGAAGTCCAATACGTTGAGCTACTCGTACGGCTATGCCGCTCAGAGACCAGAGGGAATGCGGATTATAGACAAGCCGAACAGACAACTGCAAGAGAGTTAGGAAGAGCTTTATCACTTGTGGGATCGCCTACAAGAAATATGACGAAAGCCTGGAGGACCACCATATCGGATGTTTTGAGGATTCCTGCGTTTATCAAAGCCTGTTGGGCACCCTGCCGGCACCTAGCCAGAAACCTAGTCTTTGTTTCGCCAAATGTTTTAGCAACCTCTTCATCACTCATAGCTGTCAAAGCAGCGCTATAGATCGCAAACATCAGAGCCTCTAGCTCCCTTGGTACGGAGCTTAGATCGCTGGCTGCGTCAAGGATCCGTTGTTGCAGAGTAGGTGAATGAATTATTTTAGTTAGCGGATTCACACTCTCAAGAAAAACCTGCCACAGTTTAAATATGTGTATAGGGCTGGGATGAAGGTCTGTCAGACTTCTAGACGCAGAGCCGAAGACAAGGAAGTTTTCATCAGGGTCGATTCCATCAACCTGGTCGTGAAGTGACTGATCAGATACGTCGTCTGAGCTCTCAGGAAGTATATCCTCTGCATTTTGAAGCTACATCCCTCGGTCAGTCAGTCCTTGAAGATCCTGACATTGGAATTCACCTCGTTGCTGACGCTCTTCCACAGATTGCTGATGAAGCTGGCGTAAGCAGTGGCCAAATTTATGCTGAAAGACATGGGAAACAAACTTATCGAGGTATATAGATCTCCCTTCTTTTGCAATCAATCTTCCCGGTCCGATCTTTTTGGTATTGGATTCGAATTGATTTGGCACAGCCGGCGTAGATTCAGCGGAGTTCACCAGATTGACATAAGTGTTATGGCGGCTAGAGCCAGCACTATTCTCACTGCTGCCATCGAGAACATTTGGATCAATTCCATTTCTCCCTAGGATTTCCTCGTAGCGCTTGAGACGTGCAAGCAGAATCGCCTCTGGCTTCCTTTTGCGTCGGCGAGGCGGAAGCGGCTCCCGAAATACGCATTCGACTTGGGCTTTGACACAGCCAGAGCAGGGCTCATTCCTGTCACATCTGACCTTTCTCTTTTGACATAGGACACAAGCATGAGTCTTTGGCCGCTGTGAACTTGAGTTGGCTGGAGAGTATGCCAAGCTCGGAGGATCTGCCATTATCTACGCGAGTAAGCGGCAGATATCACCTAAGAGTAACTGGTTGTTAATGCGACTGTTTCAAAATGTCTTAGCGAGCAAGATGCGGTACCCAATAAATGATCACATCGTTTCATCATTCTCTGGTACGTTGATAGATACGTGTGTTGGCGCAGGTATCGGTCTTGGGGGCTGTGAAGTGAAACATGTAACCCCATGTCGGAGGCTGAGTCAACCCCCACGTCAGTTCCCGCTCCACAGCCGCAGACCTTTGATCATCTCCAACACATAAAGCATGAGCATGACCTCCAGAACGGCATTCCATCGGTCATCCTTAAACATATCAGATGTGCGGCTGGCAGCTGATCTCCAAATGTCGTTGTGCAATCCATGATGATTTCGCTCTTTCCATTGAAGAAAGGGAATGGCAACAAGTTACGACCGGCGAGAGAGAGGGGCAAGAAGCTGGGTCATAAAGCGAATGAATCAAGGTACAGCGATTATCGGTTCATCTTGGGTTCAGAAGTTGTCCTCGATATCGACTGCTAATTTTCTTTCTGCAAATCACAGGTCTGAGAGTGAAACTGTACACCACACTTCATCGTCCTGGGACCTCCTACCCGTCGAACTCCAAGTCAAGATATTTGCGCAATGCAGCGTTTGGGATCTCCTACCTCTTAGGCTCGTTTGTCGCGCGTTCTATGAAGTCCTTACTGTCCATGAGCATTCGATAGCTCGGCAATATCTGCAGCGCAGGCGCCACGGGACGCTTCCCTCTACCATCAGTAACGAACGAACCTACACAAGGAATCCCGAAGACGATGTGGTCCTCCTTTCGGACCTGTTCCCACCGGGGAAAAGCGCTAAGGGCGGCCATTTATATACTTTCAGATATCTGCACAGCCTGAGACGGCGGCAACAGCTTTGCGGGCGACTCTGTTACTACCTGGCAGATCGCGTGATGGATAGATTCATGCATACTGAGCATATGCTTGTAAAGTCGATGTTTCCATCGAAGACGGAGCGCAATCTTCTTTTTAACCGAGGCGTTGCCAGCCTCCAATTTAATCTCATTCCATTGATGTAAGTTACAGAGACGCTAGTTGTCAAGAAAGCTGTCCAACTAACGCAGACTCGAGGTATTGCACGTTGTTCTTTCTAGAAACATATGCCTTTGCTCGTAAAGAGCATCTGAATAGCCTCCTACAAGACTACGAGGCCGGGAGACTTCCGGTCCCCATTCCTCTAAATATACGGTCAGCCATGTATAGAGAGCTGCAAGCTCGAATACTCCGATCTCCCCCGTTCACAGACACGTCGACTCTTATCGCCACACATCATTGTATGCATTTACTTGTCTCTTACATTCGACATACCATGCCCCCAGACGAGTGGGCGCCGTCAGATAGTCGTTGGATTAGCGCGTTATTGACTGCATCCGGGTTTGGGAGGATTGTGGAGTTCTTTTCGGCCGAGATAGGCGACGGGGGTAACCAGCGGGCCCAACGGAGGGATTTCATGCACAATTTCCATAATGACTTGATGATTAATGAACGAGACGAGATGAACCCATTGATTTACGAACGTCCCCCAGACGGTATACTACATCATCAGTCCATCCGAGAAGTCTGGTTCGACGTTGCCAGCCAGGAACTGCGGGCCAGGAATGCCATCCCTCATGATGCAGAGAATTTCTCGGTCTGGAACGGGATCCCGGTGCTCGTGGGCTGTGAGGATTGTCGCGCTGCTGTTGGCTGGCGAGCCTGACCTGCAGGTTGGTATGTATATACGAAATAATCCCTCGCGCATTGCAGCAATGACCTAGTAGATAGATGGCTTGATAGACGGGTGTAATGAATATAATGAGTTGGACCAGTGTTCTCTTCAAACTATATATATATACTCTTGGACGAAGCCCCTATTCCTAAGCCATATATTATTACAAGTTTGTTTGCAGTGTTTGTAGTGTCTTGCCACCCATCTTCAGTCAGTTGAGGGTCAGGTCAGGTACCAGTGTGACACTGTGCACTTCTGTCCACACACCAAAAACAGAAAATGGCAAGTCGGACAAGGCCTGAAATCTGTGATTTTTGATGCGAGGTTTCTGAGTCACATGACTTTCCTATTTGGGCTAGCGTTTGCATATACCGCCTTCCGTATAAGGTATGGCAACTACACCGCCATCAGTGATTCTGCCAGAAGAACTACCTCCTTAACCTGCTACTATTTTCCCTTAGCGCAAACAAAGGTCCAAGTCCACGCCGTGGAGTAGGAGAAACATGCGATCTTGGAATGCCATTGTTGCCGTCTCAAACATCATCACTGAAGATAGAATCGATACTCGATCATGATGCATCAAACCCCTCAGCACCTGCTAAGTACATCGTGGACGGTGCATCGACTCTCGCCCTTGCACCATAGAAAGGAGTACCACTCTATTCTCGGCAATGAGGATGCGCTGAAGACCTACGCGAAGCGTCTGCAGGACTTGCTCACAGGCGATGTCCTCCGCGGAGTCCAGGTCGGATTGAGTGGGACTACTACTCTCTCCGATGACGCGCTGGTGAAGGCAGGCGCTTTGACGGACTGCCGCTGGGAGACAATACCGACTTGGTCGTACTGGGATGAAGAGCGACTTCATTCGGACGATCCTTCTGAGCAACGGAAGCCCATACCGTTGAAAGAAACCATGGGGATCTTGGTCACTCTCGAATATGAGAATGTCACCTACAAGGCTGCGCTGCTGGCAGGTCCGGATGGCTATTCGGCTAAGAATCATGGTGATGACGATCGAAAGGATTCCACCTATCTACCTCTGCTCCTAACACGGTTGCCCAATCCTCTAAGACAAACTTTTGTCTCTTTTCTCTCGGTTACCTTTGATTCGTACTGTTCTGTCCTGCGCTTGCCGTCCAGCTTTCTTTGCGCCACACTCGAATCCTACATCGCGTCATTGGCTGCGGCCGATGAGGACAGCCAAAGGTCGGGGACGACTTCACGCGTCATCCTCGAGGCAGTCATGAAGGAGACGCAATTGACACTTGCATTTGCCCCGTCCATCTCGCCTGCACTGAAGACATTGGATGTGCATCTCCCCCGCCAGACTCTAGCCACTTTCGCCATTGACGGATCGAAGATCACGTCCAGCGGAACAACTGTGGACGACAAGGTCTCCGCACCGTTCCTAACATCGCTCTCTCACTATTTCAACAAGCATCTTGCCATGAGGCTCGATCTTAATCAATTATGGGGCCAGCACAAGACCAAACCGGCCGACGAACATATTTATCTGAGCAAGATCGCCTGTGGCGCCTTTGTTCTCGGCGCCGAGGGAAGAGTCAAATTTGTTGCGAACCCCGAACATGTGGCGTCTATGGATAGTTCCGCAGGAGAAGACGGCGCAAATGACCACGAGGAACGGACGAGTCGACTGATCTTGCGAGCGAATGAGAACATCCTCCGCGCTCTGGTGCGCAGGGCAGTCGGTGAGGACCTGCAAGTTCTTCACCAGACTTGAAGGAAAGAAGCAGTCGAAACTTTTCTCATCTCGAGGGGATTTCAATGACGAGAAGACCTTAGGTTGTTCCAATGCCGATCCAGTATTCATTTCCGACACAGGAGACTGCGTTTCTCTGGAGCTGTGCACGCAGCGTACGGGTCCGGGCAGTACGCCAATTTTTCTTCGTATATGCTTCGAGCAGTCCGTGTTTGGGCACAGGCTCGCGTGAGACTCGAGCGTCAACCAAAGAAAGGAAAGCCAAAAAGGGCAGACCTTGAGCTAACCCGAAGTCTAGCTGGCACACAACAGAAAGACATGGTCGCAATACATGATGCAAAGAATCTCTACGCTTTACTCCTTAACGACCGCGGAGGAGCAGCGGGGAAAAGATTGGACTTGTGGAGGACATGTATTCAAAAAATCCATTTCTATCTCCAATTTCATGTCATCACCCCATGAATAAGCAATGAGTAATACGCTGTTTGTATATAGCTATAGCTCATGATGATAATAATGAATGAATGCATCATCCGGCATTGCCGCATTGTAATATTAGCCAAGAAAGAATGGTGAAAAGCAATTCCAAAAAAGTGCCCCAATGCAACAGGGAAAAAAAAGAGCGTGGCAGTATATAAATAACGTTCGTTCATCGTGCATCATCATCCTAGTGAGTTTCCAAAAAAAAATTAAGCCTCAATATCCTCCAGCTCGGTCAACCTCAGAGCTTCGTCCACACTGGGTACGAAATGCCTCATGCCCCCACAGCATTCGACAATACCACTGCGTTCAAACTTCTGGAACACGTCGCTGTCAAGAGACGGGAGACGGCAGAAGAACACCCTCACGCCGCGATTGACATACGCCTGGACAATCTCAAGCAGAACCTGAGTCCCAGATGCATCGATGCTGGTGACGCCATGGACATCGAAGATGACATTCTTATCCCTCTCCTCTGGCCGGACTCTCGGAAGCGCAGGGTGGGCCCGAGGGGTTCCGTAGAATTCAAGGCGGCGAAGACGGTTCTTCAAATCACCTGTGTTGGCGAATGTAAGCGGTTCGGGAATCTTGACAATCAGACAACCCTCGATGAATTCGACTTTTTCCGGATGGAGCTCCGCGTTTTCAAACTGGTTCGAGGTGCCAGAAACCTTCCCCAGAATTTGGATCCGTGGCTGCGTGGCATGCCGGATGACCCGAAGGACTGAAAGACCACACCCGAGCGCGATGCCCAGAGTAAGAGAATAAAATATCGTTGCCAGAAAGATAAGGGTCATCAGGGTTAGCTCTGACCACCCGCGCACTCGAATAAAGAATCGCACGTCGTGAGGACACTCTTCAATCAAAGAATAGGCGACCACTGATATCATCGCACAGAGGACTGCTTTCTGAGGCAGTTGTCAAAATATAGAACAGTCAAGATATTCTGGAGATGAAAACTCACTGGAAGATAATATAAGTATGGCAAGAGGAACACAACCACAATAAATGTAATTATACTTAGGAAGATGCTGCTCATCTGAGTGCGGCCACCAGTGGAGGAGTTCACCTTGCTTCTTGCATACCCCCCAAAGGCAGGAAGCGCCATGAAGCAACCTCCAGCCACATTGGCCACACCCAAGGCTACCATCTCACGATTCGCGGAAACTGGGGCTGCCTTTATGCCGTCACGAGCCCCGTCACCCAGACCCTTGGCAGCAACCGACGACTCAAAGAATCCAAGAATCGCGATAACGAACGAGGTTCCCATTGCATTACGAACGTGCTTCATGTGGCTAAGGACGAATGGCCATCGGAACGCCAATAGTCCATTGCCATCGCCCTTCCCCGGCTTAACAGACCCCAATATTTCTAGACCTTGCTTGTCCCAACCCATTTTCCACGTCAGGATAGCTGACAAGACGACCACGAGAAGCCGATCCGGGAAATATGCAACTTGAGGATATCGTTTCTGAAGTGTCTTCTTCAGAGTTCTAGGGTAATTGTACTATCAGCGTGGGCTGTGTTTGAGATAATAGAAAGATAAAGAACCAACCTGAACAACATGATGATGGCGAAACTGCCAAACGCTACAGCGGTCGTCAGACCATGAGCGTCCTTCCCATTTTTAACCAGGAATACGAGCTTCTCGGCAGTGCTGCTGTGACTGACATCTTTTGCTTTCTCTGCCAGCCCCATCTCCGGGATCAATTGATCCACACAGATTACAACTCCGATGGCCGTGATGAAGCCTCGCAAGAAAGGCCGGCTAAGGACGTTGTCCAGAAATCCCAGTCGAGTTAATCCGGCGATCAGTATCATTGCGCCTGACAGGCCTGTCACAATCCCCACCACCCGTGCATGTGCCACATCATCATCCTCTTCCGCATGGCCTCGCTCTACACTTGATTTGACAACGGACCCGACGAGGAGAGATCCTGCAGCCTCCGGACCAACGATGAGCTGTTGACTGCTGCCCAGGATCGCGTAGATAAGCGGGTTAATGATAAAAGAATAAAGTCCGTTGATGGGAGGTGCATGAGCAAGGTTCGCGGACAGTGACAGAGCCGTGGGAATGTATATCGATGCGACGGTCACAGCAGCAATCAGATCGCCCCGGACAAAAGACCATCGGTATTGGGTTATCCAATTGACAAATGGGACATAATAAGATAGGTACCTAGGCATTCAACCAGTCAGTGAAAACCAAGGTTGTAAGAAGAGAAGAAGGCACATCTGTCATAGCCAGAGAGTATCGACGTACATAGTCCGGTGATGCTTCACACCGTGCTCCAGAGCCAGCCTCTTAGTTACAGAGACGCCATCTGTTGTCGGCGTGTGAACCCCAGAAGCGATCCCCCGTGGGGTCCTAAAGCCCCAGGGAAACCCCGTCCCGTGAGAAGAATCAGAGTCATGCTGTTCGGCTCGTGGGGAGAATGTTCCATGATTGCACTCCCTCAAGCCGCAGACGGAGTCCCTTCGGTCATAGTCTTCCAGCAGTCGACTCCTGTCATCAGGCTCCTGAGCATGACCGAAGTAAGACGATCTTCCCGCCTGTCCAGTATTGTTGGAAACTGGCGTCCACGACAACGGAGAAGTGGGACGCAGGATGTCGGCAATACGATCTCGCAACGACCGGCGCTCATCCGGACGAGGCGAGTTTCCCGGGTTCGAACTCGACATGTCGATGAGAGCTCTCACCAACAACGGTCTGCCAATGACTCAGATATCCTGACTGCCGGTGATCATTGCTGGCAAAGGACACTATGGGCACGATATTCAGTAGGGTGGTGAGGTCGTAAGGCTGTTGGGCTCTGGCAGGTTGTTTCTGCCACACCCCGCTGCAGGTCCGCCGCCGTTATCTCGACTAGCGGCATGGAAGGTGCGCATGCCGACAGCATGCGGTCTCGCGGCGTGCAATTCCTTGTATCTGGCCCATTGGATGCTGCCACTGCCGCATTTGACCGCAACAGAAACAGGAGACACAAAAATACGGGATTAAGTTCGGCGACAGGTTGCTCGAGCCTCCTGGATACCTGCGAGCTACACGGTCACGTGACGCTGCAGCTGCCCGACGTGCCTTTGCCGTGTTTGGCCAAGACACGGGATTTTGGTTGCCACACAGCGTTTTGAGTGTGCTTTTTGTTCCGCTGCAATCCAGTTCCAAAAAGCATCGCCGTCCACAGAGACTGTCCGCAGCGCAGCCGCGCAGTATCTCGTGTCTCTCTCTCTCGGAGGACTTCTTGGGGTTTCATTTTCTCTCCCCTGGTCTGGAATCGTTTTCTGTGACTCGAATTTTTCGACCGCCACATCCCCCGCCTTGAAGGCGCGACCCCGCCAAGATGTCGTTAACAAACTGCCGTTTCTACGAGGAGAAGTATCCCGAGGTGGATAGCTATGTGATGGTCAATGTCAAGCAGGTACGCCGACTTTGAGGTCCTCGCAAAATTGAAACACAAGCTCACCATGATTCGTTTCCACAGATTGCAGAAATGGGTGCATATGTGAAGCTCCTCGAGTATGACAACATCGATGGCATGATCCTCCTGTCCGAACTCTCCCGGAGACGTATCCGGAGTATACAAAAACTCATCCGTATTGGGCGGAATGAGGTCGTCGTTGTCCTGCGTGTCGACAAGGAGAAAGGTGCGTCCAGTCATGAGGTGGCCTTGGTCGTTCTGGCGGGAGCCTGATGGCTAACGTGAATGTCTCCCGCTAGGTTATATTGATCTTTCGAAACGACGAGTATCTCCCGAAGATGTCGTCAAGTGCGAGGAGCGGTATAACAAGAGCAAAGCGGTCCACTCGATCATGCGCCACGTTGCGGAGAAGACCAAGACCCCCCTCGAGGAACTGTACAAGAACATTGGCTGGCCTCTGAACCGCAAATACGGCCACTCCTACGATGCATTCAAGCTCTCTATCACGTAAGGAATTGGCCCTACGCTGTATGAGGGGAGAACATTCACTGACTTATTACCAGGAACCCTGACGTGTGGAATGATGTTACCTTCCCGAGTCAGATGGTCAAGGATGAGTTGTTACAGTACATCGGTAAGAGACTGACTCCTCATCCGACCAAGGTGCGCGCGGACATCGAGGTCACTTGCTTCGGTTATGACGGAATCGACGCCGTGAAGGATGCACTTCGTGCCGCCGAAGCCAAGAATACCAACGACACCCAGATCAAAGTCAAACTGGTCTCTCCTCCATTGTACGTCTTGACCAGTCAAACTCTGGACAAAAACTTTGGCATCAAACTTCTTGAAGAGGCGATCCAGAACATCGAGGCCAAGATCAAGGAATACGGCGGTGGTTGTGTTGTGAAGATGGCTCCCAAGGCAGTTACAGAACATGATGACGCCGAGCTGCAGGCTCTGATGGAGAAGCGAGAGCGCGAGAACATGGAAGTTAGCGGAGATGAAAGTCAGTCAGAGAGTGATGAGGGTATTCCCGAGTAAAAAAAAAAACGAAGCTTATGCCAGGATCTCGACGCATCTTCGACCTTACATGCGACGATCATTAGTCGCCCTGGTGCGCTTAAATTCACGGGTGGGCGGGCTCTGACGTGAACGAGTGTTAAGAATTTCTTTTTTTTGTCTCAAAAACACTATTCAAGTGGCTTCAAGCATAGCATGGGGATTCCTTGTTTATGACAGGCAAGCGGTTCCATTGGTTTCGTGTATCGGAGGGACTGCATGACTTATGTCTGCTTTTTCGATGCTGAGATTCACCGCGGTTGAGGTATGCTCTGACGAGCTTCTCCGGTAGTGAGAGATGTCTCTTAGCTCTCATTGTTTGGACCTTGTGGCTACCCATGATAGAAGTTTGAAATTCGAATGTATCTATATTTGATAAAAGTGCATGAAATAGCGGTACCTGGATTTCCGCTGGAGCCAAACAGGGGTCATGGCAGCGTAGCCTACGATATTAGTGGCGCCTTTACTATTGCAATTACTGGAAAGTCTGTGCAGTAAACGGGAAGGTCGATGCCAATTGGGGCCATTCATCAGCGTAGATGGCGATGAGGCTTAGGCTGATCGGATGCAACCGTGGGTCCCCCCGCGCGGATATTCAAGACGCCCTGCGCTGCAATCCTGGAATCAACCGCTTCCACTTCCCAGTGTCTCGCACAGGGCAGTCGATATTTTTCGCCAATTAATCCGTTTCTTGACTCCAGGATGGGTGGATGGACGTCCATTTTCGGTAATCGACAGGGGGGAGCGGTTCGCCGCCTGTACGAGGAGAGTCGACGATGTACGTCATAGCACAGTGCTTTTGCTTATCTATCAGTGGACCGCAACTGAAATAATGTAATGAGGCTGATTTTTTTTTCCCCCATCACAGTGCTTCCTTCGTATAGCAGCGATGAGATCGCTTCCGCGCTGCCATCAAAGGAGGTCACAAAGGTCGCTCTCCGTCTGAAATACCTGATTGAGCAGGTCATCCCCTTCGAGCTGGAGCGGTCGGCCATTACCAAGCCCAACAGCGACATCATCACGGCGGAGGTCATACAGACGGCGAAACGGGCCGGCGGGGACGAGTATCGCGCCTGCGTTATATACTGCTTGCTCGTATGCCACCGGTGGTTCAAGCAGCAGGGTGAGGAGGAACTGTGGCGGGCCGGCCTCCTCGAATGCCGTGCTCTCGCATGTGAGGTCATTGCGGGTCATATGTACGAGCGAAATTCTGCTTTCCATTGTAATGAGGCGTCCAGACATAGCTAACGGCGATAATCCAGAATTGAGACTGAAGAAGACCAGGATTATCTCCTCAGGGAGGCCCTCCTGAAACGATATTCCATATTCCGGAAAGGCGAGGAGACCCATCCGATTAATGTGGTCGAGCGGGCGGTCGATATACACGCACTGAGGATCATAGGGTCTTCCGGCTATCAGAAATGCATCAAGTACCTCTGGCGAGGCTGGTACAGCCAGGATGCGCGCGATCCATCGCGATTCGTCGAGTACAAGGAAAAAGACAATACCTCCTACTGGGCGCATTTCCGCCCAGAAAGGATGCGGACTCCGGTGTATCAGAACGCCGTGCTGATATTCTTTTCGCTGCTGTACCTGGCCCTCTATACGGCCGTCATCAACACCGTGAATCCGTCTGGAGACCTGGACATTGCCGAAGCGATCCTGTACACGATGACAATGTCCTACCTCTGTGACGAGATAACCAAGTTCTGGAAGATTGGAAGACACTACCTGGGATTCTGGAACGTGTTCAATCTAACGCTGTACACGCTCCTGGCGGTCTCGTTCATCCTCCGCATGGTCGCGTTGGCGCATTCCTCCGACGTGAACGACGAGCAGCGGCGGCACTTCAACCGACTGAGCTACAACTTCCTCGCGTTCGCGGCGCCCATGTTCTGGATGCGCCTGCTGCTCTTCCTCGACACGTTCCGCTTCTTCGGCGCAATGCTGGTGGTGCTCGAGGTTATGATGAAGGAGAGCATCATCTTCTTCGCGCTGCTGTTCTTCGTCCTCATCGGCTTCCTCCAGGCGTTTGTCGGGATGAACGAGACGAATTTCGGGGTTCCGATCACGGGGTCGATCGTCCAGGGCATGGCGAACAGCATCATGCAGAGCCCGAATTTCGAGCTGTTCCAGGACTTTGCGCCGCCGTTTGGTATCGTCTTGTACTATCTGTTCAATTTCGTTGTCATGGTTTGTGAGTTGTCTAATCATTCTCCACCAGCGAGTTCTTCAACCTGACGGAATATATACAGTACTCCTGAACATCCTGATTGCGCTGTACAACAGTTCCTATTCCGACATCTCCGGCAACGCAGACGACGAGTTCATGGCGCTCTTTTCGCGTAAGACATTACAGTTTGTCCGCGCGCCAGACGAGAACGTTTTCATACCGCGTAAGCATCCCTCTTTTCTTTCTTACATATGCCTCATTAACACTGTTTTTTCAGCCTTCAACCTAATCGAAATCCTCTTCATAAGCGCCCCCTTCGAATGGTGGCTATCCAAAGAGTCCTACGAGCGCCTAAACCACTACGTCATGGGCATCATCTACTCGCCCCTACTGCTAATCACGGCATGGATCGAGACGCGCGAGGCGCGCCGCATCCGCCGCAACCGCCGCCGCGGCGAGGAGGACGACACCATCCAGCAGGAGTGGGAGGAGCTGGCGGCCGAGGTGGATTTTGACGTCGCGGGCACAGACTGGGAGCAGGCGGTCCAGGAGTCCAAGCCTAATGTCGAGGTGTCGGCTTGCGTCTTGGAGATTCGCCAATTGAAGGAGCAGGTTAGGACGCTGATGGAGACGGTGAGGTTGTTGGCGGAGGAAAAAGGGCTGCAAAGCGAAAGGGGACTAGCAACTGGAGCCGGGGCAGTGACGAATGGAGAATTGAGTTGATAATGGTGATTGATGATCATGTTGGATGGCAGTTGAGAAATAATATCTCTAGCTAACTAGGTATCTGGCTAGGTTAAGGGAATTTACTCTTCTCGTGCGGTGCGCCGTGTAGTCAGTCATATGATACAGATCCACTTATTTATTATCTAGGTATTGCTTTCCACGAGGCAGTAGCTCAGCTAGGGAGTTGGACAGACTGCCAATCCAATCACTCGATCACTCGACCACTCGATCGCTCGACCATTCGCCCACTCGACCGTAATCAAGGGCACATGTAGGAAATGTAGTGTAGTAAATACAGAAATAAACGGTACAGTAAAAGACCGTCAATGATGTGGACATATCCATGAGTTAACTGAAAGACCAAAACAGCAGGAAAGAGAACAAACAAAAGAGATGAAAAAAACGCCTGTTCTATGCTCCCATATAACGAATGAACAAAAATAAACCAGATAGATCCCTTCTGTAGAAACCGGACTCCAAGCCGACCAACATCAACAAAACAAAAAAAGACCTGCTCCATGAAAAGTTATAGATACGAGATGCTATGAAATAAGGAACATATATGGTGTTGTAATAAGTTATTCTGGCCAGAGTATATAAATTAACCATGGCCAGATGCCGCCTGATGATTGCTGGCGCCCGTATAAACGCCTTCAAAGTCTAACTGGTTCAACATGCCGTTGATCCGGTCGATCTCCCGGCTCAGGTCCTCGATATTCAGGGCCAGGCTGCTGACCTCGTCGAATTTCCGACGGCGATTGGCGTCCGCGATCATCTCCGAGACGAAGAACTTTTGCTCCTCCAGCACCATTAGGCGTTCCCGGAGGGCCTTTTCTTCCGCCTCGAGCGCAGAGACGGCGCTGCTGTTGTCGCTGACCACGCTGGCACTACTGCCGTTCGCTGCGCTGCTGCCGTATTTAATCGACGCAAGTGCAAAGCCTTGAGGACGACCGCCTGAGGAGGGACTAGTAGTACCGCTGACGCTCGGACTCTCACTGCTATTGAGTGGCGGGCGTCCGTCTGGAGTGGCGTGTTTCAGCACTTTCGGTAAACTTTTGAGAGGGAGCATGTGTAGATGGAGGAAGTTGCTGGCTTGCTGGTATATCGCTTTTTGCAGCCTTTGCTGGGTAGGCGACTCTGTAGGGAGGTCGCGGATGCGTCGAGCAGCGGTATCGTATTGGGCAAACGAGTCAATGAGCCTTTTTCGGACTTTGGCTGCCTCGTTCAGTTGAGAGGGTGAAGGGGGTTTATTAGGATCTCTGTAACGATGCATTAACAGGTAAGAACCACCATAGACCGTAGGCTAGAAAAGAGGGGCAACATACTGCAAAGCAGCAAGCAGCTTTTGAAACTTGGGAAGTAGCAGTCTTATGCCTCGCTCAAATTGTACTAAATTCTCATACGCTCGTACGTCTGGCGGCTTCTTCATTCGATCCTCCTCAAAATCACGTCGACTGAATAGCGTGGTCTTACATTCCTTACAGAGCCTGACATCGATATTGATTTTGGTCGGAACGGATTTCTCCGAAGAGTTTTCTGTTTCTTTCTCCAGGTTATTATCGAGTTTATCTCACTTTGCAGGGTCACCTACTGGAAAGCACGCTCAAACCAACTTCGCTGGAGCAGCCTGTTTCTGGATCACCACAGACGACTCGCCCGCAAGTCCTGCAGTGATGTCTTCGAAACGTATAGCCTGTGAATTCCTGCTGGCAGAATGGGCAGCGAGACACGCTTGCATCATCCTGCCAACTGACGATTGACTGCTCCACAGCCCGGCGTTGGTCGTTCTGCCATCCAAGTGGCCATCGCCTGTTTCCACCAGATTGGATCTGATCGGGGGCAAATTTGCTAGTGCTTGCGTTAATCGAGTCAACCGTTTTTCAAGACGTGAAACTTCCAGGAAAGCCTTGTCGACCGTCTGCTTCCGTAGGGAGGCGAAAGTGTCGGTTAGATCCCTCACCGTACCTGGACTCTTAAATCAGCCCCCGTTCAACCACATCTGACAAGCTCCTGAAAGATATTACCGTTGTGATCATTATATCCCTCTCTTGACTTGTAGCAAGTCTCGCAGACCCGACACCACAACCCTCTGACTGGCTCATGCTGTGCTGACCGGGAAAGCTTCATCTGGTACATAGTGTGTTCTTCGCAGAATAGTTTGCCGCACTTTCTGCAGTTGACGCACCCGTTGGTAGCAGTGAGTCGTTTCCCACAGGTTGGCTCGAAACAGACGTCGTATGGACCGCGTGGTTGCCAGTGTTCGCGCGTTACAACCTCATCAGGGTCCAGGGGCCTCTGTTCTGCCAGGCCTGACTGCCGGGACGCAGCGGCGGACGGCGGTTGGTAGTTCTCATTCGATTCAAACACGTCCAGACCCTTGAGTTTCTGATTCAAGACTGCCAACGGCTGGAAGCGCTTCGCTTTATCCATCTGCGCTTTGAACCAATCTTTGACCTCATCCTGCCTGACATCCTCCAGGTTTTGATGTGCATCGTCGAGATGTCTATGCAAATGGTATTAACGTGGGAGAAAGCGAAAGGTGGATGAAAAACTGTAGAGGGTACCTATTCAGCTGCAGCAATGTGACCTTATTTCAGTTAGCAAGAATCAATCCTATCGAGAGTCGTGAATAGAGTCCTTACCATTTCCTCACTGCAAATCGGACAGGCAAGATGCGGCGCGGAAGCTGCCGGCGCGGCCGATATGGAGGTTTCTCCATTCTCGAGAGAAATCCGGGAGGTGAGATCCTGAGCTTCCGGCGAGAACTGCGACGCGGAGGCTTGCGAACTCAAGGATACACTGCTCGCAGACGGCGAGAGGGCGCGGGCCCTGGGTTGCGGAGATGGGGCCGGAACGGCTGGAGAGAGATTCTTCCCACTGCCCAGGACGCGGCCTCCACCCAGCGTCCTCGGGGCCATGTTTTAGTCGATCATGAGCTGAGATCCGCGGGGCACTGGAGGCGGAAATGACGGAGAGAGGAGGGAAAGCACATCCCTCGAGGTCGTGTTGCGACGAGATTAGATTGATGCTGGGAGGATCGACTCGAGGCTGCCTCCACGCCAGTTCGCCGCCTTTTAGGCGCCCGACGCCTCGGGCACGTGCGCCGCATGCGTCAAGCATCGCCTCTCCAGCGATAAGGGATGTTTTAGTCTCCTCATCTCTTCCTCCATCACAGATCAGTCTGCCTACGATTTTACGACCAGAAACCCAAGTTGAAACGCCAAGACAATATGTATTTATTTATTGTTCTACGTACACAGTCCGCAGAAAGGTATGTATATATGTATGGACATCACATCGTCAACATCTCATCAGACATCTCACGAATAGACAGGCACATTTAAGTGTACCAGGACGGCTTGGGGATCTCGTCCAGAAGGTAGTAGCGGCCCAGCTCCGTCTCCTTGTACGCGACCGGGTCGTGCAGGGTGTGCGTCCGGATATCCTTCCAGAAGCGGTCGAATCCATACCTCTCGGAGGTCGAGCGAGAGCCGGTGACCTCGAAGATGCTCGAGGTGACTTCCAGGCAAGTGTGGGTGACGACGATCTTCAGGGCAGTCACCAATTCAGCCAGATCTCCTCTCTGGCGCTCGGTGATATCCCGGGAGACGCCGTGAGCGGCGAAGAGAGCAGCAAGCTCGTCACCGGCCTTGTCAGCAAGGGCCTCCGCGGCCTTGAGGGACGCGAAGGATTTGCCATAGCGGGCAAGGATGTAGTGCTCCTCGAGGGGAGAGCTCTTGGGGTCATGCGAGAACGGCCAGGCACGGGTCTGCGTCTTGGTGTACTCGGAGCCAGTCCGCAGGGCACCGTAGGCAATACCGATGTAGAAGTTGGCGAAGACGAGCTGGATGATGGGCACCATGATGGTCGAGAACGGGCCCGCCACAAGCTCCTTGATGGCCGTCTTGGTCTCGGTGTTCCAACCCAGGGCATCCTCCCACGGGAAGTTGACCTGCATCAGCTTCGCGGCTCCCGACTCGGTGAGACGCAGACCCATGTTGTTCCAGTTGTTGAGGAAAACAATGCCGGGCTGGTTGGTAGGCACGAGCGCGAAGATGTGGTCTTCGGCGCCGTCGTACACACCCTCCAAAACGACGAGGTCGGACACAGCAGCGCCGGTGGTGAAGTTCTTGAAGCCATTCAGGACCAGCTTGCCACCGGCCTCGGCAATGACGGAGTCGTTGTCGCGGGGGTTGACGGCACCACCGACGTAGTAGTTGTTCTCGTTGATCAGCTTCTCGTAGCGCTCGCGCTGCTCCTCAGTGCCGACAATGGCCGCAATCCGGGACCACATCAGGTGGTATCCCAGAAGCATACCAATCGATCTACAGATTTATGTTAGACTCCCCTGACGGTTCAACGGATAAGAACGCCGGATTTCTACGCACCCATCGCCAATAGCGACCTGACGGACGCACTTCAGGGCAGTGTCCCAGTTCTGACCACCACCGCCGTACTTGGGGTCACCCAGAATCTTGGTCAATCCGGAGCTCTTCAGAAGAGCGACCTCAGCGCGGGGGGTCTTCTGCTCCTTGTTGCGAGCGGCAGCGTCTACGGCAAGAATGTCGCTCACTTTCTTCGCGCGCTCGAGCCATGCCTCGGGCGTCTTGGGCAGCCCCTCGGCGGCGAAGGCATCGTGGTGCTCCTGGTACACCTTGGGGTCAGTGGCCGGAGGGGCCGGGTTCGGGACGGCCTTGCTCTGCAGAACAGCGATCTTCTCGGGGACCGGAACCTGCGCCATCTTGGATCGATCTGTGACAGAGGGATGGATATTCCTAGCGGTTGCTACACAGCCCTAGCCGGGCGTTTGCGACCTCTTCAGTATTTATGCCTGTGCATCGACGCCACGTGAGAAAAAAAAAGACATCAAATGGTGCCATCCGGTGCCCCTCCGCTGTCCCATCATGATGCCGAAGTCGAATCCGAGGGTTTGGATTGCGATATTTGGTTAAAAAATCCAGAGACGCGTCTGATTGGTGTTCCGAAAATGAGGTTATTTTGTCGGACTTGTTTGGAGACTCGAGATGCCGCCCGCGACGGACGCTTTGGGCAGGCTGGTGGAGAACGGTGCGTGCTAAGAACCAGCCATGACGTGTTCCGGAGCCTATAAAATATTAATATTACGACGATCAGTCTGCAATAGGATCGATTCCGTACGCAGTGGAGCAGTCCATCCTGCTTTTCTCTTTCAGGGTAAGACTAACCCTGTCGACAGGAGTATAAAGAGGCCCTCAAGTAATCTCCCACATTTCCTGAGGGTTCAAGGATCTCGAGAGCATCAGACAAACGAATTTTGGGGAATTGCATGATACCTGTTGTTGGCAATTTCTCTAGAAGCATCCATTGAGTTAGCTGGGGGACAGAAACGCACCAATCAAATCCGGCCCACGGGACTGGGATTGCATGATTTAGCGCGAAATTGGACTAGTCGCCTGCTCCACAGCGACATGCATGCAATCCCTCTGATACGTCCGCCAAACGGGGGATCCACTCTATTACTTCAGCATACGCTTTACCGTAACAGGTAAAAGGTTCCTGAGGGATCCTTGATTCCTGCCCTGGCTCCGCAGCAAGAGCTTGGTATGACCCCGTTGCCGCGAAGGGAAAGACTGATGTCATGACCTGAGGGACCCTGATTGAAAAAAGGATCTTGGCGCCTGTCATTGGACAGAACGTGTAATGAACACTGACAGCTGCCCGCCATATACCTACATCCCCCCGCTGACCGTTTTGACTCTGGTAGCCGCTGTGGCATTGGCTGTCTTTTTAAGGCTTTTACAGGGGAGTCCTATAGGCAGTTTTGTGCTAGGCATCATAAGGCTGAGGACCTTAAGGGTGATACGATCATACGATTCTCACAGGGTTCTCTTTAACCATAAAAGCAACAGGTGGAGAATCAAAATCTAAAAACCGAGAATGACAGGGGTTTTCCGGCGCCAAGATCGTGGTGGATAATAATTAATTGCATCAGTTCTGTCATGAATGCTGACAGCATCGAGGACTGATTGCTATTCAAGTATTCAGAGTAGATGAATGTGCTCGCCTTCAGGGCCATTATTGCACTCTTTACAGATGCAAGTAGTGCTGTTTGATGTGACTAAGAGACAGATATACATCCAACTCGACTGCACAACTTGATATGTTGAAAACAGTATTCTGTACGGGGTATGCTAGTTGCCAGTGAAGTTGCAACGATAATCCTGTTTACTTGTTACTTACCGGGCAACCGCCCTAAGCAAAGGAAGGAGATGGAATCTGATCGACCATTCGTCATTTATATTCTGGGTTAACAATACATTCAGTCTGTTCCTTGATAATTTTGATCTAAAAACATCGTTCTTATTTGCTCCGTAAGTTCAACTTTCTCGTCAAATTGACCGTCCTCATCGTTGCTCCAACACTGTCGCTCCTTAACTTGATATATCCTGCCCAAGTTCACAATTAATCGTCTTTTCGTATAAGAAAGAAAAAAAAGAAAATACTACTATCAGAGGCTAACCCGGCTAGTCGCGGATACAGCCCCTCTTACCCCTCCCCCACTTTGATTCCGGTTTAGGCCCCCTGTCAACTCGTTTAGCCGTAAATTTGATTTCTCCACCTGGGTGCCTGGTAAGAGAAAAAAAAAAGAATGGCTGTAAAATTTTATTCCTCCTAACCTAAATAATCTCTTACATCTACGGAGTATACATAATGTCCGTACTCTATCAAGCCTTCCTTAAACCCTTAGAAGACCTACTAAAGTACCTAAACTGGTAGATTGTAGCCTTCACGGGGAGCTTCGCCAGGGTCTAAGACAAAAGTTCAGTACTCTTTTCTTAAAAGAAAAAAGACAACCAACCCCCAGAGGGCCCACTCTGCACCCGGCGACCCGAGTCCTAAAGACGGTGGGGGAGGGGTAGTCAGGAGATCCTGGATTCATTTTACTCGGTAAAAAGATGGTGCGATGTCCGGGCGGAACCATGTGGCAGAATGTAATCACGTGTGCGGAGGCACGAGGGCGGTGTGTATGGCGGTCTGGTATGACCAGCAGTATACTACAGCGAGGCAAATCAGTCATCGTCACGTGATCTGCATGGAAATCCCAAGTGCATCGCCACAACTAGGTACCCCGCCATCCCTCCGCACTTGGGTACGGTCATGTTATCTGTAGATTTGAGGAGATAACTTTTTTTGACAGAAGAAGATTAAATGTAGCTTTTACGTGGTATTATTCATACGAATCATACCTCATATCTGTCAACCGGTACAGTGCTAAGCCTAATCAGGAACTCAAAGGAACAAATAATTCTGATCCTCTCTCTACTCCGTAAATACAAAAAAGAGCGACTATACTCTGTATACTCCGTATATAGGCTTATAGTCAGGGGCTTCCTAGCCAAGATATTATTGGTAATTTCTGGGGTAGATTTTGGTTGAGAACCCAATAGCCGGGAGCGCTGTAATGGCGGTGAGCAGAAAGAGTTTCCGGCCAATCAGATCTCAGGAGTGGTTGACAACATCAATGACTCGCGATGCCAAATCATTGGTTCGGAGATATTTATCTATCTACATACATACATATCTGCAGCTGCTGGCCACAAAAACAGCACTGTTGGTTTGGAGTGGCTTGGAACGAACAATTTTGGAAGCAATAATTAATTAATTAATTGGTTAATACCAGGTTCGTTATTTGGTATCTGGGTAACTGGCAACTTTACAGCCAAAAATTAAAAAAAAAATCACGCTGGTTAAGAAGTTCCCATGGCTTAAATCAGCGAGGAGAGTAATATCACCGAGATTTTTTTTTTAAAAAAAAATTTCCGGAGAGAAAACGTTGGGTTGGCTTTAGCTGAAGTAGAGGTCTGTGTATGTATATACATTAGGTAGTCTGTTATTGTCAACTTTATATATAATTATTATCAGCTCCATACAGAAGAAAGATGCTACTACCCTGGACGCTGAACTTCTTTTTTTTAATTAGGATAACAATGATGAATTGCGTTGATTAATAATGACCTTTCTGTGTTGTCATTCATTCTTCATGGTCATAATAATGGATAAGAATATACATTACGTACTGTACCTAGGTACTGTACAGTTCTTACATCAATGGAATTCGTCGTCGCGAAGCATTGTACTGTACTGTACAGTACAGAAAGAATAATAATAATAATTACTGCCTGCGTCTGTCCCAGCTCGTCTCACTTAGCACCGTGGCCCAGCCAGAACGAATAAGCAACAGAAGCCATATATAAATAGCTGATCCTGCGGCGACTCAACGATCAACAGCTCTATTTCTATTCCCGTCAAGGTTGATCCCTTTACGCCAGTTTTCTGCTCTGCACCTCTGATCTCCGATCAAGGCCAGCTGACTTTAGTCATTCTTCAGCATCGGCTTTCTTCATCTGTCCCCGCCCCCTCTCGCTCAGCGAGTCCTGGATCAGTGTATTCACATCCCCCAAGAAGTCGTCTCTAGACCCTATCGTGAGCGGCTTCAGCCAAGTGCCGTAAGGATCTTCACGGGCATTGCTCCGACTCCGACTTCTTCTCGGGCTCTCCGCCGCGCTGGGTGGCATGCTCTTGAGTTGAGACTTGTATATCTCGTTCCCGTCGTCGTCCTCCTCGCTGTATCCGTCGTCAATGAGCTTCTCTGACTCAAAGTCCGGGAAGAGCTCCGGGCCAAATGTGTTGATCACGTCGACGACCTGAGCCGCTACCGCCCGACGCTGAGCTCGCAGCTTGACCAACGCGGCCGAGGAGCTCGGATTCAAGGCCACCAGCAGAGGGCGCAGTGACTTTAGCACGTCGACGCCAATCTCGCCAATGCGAAGACCGGCGAAACTGATCGAAATCATAAGCCCAAAGAAGAAGATCGCGAAAGCCCAGAGAGGGACCACGTCTGGCACATAGGATCGTGCGGTCAGCCACCAAGGCACCACGGAACAATAGTAGCCGTCGTGGCGACAGTAATACAGCCAGAGAGTCCCGATCACGGTGTACCAGGTGTATAGCGTCGGCGCCAGCCCCATCGCCACAAGGATCTTCCAGGTTCCAACCACATCGCGGCCCTCCAACTTAAGCTCAGAGGCTGCAAGAGCTTGCCGCTGCTTCTTATGGGAGATAACCCGTGCGGTCACAAAGACTGGCCAGAAGAGAGCAAGCGAAGGCAAGGTCCCCACACTCAATGTGATCAGTTCTCCGATACGATAAAGCAAAGTCAGAAAGACCAGCCACCACGGTCTGCGTTTGACATTGCCCCATTCGACTTGATGGTCTCTGATTCCCAGGGCCTCCAGCTGACAGTTGTAGGCGGACACAGCCTTGGTCAGCTCAATAACCTGGGGCTCGTGCTTGAACAGAGTGTAGCCCCTGAGGAGGCGTCGGTTTAACTCAATGACCACAGGCAGTGGAAGCTTCATCCGCAGAGGTCTATATAGTCTTCGAGTCGCTTGGATGAGCATGAGCGTCTCGCGATCGGGGGCCTGCTGAGTGACGGAAGCAAGTGCCTCCTGGATCGTCTGAAGTAATGATCCCACGGCATTGGGCTTGGAGTTTCCTCCCGCTTTGAATGCCTCGATCTGGTCTGGATGGACCTGGACCGGGGGCCCGAATTCGACGACAGCACGGGAACGAAACTTGTGCGGATGAAAGTAGTTCAGCCCACAGGGGATGATGGACAGCCCACAGTCTGGAGAACGTGCCAGCGTACCCAGAGCGATGATGGCAGCGCCCGCTTTCAGAGGCAGCAAACTCGGACGATCATGACTCCCGCCTTCTGGAAAGATGCCGATGCAGCCACCCGCCTCGAGCCCACGATAGACAGCATCGAACATCTGGCTTTGGTCGATGTGAGGGGCTACTTTGAAGGCCGTTCCGGTGCGCAGGCCTTCGTAAAGCGGGTGATCCGGCTTGAACTTCTTGAACGGCTTTCTGAGGCGCAGTTCCTCTGGTCCCAGGATTTCGGCAATCGCTTGCTGCTCGGGGCTTTCCTTCTCGACCTTGGGCAGAACGATCGTGCCTCCCACCATGAACATGGGGTTTGTAAAGCCAGTGCCCCTTCCGCGAACGAGAGTGGGATCATCCTCAGGTTCAGGCAAGTAGATCGTCCCTTCCCCGGGCTTGACATGGTCCATCGCCCGGACGACAGGCAGGGCGCCCATGCAAGCGGCCATGGTACCGATGTAAGGCTCCTCCATCGATTTTTCGGCTATCAGAAAGGAGACACGGCGGTTGGCATGGCGTTTGAGAATGCGTATAAGAACAATTGAGTCTACGAACTGGTTCGCATGGGGAGCAGCAACGATAATCACCGGTCCTTGCTTCGGAATCCGCCAGGTCCCAGCAGCATAGATCTCGCGGAAGAAGATATCGAGGCACAATGAGTAGATCCACACTCCCAGATCGTAGATCCAAGGCACCAGCAACTGTTGGCTCGAGCGTGGCTGCTGCTTGGCCATGGCTCATCTGCTCGCCCGCTTCAAGGAAAACGCAGGGGTGTTTCAATTGCCCAGAGACAATCCTTTGATCAAGAGACTAGAGGTACAACCGTGACGGGAGGCGGATATAACTCGGATGGGACACCGCTGTCATACAGGTCTCTCCCGAGGTAGCTGAGCGATAAAAAAGTGAGACGAACGAGACAGCAGGCTTATCATGAAGACTGAGCATCCCACTGGGGTGATGATAGGAGAAAGAGCTGCAATCAATGTCGACCTGGTGGCAACGGTATTCTCTGGAGCATCTCCGGTTGGCTGGGGGCTGAAGAACTGTTGTTGCACAGTTGGGATGCTGGGAAACGGCCCGCGCGTGCAGATTGGACGACTGCTGCAACCTGCCGCATTAATCAATGTTGGTCTGCATTAGCATCGTGCAGGTGGTGTAGAATTAGATGGGAGTTCCCCAACGCTTGTCGTGGAGTTGGCGTGGGCGAGCATGCGGGTTGCCTGACGTAACTCGCAGACGGACGGCGGGTCCGAAAGCATATCGAAGCTACCATTACCATCACTACCAGAAACACTGCCAAGCTAGCTAGCTCGTTTCTACTTCGCAAGTCTAATATTCATATATGGAAGTATTAATCGCCGCTCGTGATGGCCAGCCTCAATCGACCTCCCGAGTGCGTGCGAACAACAGCAAAACTGTATATGGTATAGTTGTAGTATGCCACAAATCCACAATCAGACCTTCCTGGCCTTCTCCTTCTCAGCAGCCGCTTCAGCAGCCTCCTTCTTCTTCCGTTCTATCTCCCGAGCCAACTGATCGGGCCGGCGCACTGCAATATCCTTGGGCCGGAAATCGCTGAACAGGCGCTTCAGCACGTTTTCGATCACCCAGCAGCCCGCATAGTCCAGGATCATCAAAGTCGTCAGGACGACCTTGAACTCATTGCTGAATGGTACCAGCCGCAGTTTCTCGTTAAGCTCAGGGATAAACTCGGTCGCGCAGGAGAAGGCAACCGCCGAGGCGCCGACCAGACCCCAGTACATGGCCTTGTTCTCTCGAATCGATTCCCGGAACGGGCGACCCTGGTAGTTGATTGAGAAGGTCGAAATTTGTTGAATAAGCTGCAGAAGGTAGACGGCACTATTCAGCAAAGATGGCTCGAATTCACCCTCGAGATCAACTTCTCCGGTTCGTCTGCACGTCAGTTAGCGAGAAGTCCCCAAGCCAGTAACGCCAAAGGTGAAGACACATACGGCTCGATCTTGGCTACATAGTTGGAAAGATAGACCAGAGTAGCGATGTGGATGGCGAATTGCCCAAGGACGGAGCCAATAATGTACATGTTGAAGATGTTCGGCTGCGGCCGCTCCTTCGACAGGCCTTCGACAGACTAGGATTGGATATCAGCACAGATCTTACAAGAGTCACCCTGCAGGAGTCCTTACCTTAGCACGAGAAATGGAAAGGAAGCAGACACTCATGAGCATCCCGCTGATCGTGACCTGGCCGTCCCCAAACTTGATTCCGTCCAGGTAGATCACACTGAGACTGTAGGCGCTGATCAAGCAGTTCAAAGCGAGGATCTTATACATCTGAATGGTAGCGACAAGGGTGCAGCGGCCTTGGCGAAGGATGTTAGGGATAGCGACCACGTTGGCCAGCTTGCTCGTGAAGGGAGCAGCAACGGACGCGTCGCCCAGCTTGATAGTCGGAGGCTCGTTATCATCAAGCTCCTGTTCCAACATCGACGTCGTCAACTTGTCCGCCAATCCTGCAGCCGCAGCGGCGGCTTCGCGTTGGCGTTTCTGTTGAGGAGTAAGATTCTGAGCAGACTGCTGCGCCGCTTGTGCTCCAGGCGAAGTGATGGTCGGAACACCATTCGCCCCAGTCTTCGATTCTGCGGCGGCGGCGCCCTTTTTCTTTGCTTCCCGCTCCATCGCCTTCTCGTAGTGCGGGTTGGTAGGTCCCGGAGGATACAGATGAGCGATCTGAACGGGCACTGGCGGTACAGGCTGGTTGAATCGCTGCATCATGGCAACCTGCTTTTCGTAGATCTCCTTCATCTTCGTGTTGCGGTAATGTTCCTGAATCTTGGCCAGGTCCTCAGGAGTTCCATTCAGCAGCGCCACGCCAACATGGGCCTGCTTCAAGGCACCAACGTCGGTTTGTGCCATCACCGCACATCAGTGTCGTGTAGCCCGCATCCTTCAGTCCAAGTAGAATCTCCTCCTTCTGCTTCGGCGACACCCGAGCGTACACCCATGTGTAACGAAGGATATCCGGGAGAGCCTTTTGATCCTTGAACTTAGACAAAGCATATCCTGTAACACAGATGTCCTTTGTCTCCAGGATATTCCGATCGAGCGGTTGCGTAGGGTCGACTTCCTGGTTGAATTTATCATCAATACTTCGCCAGACAAGCCTCTTCCCAGACGTATCATTCTCAGGAGCATCAAGAATCAGAACCTCCCGATCGACAATCTCAACCTGCCGAGCGACATGCACCGCAGTCAAGGGGTTGTCTCCAGTAATCATGACGACACGGTGGCTGCTCTCATTGAGCATCCGAACAGCTTTGACAGCATCCTCTTTCAGAGGACACTGCAGAACGAGGAAGCCCGCAAAATTCAAGTCTGACTCAATCTCCTCCCGAGAGTAGTTATTGATGCGGTTTTGTCCCAGATCAGCATCCGTAGAGAGGTACTTGTACGCGAGAGCAAGCACCCGAGCTCCATTACGCGTAAAATACTTGAAGGTTTCCTCGTAATGCGGAGGTGTATTGACGAGCATGGTCCGGATAGTCTCCGGAGCACCCTTAACACCGACGAACGTAGCTTTGTGTCTCCTCGAGGTGGCCTTATCCGTGGTAACAACATGCGCGATGGAGCTCTGGCGCTTGAGGGCAGAAGAAAATTGAAACCGTCTCTTAATTTGGACTGACTCCGGCACCTGAGCAGACCCACTGGCAGCAATGCCCTTGCTAACCAAGGTATCGTTTTTGCCAAGTACCCAGCCCAGAGATGTCAACGTGGCCTTCTCCATTGGATCACCCACGATCTCGCCTTCATCCAATTTCACCAGCGCATGCGCGGTTGCAAGAACCAGAGTCGTTTCACTGCCGACTTCGGTGACCTTGGTCAAGTCAGTGTGTGCGCCATCCGGCTCGACCTTTGCATCCTTCTGGCCGAGGGTTAAGCCTGCGATGCCATCAACAACAAGATCTTCACCGGTCAAAGTGCCAGTCTTGTCGAAACAGGCGACATCAACACGGCCGGCGAATGGGATGCGGAATGGCTCGGTGCAAAAAATCGCAAATTTGCTGAGGGCCGCAAGACTGGTATTCACAGCCAAACTGAGCTCCATGGGAAGTTCAGGAGGAACGACGCTGGTGATGATCAAAACGCAGTCGAGCAGCAGCTTCGATCTCTTCCGATCCTTCGCCACTCCTTCCTGCCAGACGTACCAGGCAGCTGCAATAGCGAAGACAAGGAGGAAGAGGATGAAGAGAAGCGCTTCCACGTTATTGGCCGAGACACGCTCCGTAGAGTAGATCATAGTACGGACAAGACTTCCCTGGCTGGTTTCAAATCCAGTCTTCACCACAACACCCAGGGCACCATTGTCCGGAGGATTCGGAACACCAGGTGCAATGTGGTCCAATTTCTCAGCACCTTCGCCCGAATTGGGATGCGTGATCTGCAAGACTTTGGTACCCCCATGCACGAACGCATTCTTGTCGAGCCCGTCAGGGTCGATGAGGTCGTCTCCAGGTCGGAGCTGGATTGAATCCTTCAGCAGCGGGGTACTCTCTCCGGAAAGCATGGCCTCATTGACGATCGCGCTGCCTTCAATGAGAAGAATATCGCAGGCGACTCCGCTGTCTTCCTTTGTCCGGTTGACCGACAGGAGATCTCCCGGAAGCAACTTGTCGCTGGTAATCTCCTGCCATTTGCCCTCACGATACACCCAGACATCATACGGCTTGATATTCATACCGCGGAACTCATTCAACGTCCTCTGGCGCTGCCATACCACAGTGCTCTCGAACGCAACCAGCATGAACAGGGTAAAGAGCGAGTAGTACCAGTATTCGTCCAGCATCCACAGTCCGACACAGAAAACCTGAAAAACGAAAAATGGCGCGACCGCATGTTCCTTCCACAGCTCCATGAACGTGGGAACGGGAATGTCAAATTTGTTGTCGCCATAGTGGTGCTGAATCCGCTCAATCTCTGCCTTGGACGTCAACCCGCGGCTCTGCTGGAAGGTCTTGATGGCAGGCTTCGGTTCTGCATCGAGGACATAGGACAGGGGTGCGAAACACTTTCGTTCAGGGTAGTAGAGAAAGCGGCGCTTCTGGAACAGAAAAGACACAGTTTTCTTCCCGGTCTTGTTGTCGTGAATCAAGCGGCAGATTTCTGCGGAGCCCGCATTCGTGACTGGAATGATCTTGATCAGCTGCGCCGAGTCAACCGAGTTCGTCCGCGTCGCGGTAAAAAGAGCGTCGATGTTGACGCTCCACTTGGTCATCAACCATAGTAGCGACTGCACGGTGATGATGGATCCCGCATATACAAAGGTCCATTCCTGCCCCTGAATGTAGGTGTTGTACAGCTCCGGAGACAGATAGAACGAGAAGAACACGGGCCACACGATTATGAACGGCCACACATAGGCATGCAGCTGGACGGGGAGCGGGTTATGGAGAGACGCATGTTGGATCTGGGGATCGTCGACGAGTTTCGACCTGCTCAGCCGTCAGCACGATGTCGCGTGGTTTTGATTGATGTGCTCCGACGTACATGTTGCCACTCGAAGCCCGCAACGCAGGCTGGTAAGGAACGAAAAGGAGCCTCAATCACTCATACGACAGAGAGACCGAGGGCGAAAAGAATGACCACGAGACAAAGGCAGAGAAAGCGTCCTTGGACAGCTGGGGTATAAAGCAGGTTGTGGGTTCCAGGGAAAGAAGCCACCTCGACGATGAAGAAATGCAGCTATCTCCAGCTTTGGCGCCCCTGCCAAACGAGTTCCGCAGTTCACGCCATCTGTTGTGTCCGATCGCGTCGCTGATTGGCCCGCGCACCAGCCACTCCGGTTGCACCAGCCACAAATCCCTTCAACCTAATTAGGAATGTAGAGTACAGTACGATACGAAATCCTGGATGATTGAACTATACAAGCATTGAACATGGGACCAGCATATTATCATCACTAAACTACTAGCCTCAAAATTGTTGGGCAGTTGGGTGAAGTGATTGTGCTCGTGCTTACACAGTACTTCTTCGCTAATCCCTGATGCATCTTGGTACATTGACTCGCCGTAACCTTTTCGGCTCCTAATTGCCTATGGTGGTATGCATGGATATACACCAGTTCACTACATGAACCAAATAGTCCTATTCTTACACCGAACCAGGCTAAATGAACTTGACTGCGCAGTCTTAGGTTTGATGTTCATCGTCATGTGTAGAAAAGAATGTGTTAACTTAGGCATAACTCAGCGTCATCTGACACCATGTCAAGTGAAACTCTCTTAATTTCTGGCCACCTGTCCAGACATCAAAGAGACTGATAGAAAGTATAAAATCTTGAAGTGACGATAGCAGGTCTAGGTGAATCAAAACCGCCATGTCCGAATAATGTGCGAGAAGGGAAATGTGCAAATGCGAGAATCGTAAATATACGAGTTTCGGTGCAGATAACTGACTCAGCTCCCATGCAGGTTAAAAGATAACCAGTCGAAGATGAGCGTAAGTCGATACTCGTGGTCTACCACTTGGCTTCTTTCCGCTGCTGGAATTCCTGCAAGATGGCAACCCGCTTCTCCAAGGCCGTCACCCACTGGTCGAGGGCTGCTTCCGACTTAGCAGAATCGTCACCCAGCTTCGCATAGAAGTCCTTTCGGTACGGGGTAGCAGACATAGCCGCACTGAAGATTGGCTTGACAACGAACGAGTGATGCGGCTTGAGAGTCGACCCATAGGCGTCGCGGAAAGAGTCGGCGAGTTCCTTGCCTGGGTTTTTCAGGTTGTCACGGAGTGCTTGGGCGGTGAAGTCAAGACCGCTTGAATGCCAACCAGTTAGCCGGACTTCGTCTTACGCCAGCATGCAGCAAATAATTAAAGAGTCCCATAACTACAGCTTCTCTGAGTCTGGGGGAAACTGATATCACCTACCGGACAAGCCAGAGCAGCCCCTCGGCGGCGGTGTGCTTCTTCGTCTTCAGCTCATTGATGACAAGAGCTTGCAGCGTCTGAGATTCAGCAGGAGCTGCTTGCTGTCGGTCCCTGATTTTCTGTTTGTTCGACAGTGTTAGATGCCTTACTACTTGAGGTCCTTGGTGGTGAGAGTAACCTTGATGTTTCCCAACAGGTCGTTCTTGACGGGCGTGAAAGCAACAGAGCCAAGGACATCTAGAAGAGAACTTGAGTTAGCCGATATCGAGCTTTGTTCCTTGCATGCTTGACCATACCAAACAGGGTCGTCAGAGCCTCTGAGGCCTCGAGAAATTCAGTGGTAGCGATCCCATTGTCGTTGGCTTCGTCGATGGGGACGTCGACGAACGACTTCTGCAGAGTGTCGATCCAAGTACCGCCCTGAGGGATAGCAGCCATTTTGTGATTGTTCTTGTAGCCTTGGCAGAAAAAAGAAAGGATAAACGAAGGGAATTGAAACTTCGGTTTTTGGAAATGCAAGGCAAAGAGGGGCACAAGCACAAGAGGGTGAGTTGTTTCCTCCGGAGGACAATGCAGTGACACGCAAGCCAATAGCGGGGCAGGATCGGCGGTGACAACAAGCAACCAAACGCGGCAAAGCGAGCAAACACGGCAAACGGCGTTGCACCGCCACAGCCGATAACTTACGTCATATCAGTGGAGATCGCCAGTTGCTGCTTTCGTATAGCTTCGTCCCGGGCAGCTCCCCCGCCATCTGGACCTCTCTTTAGAAGCAGGAGTTTCATCTATTGCTGCTCTTTCTTTCGATTGTCGCTAGTTACATTTGTAATAGATGTTTGGGTTTTTATTTTGGAATTTGCATTCGTTCGTGTCACGCAGCGTAGCTCCGAATCAATTGCCATGGCTAATGCGCTGGAGGCTGGTCAGTCTGAGATCAGCACCCAAAGTGACCCTGAGAGTTACCATGGGCTAGATCCCGAGTCCTATACGGCGCAACGATTGGTAGGTCTTCCGATGCACTGGACAGTTCTTCTGTACTGTCAAACCTGATTCGTTCTCTAGCGCCATGCTTCAGCACACCATCTCCATTTAACCACTAGGCGATTCTTTATAGGCCCTATCCCCGAAGGGTGGATACAGAATCACCGGAAGTCCTGGTACAAGAAGCGGCTCAGCTTTAAGAACTATACCTCTCGCACTATTACATTCTCAGCAGACCCCGCTTCTTCTGCTCGAGTTCAACAAAGCGGTATTCCACACTACAGCATATGTGCAGAAGAGACAGGAACTGACTCTCTTCCGATTGAAGATGGTGATGACAGGGAACCTAGAGGACTCCAGCGTACGGAAGTGAATGAAACAGATTCAACGAACAGTGAAGAGGAGAGGCCTCATTCTCCCGATGAAAATGACTCTCGCAGCCGGGATAATACAGGAGCTGGTTCCGCCAAAGATACTCTAATTTCTAGCTCATATGCTACCGCCAGGGAAACTCTGACAGACGGAGTTGCATCTGGAGCATTGTCGTCCAGACATTATACCACAAGGAACCGCCCTCGACGCCGCAACGATGAGTCGCCAACCGCCCCCTCATTTCAACAATCCGAGGCTACTCAGCCATTAAGTCCAGTGGAATCCTCTGCCGAAGCAGGGTCGACTACCTCCCTCCTCGCTCAGCAGAAGCGGGGTCGAGGAGAGGGGAATTCGACAAGGACACTACAAAGAGCGGACCCTGAACCTCATGATACGTTAGAGGAGAGTTCCGACGCTGATTCCAGTGCTGCCGACAGAGTCTTGACCCACTTGTCTAGCAGGCTGGCTCGTTATAACCTGGGGGATAATTTCCTTGACAAAAAACAACGTCTTCTCTCGCGAATCCAGAGAACCCATGACAGTATTTCCGCGAATCGGCCTCGCTGGAGTAAGGGTCAGGAAGGAGAAATGGTGAGAGTAGAGAAGATGCTGGTGCGAGTGGAAGAAACAGTGAAGAAGCTCCCACCTGACTACAATGAGAACGAGAGTCTGAAAATGGAGACAAGAGTGGTTGCAAAATGGCGAGAATATCTCGTGGTATGTCGGAGAAGCTCCGAAGAAAACACGCCGTATACATTAAAGATGTACAAGACTCGTGTCATCCAAGACGTGGAGAACTCCAAAGTCCGGAAAGCCGCATATTACGAGGTACCTTTAAACCAGAAACACACAAAAGTCAATCTCTACTCTTCCATCGACAAAACTGTTGTCATCTGGCATCCTTACAAACGAGGCACTAGGATTTATATTGTTCGGCCACGGTCAGCAGCACATGCGGTTGAATGGTACACCTTCATTCGCCAGACATTAGGATGGCATCGCCCGTCTTCGCTCCTCATCAACGTTCCAGATCTCGGCATCTCTCTAATCTTCAAAAAACCGTTTGAACAGTCCGATCTCGGTGCTGTTAAACAAGGAGGAAGACAAGAGGGCCGTGATAGAGAACAGCTTGCAGCTGCAGCTATCATCAGTAACTGCATGAAGATGCTCAAAGATCGAGAGGAATGGGCGGATGTGCTGAAGGAATGGTCAAAAACCGCCAAGATGGGCCTGGCATGGAAACGATATGACCGATTGGAATGGGTCTACGGAGTCAACGAGCGACAGATGTACGGGACAATTGCAATGCAAACCTCGCACGATCTCGAACTGCGACCGAAACACCATTACTCGACCTCCATCAAACGTGACGAAGAGGAAAAAGTAGAGGAACCGGCACCAGTTGAAGGTTTTCTGGTGCGCCTCACTTCACAAAAAGGGGTGCAGCAACGGATGGGGAAAGCCTTTTTCAAGCGGCATTACTTCTGCACTCAAGACCATTACTTGTGCTTCTGCAAACCTGCAAGAGCTGCCCCTCCTCATCCCCCACGGGAAAGTGTGACTGAGTCCAATATCCCGTCTTATCGGGAGATTATCAAGGATATGCCACTCCAATTCGAGGTCAATCCTTTTCCACTGGAGGATGGCCAGATTGCTTGGCTGCGCAGCGGCAATAAAGAATTCATCCGGAGACACGACGAAGAAGCCTATGCGCAGTCACAGAGGGTTCTTCACAACCTCTCACACTCCGAAGGCTTTATCGATCTGTGTCAGATACGCGAGGTGCGACGTGTACATAGTGAGAACCGACCACGGGGTTCAAACGTCCACGGTGATCGGGATACCGGTTCCCGGCCAGCACGAGGCCATTCAGATGGCGGATCCATGAATCATGTAGACTACGCTCGTGCGTTCGAGCTAGTACTGGAGAATGGGCTTGTAGTCCGGCTGCAGGCGTACAACACGACTACGAGAGATGAATGGGTGACGCGTCTGGAGATGTTAATCAACTACTGGAAAGCGCGCATAGCGGCTGATTCGACCGAGCTCAAAACACTTCGTCAGCGTAATCTCGAGTTGCTGGACATTGACGAAGAGACAGAGTCAATTCTGGGACAGTTTGCATGTAAATGGGAAGTCAAGCGGGCTGAGGCGTCGCCGCATCTATACAATATGTGCTCTATCTCGGGCTGTCGGGCAATTAAGGTGTGTCACCATCTTCACATGAAAATCATTTCTTTATATATATTAACGATATATACAGATGTCTGGACAACTCTACCGCAAACCTCGTCGTCATTCGACCTTCAAGAGATGCCATGTGATACTCAACTCTGGCGGTCGACTCCTTATCTTCCAAGACACGCTCCGCACATGGACGGGCGTTGGGATCCCCCACATCCACAAGGAACTCGTGGCGACGATGGACCTGCGGGATTGTTACATTTACTCGGGCCTTCTCACTGAGTCGGACCTCCTTTATGCGAACCAGACATTCGACAGCAACCGCCCGGGCCACCATGCGCTGCCGCGGATATACCTCTCCCAGGATGGCTGGACCAGCCGGGACGAGGACACGGCCATCTGCTTTGTCATCTGGCACCCACTGCGCAAGAGCCTGTTCCGGACGACGGAAGTCAAAGAAGGAGGCCGAACGAGCCGGCTGCTCCGGCAGGTGTCGACGCTCGGCGTGCCGGGGAGGAGCGTCGTCTTCAAGGCGCGCAGTCGAATGGAGAGAGACCGATGGGTGTTGAGCATCGAGTCTGAAATCGACCGGTTACAGGAGGAGCGGGGGGAGGATGTTCGGATTGTTTAGTCGACTCTACCTGGGAAATATAGCAAGGCGCTGGAAGGGAATATACCACACGAGAAAAATGGGTATGCAATTTCGTATTTGATTCATCTGCAATGCATGTATCATCACCTCTATAATATTATACATACAGCCAGCCTGTCTATAATGGTGATAGAGGTAGTCATAATAGTAATGATAATAATACACAAGAAAACAAGCAAAAATGTCCAAGTTCTTCCCTCTCTCTGTGTCTTGTAAACAATGACCATGGCCATGGCATAGACGCTTACAGCTCTACTCCAAAGCCGGCCTCTCCAACTTAACAGCATTTTTCAAGACCCTCTCCCTAACCGACTTCCGGTATCCGCCGGGACCGTCCCCTTCCTCGCTGCCGTCATCCCTATCCCACTCCCACCATTTCAGCAGACGCATGCGCGGCCACAGCACGGCGATAACACGCCCCGTGATCAGACTGATGCTGACAGGCCCATAGGTGTTGCTGTCGAGCGACTTGCGCGGATCCTCCACATCGCCTTCGAGCCAGACGTGGTTGTAGGGGACGATCTGCGAGGGTTTGGGGCAGGGTTCGCGGGTGATGACGCGGTCGCCGGGGAGGGCGATGACGCGCTTGATGGCGATGTGGGAGGGGTTTGCTGGAGACCTAAATATCATCATCAAAGTCGTCAGCGACAGCATCAATCACCATGGTTTTTTTGTTTTGTTCCTACCGAAACGTAACCACCATCCCCCGTTCAAGCCGTCTTCGGCGCTCCCACGGCCAGCCCGACCCCCACGGCCACATGTTCACCAGCACCATGTCGCTGCGCGTCTGCATCTCGGCGTAGTCCTCGTTTAGGTAGGGCGTCATGGACGGCCCGCGCACCCACATCACTTGCAGGACGTGTTCCGAGAAGAAGATGCCGACGGGCACGATGGGGGCGAGGAAGCGCAGGACGCGAACGGTGCGGCGCACGGGCAAGGGGAGGGCGGAGTAGCGGGTGCGGAAGCGGTGCAGGAAAGAGGAAGATCTTGTTGTCGTTGACGAAGGAGGTGTAGATGTAGATGCGGTGTTTGCGGAAGATGGCGTCGTTGTCGTAGCATTCACCGAGGAAGGAATCGAAGAAGAAGGAATACTCCTCGACCAGAGCTTCGCCAGCTCAGGCGCCAGCACCCTCGGCCTCAACAATCCCGGCGCTCGCGAAGAAGAAGAAGAAGCAGGTCGATCCGGGGGTTGTTTCGAATCGGAAGTCGGAGGAGCCATCACGTAGACTGGACTGACTGGACTGGACTGGACTGAGACAGAGCAGAATAACTTTCACTAAATATATAATTGGTATGTCATCAATTGAAGATACTGCCAGTCCAGTCACAGTCTAAGTCACTAGATGTATGTTGTGATGAGGTCGTATGATAGTTATCGAACTGCGCATATCGGAAGTTTTGCGGAAATGGAGTTGAGCTTGTTTGCAGCGTTTGCACTGGAGATAAAACACCAACAATCAGTACGGAGTAGAATTGAACAACATTAGAAAATTTAATTTATTCATTTATTCTTTTTTCTCTTTTTTGAAGAGATAATTTCTATTGCCTATAATTTGCCTATAATGCCTAATACAGGAAAGAACGTCAGTCGAGGGTAACATCAATCTAAAAAAAAATACGCCGATGAGCTGACAACTCAAACGCCCCTAAAGTATTCGAACTCCGTGCTGTAACAATGCATTGTAGTTGCGTGATGCTGTTCATGCCTTCAGCTCGGTTTCAGAGGAGGATAGCTCGTGAAAGTCAACGCTACTCGATTGCATGCTCTGGACGTCTGTCACCGAGGCAGCTTTGTCGACCTCCACAGGCTCTTCGTCCAGGTCCCCCCCGTTCTCGCTGGACACTTCCTCCCAATCATCTTCACTCTTCAAAGTGTATCTGCTGTCACTCTGATTGAATATCTCATCTGTTTTCATTCTCCTTCATTGAGCGATGTACTACATGTATCTCGCTTCAAGCGTCATCTTTCTGATCAGAAATTTTACTCACCCTCGTTCTTCTCCGTGGGGTTCTCAGCATTAGCGGCTGCGAGGTCGTCTTCGGTGGGAGGGAAGTACTCGCTATAGTCTGTTAGCGAATTGCGCATCCTGAGAAACGAAGATGTAGATAGAACATACGGAAGAATCTCCTGGTACGCATTCACGTCCTTTGGCATGAAGCTGCAGAAGATGACGCGTTCCAGCTTGCCGACGTTGTCGCCCTCGGTGAGAAACTTGCGGACTTCATCGATAGCAGCACGAGCTGCCTCGTCGCTCGGGTATCCGTAGACGCCGGTGCTGATCGCCGAGAAAGCGATCGATTTCATTCCATTTTCCACAGCGAGCTGAAGGCTGCGGCGGTAGCAGCTGCGCAGCAGGACCTCCTGTCTACCCTCCTCCTTCTCCTTCTCCACGTCGTACACAGGGCCAACAGTATGCACTACTTTCTTGCATGGCAGATTGTAGGCGCCCGTGATCTTGGCATCACCTGTATCGCAGCCCTTCAGGGTCCGGCACTCACTGAGGAGCCCAGGACCTGCAGCGCGATGAATGGCGCCGTCGACACCACCACCACCGAGGAGAGACGAGTTTGCTGCATTGACAATGCAGTCGACCTCCAGGCGTGTGATGTCATAGCGTATGTGAGACACGATGTTGTTCAATGCTTGCGATGGCGTAGTGACAATGGCAGACTTCGCTGGGACAAGCCACTTGAGCCTGTACAGGCGAGACACAGTGGGAATTTCTGACAGAGGACGCAAGGCAGACATGGTGAGAGATTTGGGTGTCGTGAAGGACTTGAATAGTCACTTGTGCGAGATTCTGCGTAGAATAGCTGCACTCAATGTCCGGCTAAATGAAAAGCTCAGCAAGAGATCATTCCAATAAATTGAGATCAAATCAGCAGAGAAAGAGACCATATACATACAGTATTATAGCTCCATTCCGGGCTGTCCTAGAGAAGATGGCAGTGGAAGACACTGCATGAGTCTGACATCAACAGTGATGCTTTCAGAGCTCAAGTGGGGAAGCGCAATCGAGGCATCTCCCCGCAGCACGTGATGTCATTCCACACTGTCTTATCTTAGCGTGATGCTGCATGTAATTGCTGCAGAAGTCCTCTTCTTCTGCTGAGTACGTCTTTCATGCTCATGTTCACATAATCTAGCATGTAAGAAGGCTGTCTTTTCAGTAGGATGTGAATCTGGTGAAAAAGCATGTCAACAGTCTTGATTGGGTAGAATGATCTTTTTTAATATAATTTCATTATTTTAATTTCTTTTACCTCGTATAATCTCCACCTAAGACGCCGCTGAGAAGCCACATAAACAAGTATGATTCATCCAGCGTATATATACCATCCTGCCCTTTCAATTCCTTGATTCATTTGCTTGTATATCCTATAGATCGCACATCACATATATGAACAGCATACAATAATTCCACAAGCAGAAAACACTGCTATTCCAGCGAGAGAAGGAAGGCAACATGACCATCAAAATCCGCCATGCCACAGAAGACGACATCCCCCAAGTCCACGCCATCTTCAGCCACTACGTGCGCGAAACCATCTTGACGTTCATACAGAACCCGCCTCCGCTGGAAGCGATGGTTGCCAAGTTCCGGGGAAACACCATCGGCCGCGGCCTGCCGTACCTGGTCGCTGTTGAAGAGGGCGAAGACGAAGACGATGAGAGCCACAAGACAGGTACTGTTCTCGGATACGCCTACTTCTCGCCCTTTCGAGGGACGATGATCTCGTACGGAGGCACGGTCGAGCTGTCGCTCTTCTTGCATCCTGAGCACAGGGGCCGCGGTCTGGGGACGAGGCTGTTGACTACGTTGCTCTCGATGCTGGGGCCTTATCCTCATAACACTCCTACTGCTAGTAGTGGTAGTGATGATGAGGACGGAATTACCTCGACAGAAATATCCACCGACGGCGTAAGCCACCTGGCGCGCGAACACGAGGGGTATCCGGACTCCGAGGTCACAGTATCTGTTCCCGTTCGTAATGTCATCGCTTGCATGGCGTTGGATACGAAAGAGGGCAAGGATGGAGGTGAAGGCTTGCGGAAGTGGTACGAGAATAGGGGCTTTGTGGAGAGGGGGAGGTTGAAAGGGGTGGGGTTTAAGAAAGGACGATGGTAGGAACCAGTTCCGGTTCTGTTTATCGATCATGAATTGATATGGCTGACATTGACGATTGTGCAGGATTGATACTATCTACCTTCAATATACTGTTCCTCAGAATGGGGACTCGACAGCTTGACATATACGAGGGTGGAGTTGCAAATAGAGACACTGTAGCAACGAATTAATAATAATATTATCATGAGTCTGGCTTTCTATTTTCCAAGCATATATCAGTACAAGCAAGGGATTATTTGAAAGAAAAAAAAAGTTGTAAATCTACAGCCGTGTCAATGTCCGTTGGCCGAATCATTCATGCCTCACTTAGAAGAAGAAGTTCTCAAAGGCCGCCTTCGCATCGTCAAACGCCGTTCTAAACCCCTCATCCATGCTGGCAAGTGTTGAACTTATCCAGCTTCTTGCCTTGTCGCCGATCAGCTCCCAGGTGTCCTTCAAGTCGGCAGCTGTCTTTTCCAGGAATATGAGCGTCAAGGTCGTTGCAAGGACCGCCTTGGAATTTCGACTGTCGAACGGGTTGATCGGCTGTGTGATGCCTTTTCTCCTCGCAGCGACGTCAAAGGCTTCCTGCACTTTCTTCGCGACGTCATCAGGGTCCAAGTTGATTGTATGAAGCAGATCCTGAGTCCACTCCCAGGATCCCTCGAATGTCTGCAGCGTGATTATGTCGTTGAGCTTGGTTTGTTTGGAGGGCGCAGTGTTTTTCTCACTCTTGGCCGGTGAGAAAGACTCCAGGCCTCTTGACAACCTGTCTCTCGGGCGAGTTCCACCTCGTGCCTCATGAGGTATTGATCTGGTAAGCTGACCAAAGCCACCGCGAGTAGCTGGTGGCCTATACGGAGTCACTGAAGCATGACGGGAGCCTGCAGTCCTATGCATCATGCGACGTGCCATCGGCGGTCCGCCAAAGAAAGCAGCAGGTTGAGCAGAGGCAGTTGCACCGGATAATGATCTCCCACCACGAGAGAAAGGAGGGCTAGAGCTGAAAGAACAATGTCTGACGTCTCCCCAACCCGGACCGGCCGGCTTTTCTTCTGCTATCGTTCCTTCACCGATGATGTTTCCCTCGCTGTCTCTCTCCACCGCGACAAATGAAGTCCACTCTCCGGCAACCTGGAATCGGGTTCCCAGTCGCGTTCCTTCGCGGGCAACAATGTCCTCCCATTTGCTGTCGTACACGTCCTTGATGAGGCGACCGTCTCCGACTCTGGCGTTCGATATCCACCCGCGGCGTTCTTCCAGCTCCACCAGTGCTCTCCTCGCGGCGAGTTGGTGGATGGTTTCGCCAGTCCCAACGTCTTGAATCGGGATTCTCAGCTCCAGTGGCCCATACTTTGAAGTGCCTCGGACAAGCAGGGTCTGAGGAGGCTTTTCGTGGGCTTTTGGGGATAAGAGAATGTACATGGTAGACCGGAAGAGGGGATACAATGAGATCTTGGTCGGCACCTGGAGCAGCTGCGGCGGCTTGACCGGGGGCAGATTCTTGAAACGGTCGCCTGGAGCCGGAGCGGCAGTCTCAAGTTCTGGTTCCTTGTAGGCACTGTCGAAAAGAGATATCGGCTGCTTTCCCTTGTCCTCTGGCTTGTCTTCGACAGCATCCTTCCCACGGAATGGTAATTCCACCGAGGGAATCGTGTTCGCTTGTTCGATGATCTCAAAGTCGTCCTGCTCTTCCTGGCTATACTCAAACTCGATCGTGTAATCGTTGATATGAGGCGTGAGAGCGCCTTTGAGCATGCGAACCACTTTCTTGTCCAGCTCCTCATCCTCGAGAACGGACTGGGAGAAACCATTTCCGGCCCTGGCAATCCCTTCGATGAGCGCTTGTGACGCTGCATCGCCAATTCCAAGACTGAAAAATCGGATAGGGTTCTCGGACACGGCTCGGTTGATGAAAGAGAAAAGCGCTTTCTGCTCCCAAATTGCACCGTCTGTGAGCAGGAGGACTTCCAACTCCATGTCCTTCAAGCGGTTGGCAACAGTCGCTTCGACAGCCGGATACATCTCCGTACCACCCATGTCAGCATCGATCGTGTCCACGTGGCGAAGAGCCTCCTCAAGGCTGGAGGCATTGTAGCTCTTACTGCGGCTCCATAAGAAAGAAAAGTGACTTCCAAATGAGCAGATGTTGAACATCACGCCAACTGGCAGCGACTTCAAGAAGACCCTGAGGGCTGATTTCAATGTTTCTATTCTATCTGCCATGCTGCCACTCCGGTCGATGATAAACACAATCTCCGGCGTGTTATTCGGCAGGCTGAACTTGGGCAACAGGGACGCCATCAGCGCCCTCTGATGCGGCAGCGTGGGATGAGTCTCGAGGAAGGCCACGGGCGTGTCCTGGCCTTCGGCATTGACGAGCATGACGAAATCTCGCTCCAGCAGGACGTCACCTCGGATGGACGTGGTCGCTGACGCATGATGGGGCTCGAAAGAACCTTCAGGCATCGTAGACGTGCGACCAAGCAACATCTGATACGGATGACTGGGAGATTGGAGGGCGCGGATGACGGAGCCCTTTTCGACCGAGACGTCGAGAGTGATCTTGATGCCACCTGTCGATGCGTTCGACCCGAAGCTGCTGTCGCTCTGATACCCGTAGCGAGGGGCCACGACGGTTGGAAGGACATATCGCACGCCATTCGTCTGCGCATCTTGCTTGAGCTCTCCGACGTAGACGATTTCCACCGTCACCCTGCCGTTCGCGGGGACGTTGCCCAGTTTGGTGCGAAAGACATCCGAAGCATCAACGGATTGCTCGAGGAGGCCGGCACCTTGTCCCCGGCGGACGGCCTCGTCGAAATCGGCTTTGGCTTGCTCTTTGTCCTTGACCACTCCGTCGAGGATCCGATCGCCAATGCGGCAGCGGAAGCCCACGACGCTGACGCCATCGTACATGGGAAAAGTGTAAGACACTTCCCTGATGGCATCTGAGCGGGGGTTGACGAAGGTCTGGGAGAGCTTTGTCCTGGATGTAGAGGACAAGATGGTGGCATGGACATCGAGGTCAACCTGGGGCAGGTATCCCCAACGGTTTTCGTGGAGATACGAGCATCCGCAGGGCGGAAGGTTCACGTATGAGGCCATGATAGGAGAAGCAGGTATTAATTTGGACAGTTGTTTTCAAAGGATAATGAAGAAGAAACCATTGCAGCTGGAGAAAAGGGTTTTTAGATGCAGCAATACGCAGGCATCCACGTTCGGAGTCATGTCGTCCGGAGGATGCCTGCTGGGCGGGAACCTAGCAGGCACCTTCGGGCAAAAACATTTCTGGTTTGTAGTGCCTGTATGAGTCGAAAAAACATGGGTGAGCCATGGTGCCTCAACTGCCAGATATTTCATAGAAAATGAAACATAGTATCTGGATGGAGGATGAGTCGGGAGATGCCTGTTCGAGGCCGCTCCCAGAAGGGCTTAGCGCGGGCAGTCGATGTTGCCTGACAACTGCCAGGCAGGCAATTAATATTAATATTCTCTCCATTATTCATGTAGACTAGCTCGGCTATCTAATTCACAGAGGAGAAACAGACGACAGTAAGTACGCATTGGCAGTTGTTTATATTCTCATGTAGATCCATCTACTAGAATGCAAACATTGATGTCTCCAATCCTCCCACGACTATAGCCGTCTGTCACTAATCCATAAGCATAAGAAATGCTCTTCTCGCTTTATCCTCACCTGTATCTGGAATGATCGCTTGCTGTATGGACTCCTTGGATAGTCGACCAGATCACTCCTATTTATCGCTGATTTTACCCTCTAATCCTGGCAGTGCGTAAGGAGAGTGACCCAGTATCGCCTCATTTCTCGATGGAATATGCAGTAGATGCGCTTACACTTCTGTCTGTAGTCCTCATTCCCTGAATCGAATATAACAATTTATCAACATGAATGACTCCCTTGATAATTGGCTCAGAGAAAGAATGGAAAGGAAGAAAAGAAAAATCCAGTAATAGTCAACTACAACCAGCCAAGTACCTCGCTACAAGATGCATCGAAATTTGTCATCATCTTCATCGTATAACTATGACTAGGCAGGATCGCGTAAGGCTGTTGCCATGTAAATAACCTGTAAGTAATACCAATACGAACATCTGTATCTTACAAGTATGTAATCCGGATACACCGTCACAATTACAGTACAAGCGAGATCTACATCCCGTCTGTACAACCTTGGATCGAATCGAATCGGACGATTGGATCGGGACGATCGCATCGCATCGCGTGGTTCGATGAATCTTGATTCGCAAGGTTTTTGTTTTGGTCGGCCGATCCGATAGATCGACGATCGGTGGAACGTTCGATGATGGAAGAATTCCAAATTCCAAAGCGGAGCCGCCCTCGCACCAACCTACCGGAGTTAGCTAGGTAGGCAGCTTTTTGACTTGCTGCAGACTGCAGTACGGAGTATACTCTACAGAGTATAGCAAATTAACTAATGGACCATTGGTCCCACTCGCGCGTGCTCTGCCCAAAAATCGATCGATCGATCACCATCAGATCCACGCGATCGGGATCGTACACCGAGAAGAAAAGGGGGAAGCAAAGTTGGAACTATTGAAATCCTGAACTTTGATGACGACGAACGGTCTACATGGTTGAATACTATTAACCGAGCTGACTTACTCCTGATTTAGGCTAAGTACTGGCTGAAGTCAATAATACGGAATATGTGTGCAAGTGAACCGAACGAGGCGGTCTGTCCAGTCCCACCGACTAGATTCGATCGCCGATCTCGATGGCAGGAAGAGCGATCTCAGGTCGATCCCTCGCCTAACATGTTGACTGCAGAAAAATTGAATTTGAACCTACGGCATTATTCCTCCGTGCTGGAATGCTGGAATGTGGAAGCCCCGATGATATCACACTCCTTAAGCGAGGCTGCGAGCTGAACAAGCTCACCGAGTACCCTGGTCTACTGCAGATCGGCAAGACTACAAGCTCACGGACCGTCCCAAGGTCGTGGATGGGGCTGGGGCTGGGGCCTCTCACATGGAGATCCATCTTCCCCGATCCAGATCCAGACTTTTATTCAAATCCCGAATGGGAAAGGAAGTGTAATCGATCCATACCTACCTAGGTAAGCTTGAGCATTCGGAATGCTCATCTCTTCGGTACCAAGGATGACCGACTCGTGCTAGAACAGAAAGTTTGATCCCGGTATGATCACCTATGAACTTATTCTCCTTACTGCTTGATCGATCCCAACGCGGATTTTTTTTTCTCGGGGAAAAGCCACGCAGGACAGGAACATACCCACAGTCAGCTGAAGAATAGTCAACGCTAGTCAGCTCCCGCAGCTCGATCTGATCAACCACGCCTCTGCATCGGACTATCTTTGTGTTCCTTCGAGGATGTGCGCTTGTAGTGGCTGGCGCGTAACACCTGAGGGTTCCTTGATGGTAACTGTCCCAGCACAGCAGCCTCGATATCCGCAAAATGTGACGTCGCGCCAAGTAACCAGCTTTGGGCCGCAGCCCTCGTGGATATGCCCAAGCAATGTAGCCGTGGCGGGCTGAGCAACCGCTCCAAAGAGATTTGGCATCCCCTTCGGCTGGATTCGGTGTAGTCCAGGATGCCAGGAACAACAATGTTGACGCCCTTCTCGATAGCAAATCTGTGTCCGTGTTCGGGGTGATACTGGAATCCCCAGTTCCCTAATGATAGGGCCATGGCTGGCATAGACGTTAGCATCATACCATTCTCCAGGATGAAGTGGTAGATCTTCGTCTAGATACTCGACGCTTGTTGCTGTTGCATCCAAGAGTCGCCTCACCTCGCTTCCATCTCTGTATTCTTTCACGACAGGTCCGGATCAAGAGGTGGCCTTTCCTCGGCTGGAAGAGAGGTATGTCCGCTGTAAGTCGTGATTCCCGCAATAACAAGCTTGAGAGGCGCATCAATGTCCTTGAGGAGTCTGATGGTTTCTCGGTACTCGTCTATCTGGATTCGTCAGTTAGGTCACCTCAGTGGATAGCCACGTCGGCAGGTTGTTGGGCTTGTGTCAGGCGTGAACTCGACTGACAGGATGAGAAATAGAGTCTTTATATTGGCTGCACTCTCGTGGCATCCATACTGGTCGAGGATGACGAGTAGTCGTTAAATTTAGTAGAGAGCGAAAACAATGCAGTCATCACTATGACAGATGGGTAAGAACCGTCTAGATGCACGAAAATGCTGTCTTATCTATACAGGACTGTTTTCTTCGCAAACCCTAGCCATAGTTCTGGCACATTATTATTGTCGTATACCTGTACCAGCCACCTGTTTGTTCTGAGCCAAATATCTATCCAAGGCCTCAGGGATCTAATAAGCAAGCACGATTAGATAGTGCCTATGGCTACTACTTTTTGGAATCTAAACAATCAAGCACTCTGTATAGATTTAAAAAAGATAAAAGAACACTCCTTTGCTAGCTACCATTTTGGTACCGTACATACTGTACATACAAGCGGAGTAGGTAAATGAAGACAGGTAGATCTATATAATTGCCTTAATTTATATAACGTAAGATATATTGCTTATAGTGAAAAAAAAATACATAATAGGATAGTCTTCTAGTTTCCCTATATACATGTACATAGTTAAAACCAAAAAGTCGTTGCATATTGAGAACGCTTCTGCAGTCAGTTGAGGTTTACGCTCACTCAATCCTCGTGTGCCTGTGCTGGTATATACGTCCATTGTCTTCAGTCTGCTTTCATCTTGCATCCGAAGCATAGAAAAGAAATTAATTAAACTAACCTGGTGCTGCTCAAACAACAGCTTCTGTCTAGCTTTGCTAATTACTGGTGCTCCAAGTTGGCATACTTCTTCTGCTAGTACTAGTACCCTTCGTCTAGCTACTCTTCTAGTTCTACAAGATAATGAATGAACAATACAGTGTTTAGTCTATAATTATTCTTACTCCTTAATTACACTATACCCTCAAATTATTAATATAGTTAGTGATAAAGGTAGTATGTGACAAGCTGACAGTGACAGCCATGGTATGTATAATTAATATTGCTAATAATACCACCTTAATATATGTCGGTCATTCCATTTTGTTGCATTTTGCGTGGTGAAGGAATAAGAGACATACATCACTTACTTAGCTGGAGTAGTTTGTATACATACATGCGATCAGATGAACTATCCTGAAACCAGAAAGCAGGTCGCATAATAAATACCATTTCTGTTTTTTTTTTTCCGGTAAGGCAGGTAAGGCAGGTAAGGCAGGTCAGTCGGGCAGGCTTCGGCAGGATGAGTACAGAGTATGCGATGCGATTCTCAAATCTAACAAAAGTGAAGCTACTATACAGTATATAGCTTTTAGGGGCAAAGATATGATATTCTATACCATACACATAGGCCTTAGAATTTCCTTCTTCAACCAAATTATCCCTATATATAGAGTTCATGTAGTAGTGTATATACTCCGTGTGGACGATGATTAAATTAGTGGTGAAGAAGTATGTGCGGTATGCTGTTGTTGCTCGACCTGCAAATTTAGTTAGGTTCCTGTGCGGTGAAGCTCTTTACATAGCAAGCAGGAGGACATTGGAATTATTGTTTGTTGTCATTCACTCATTGACTCATGATCATAAGCGTGTTTTGATTGATAAGATACCGTGATTGGACTACTGAAAAGGGAAAATATGAATACCCTCCGCCTCGCTAAGATCTAATACGGCATGTCCAACACTCTCTCCATACAGGATTCTTCTACATATCTTTAGTACGGAAATGTATGTATGTGTACCTGGATTTTCCTGCAAATGAAGTGGAAACGAAATTGAAGTAATGATATGAAAATGTATTCACAATCTTTATATACAGGTCAAACAAAAGTCGACAATGCAAGACAAACCACTGTATCTAGATATAAACAGACAGCAGACAGATAGCAGACAGACAGCAGACAGCAGACAGACAGTAGATAGATAGCAGACTGTGATAGCAGACAGATAGTAGATGCAGACAGTAGATAGCAGACAGACAGTAGATAGCAGACAGCGGTATCATCCAGAC